TAAACAAATTACATACAAAATACACACATAACTACAAATCGCATTTAATTTAGTTACAAATAGTAAATTAATTTTTATAATCAAATACTGTTAAGTATGAATAATTAAACTGATTCTTAAATAATAAATAGATTTTAAAATTCTGCATAAAAATATGAAGTTCAGCTTGCTTAATATTAAGCGTTCTTGTATTACTTATTGCTAAATTGTATTGATCATCTTTAGTTTCTAAAATTTTATCCAGTTTCACCAGTCACGGAAGAAACAGATTTCTTCCGAACAGAATGCCTATCCTGTTTTAAAATCACTTTATTCTATTAATTATTGAGTACTCACTTTAATCTATTAATTATAATAAACTTTAAAAAAAAGCGACTTAACATGTTCTTCCACTTATCTCAAGTTTTTATTTTAGACGATTCTCAGATACATATTTATTATTTCGAAGTTTATTTTATAAACAAAAGGTTCCAATGTAAGAAAATTATGGGGCAAGCCAAAAATTTCGCATATTTAAGTTTTATAATAAATAAAGGCCTAGCAATATATTTCAAACACGATGAAACAAATGAGGTGATGTTTATTAGATCCTGCCAATTCAACCTAAGGAGTTTTAAGATATAGCTGTTAAGGTGACAACCTGTTTAAATTGCCCTCTAAAATCAAGCACCATATTTGCAAAAATAGTATCACCTCTTTATAAGTTGACCTCTTGTCTAAGTGGACCATCAATTGGGAGGATCAAAAGTGGTCAACTTACATAGATTTAACTGTATTTTGAAAAACAGAAAAGCTATATAAGTTTTTTTTAACAATAAAAGAGGCTATACAGTTTATTAACACATTTCAATGCTAATGTGTTAAGTGAAATCTGTAAAGTTGACCACCTCATTATGTTGATTGCCAGTCAAAGTCGATTTTAATGATCACTTACCAAACTAGCAAAAGCAATTTTATTTCCTATTATAAGTTGAACACTTTTCTAAGTAGGCAATTGAATTGCTCTTGTTCACCTACGAAAGGTCAACTTGCAAAAGCTTTACTGTGAATTATTTTTTTGTGGGTTTGGCAGGGTTTAACATGTACCACTTCAAATAAATAACAATGAATTAAAAATACTGAATCAGTAAAAGTAATTGATTACAAATATACCTTACTTTCATCATTATAACACTTAAAATGAATTTAGTACCTATCTCAATCTATTAAATTAAGAAACAAAAAAGCAGTTACGATTTTGGTTATATATAAACTAATCTTTTACAGAAATAAAATTAGAATTGCACAAAAATAAATGAATAGGAAGTCCAAGGTACATAATCTTTTGAATTTTTTTTAAAGTATAAATAAAGTGATTTTGAAATTTAACAATTTAAATAGATCTTTAAAAGTTTTTTTTTTTGAAGTAAAAAGACAGTTACTGGTCATTAAAAAAAAAAAAAATCTTACTTTTGACATTTATATTTAATATTATAACAAAAATAGAAATGTCTTTTTTTTCCCTCCCTGGACAAAAAGTATTTAGAGTAAGGCAAATGCTAAGACAGAATAATTTGGATGATTTCATATAAGCTCAGTTATTAAGCAAGGCTTGTACTGGATGTGAAAAGATTTTTTAAAAAATCCTTTTATGAAAGAGTAATTAAACAGAAATAAAGCTAGACTTCAAGTTTAGATATATAGAAATGTTGTTAGGTGAGACACATTAAATCCACTTTTATTTTAATGCAATCAGAAGGATTTGTTAAATGGAAGAAGAAAAAAACTTTATTTCACATATAAGGTTTTTTCGTTTTTAAAAAATTATTGTCTTTAACAATTAAAATTATAACAGGTTCATAAAATGCAAAACCAATTAGAAATTTCAATTATAGCTGCCAGAATATAAAAATATAATTTAAGAGAGTTTTTAAGTGATAAAAATAAAAACAGATCAGAGAAAAACTTACTTTTCAACTATGTAATTTTTCTTCAGATGGGGAAAAAAAACACACAATTAAATTCTTAGAAAAAGTTCAGAGCAGTTTCTTATTTTTAACCTTCACACCAGTATTAGAAAAATGAGGCACCAGAGCAAGGAGTTATACCAAACAATAAACAGGTATTTAAGTCTGTTAATATCAAGTTAAAATTTAATAAGTATAACTCATTAATAAATTATAATGTAAATAAAAACTTCGAATTAACATACCTTTACTATTTTTTAAAAAATATTTTAAGTCAAAAAAATAGAACAAAAGCTTTTAGAACAAAAAGTCACTGTAGCAACAAAAAAAACTATGGATGCTAGGAAAAAGTTCTAGACAGTTTTTATTTTTTAACCTTCACATCTGTTTTAGAAAAATGTCTTGGGGGGGAAATGTAGAGAAAACGAGACATCGGAACATTGCCATAAGGAAGCAAAGGACCTAAGTATTAAGAAATGGAAAACTTTTATCATGAAACTTTTAAAATGAGTTTTACTGCACAAGCAAACACCATTCCAGTACAAGCCTCATCATTAAACACTTGAAATCTGTTTTACCCTCTTTCTGCCGCCAGGAACAACACTGTTAACATAAGAAGGCACTGTCTTCTGTGACTAGATTAGAAGTTTAATGGCACTAATGACTTCTCAGTTAATTAAGTGCAATAAATAATACATTTAGACATTCATTTTCTTTTTTTTTTCTCCCTTTAAAAGAATGAAGACATGATGAAAAGGATTGTAAAATACAAGTTGTTATACATATTTACTATACACAAGAACTTCAGAAAAAGTATCACAGTCACACAATTTTTTTTTTATCAGAAGATTCAGTTTCCCTTAAAAACAATCAACCCTCTTGGTAAAACACATTGAACACGTCAAGGTACAAAAGCTATCTGAAAGAAAATTAATAAACCGTTTCGATAAACATTTAAAGTACCACAACTGAAAACATGGTAGCTAGGAAACCTGAAAATAATCACTTGCCACACAGCGAGCCAGCAACAACGGAAAAAAAAAAGTGGTGACAGTTTTCTATTAAAATTCCCAATGTGTCCATTCAAAATTTTGATCCTTCAGAATCCATTATTTTGTGGTGGTAAGTTTTAAATGGATGCAGAGTTCTTTAACAATTCACATATTTCAAAGTTGTAATGCATACATTAAGTGTATTTTGCTCCCTAAATATTTTCACAGAAAATTCTTTCAAGTCAGTGTGTATAAAAAAATTATTTCTCCACAAATTAATATACATATATATATTTTGTTTAATTAACTTCTTACAGCTACAGATTATTTCTAACATGAATTAAAAATAAAATTTATTCTAAGCAAAAAATAACTGCAAAAAGTAGCAAGTTAAATGAAAAGGACCTATGGATACAGATTATTTCTAACATGAATTAAAAATAAAATTTATTCTAAGCAAAAAATAACTGCAAAAAGTAGCAAGTTAAATAAAAAGGACCTATGGATACAGAATATTTTTAATATGAATAAAAAATAAAATTTAATCTAAGCAAAAAAAAAAAAAATGCAAAAAGTAGCTACCTAAAACAAAAGGACCTACGGATACTGGTCACCGAGCGATTGAGTTTGAGAAAAAAGTGGCTATTAAGTCTTTAGGGGCCACTGGCTACTAGCTAAAAATTTAAATTTTCAGGTCTATTAGCCAGCAAATAATTTAATTTTGACAATTTTATAATTTAAAATTTATGGTAAGCAGCAAATATGCAGATTATTTTTCAGCAAAGTTTTACAATACTAAAAGTTCACAGCATTCAACAAATATTGTTTTATACTTCTTTAAAAAAAGATCAGTATAATTAGTTAATTTTAATCACTGATTTTACCTGCAGAAATTATAAGTAAGGGCTTTAATTACCTAGTGAAATTCAGGACAATTTTAAAAGCACCACAGAAAAAAAAAAGGTTGAATGAATGTAGAAAAAAATAATGTGATCATCTTACTTTAAACAGAGACTTAATTCGAATAGCCCTTAGACCTACAAATATATTTTGATGTTTTTTAAACATAAAGAGCACTCTAATAGTTATTAAAAAAATATGTTAGACTATCAGAATTATATTTATACGGAAACAAAAAATTAAAGAAAAATTTATTTTTTTTAAATTTTATTTTATTTTTTATTCCTATTCAAAAATTTATCAATTGATTTTGTAAATTAAAGAAATTTCACGGATGAATAACTTTTTCTTAGATCAAAAATACTGTAAATAAGTGCAAATTTGTTTGGAAGTTAGTTATATTCGTAAGATTTTACCTTTAATCCCTAAAGAAGCCAGCGTTTCCTGTTCTATTTTATATTATTAAAATGCTAAATACTTTTCACTTATTTTGATTTAAATTATTATGAAATAATGAAAAAAGGATGATAAATATGTTTTAAAAAATTCTGTGCCAAAGGGATAAGAGTTGGAAAAACACTATTTGGAAAAAAATCTAATGTTTATATTGTCTGAAAATCCGCATATTTATGGAGGAACATCAGGATAAAAATATTTTATGAAGGAGAAATAAAAAGTAAAAATTAACAAGTAAAATTTAGCAATAAAACCTTTTTAAGGAATGCATTAATTCTAAAAATAATTGATAAAGTATTAAGAAATTAAAACGTTTTCTTCAGATAAAATCAAAAATCAATTATGTATTTTAAATTTTTAAGAGTGATTGTTAATTTTACTTAAGTTTATATCAGAAAAATAATTATTTTATAAAAACAAAAGTATTACACATGACAAAATGTTATATGAATATTAAAGATTTAGAATACATTTCTTGCATCAGTATTATAATAATCAAAATAACATATTTTCTCAAATTAAAAGACATTATATAGCCATGCATTAGCAAAAAGAAAAAAAATTAAAGAGGTAGCTTTTTAATATCATTCTAAATTGTAATTGCACATATACAATAGAAGTATATGTGTATGGACAAATTAAAAACTAAATATACAATAGCTAGAAATTACAAAAAATATATATAAATAAAAATTCAAATCATACATAATCTTTAAAAACTGGATTTAATAATCAAAAATGATGCATACACAGGTAGAGGGTTGATTGAATTTTTCAACAAAAGCAATAAGGACATTAAAACACATGTGTTAATTTTGGTACATGTTAGAAAACTTTCATTTAACATGTTTTTATACACCAGTATAACAAGAATATAAAGTCTAAAGGATGTGAAAGTTTGTTTAGCTCCCTACATTGTATTGTCTTAATTAAATAATTATTTTTTAAGAACATACTTCAGAACTTTTTGTGAGTGATCCTGAAAATTAAAACTTATGGTGGATTAGAACTAATAATATACGAGTAAATGCAAGTAATTTTATAATTAAAATAAAGATCTTATTCCTAGAACTAAAATAATATTAACAGAACTGAGAACTTTTTTTACAAATCACAGAATTTACTATTTATACTATGCCAAATTTAAGATAGTAAAACAGATAAAATTTCTAATGTTTACAAATTATTTTTTACCGGTTATTAGTTAATACCAAACCACCAGATCAAGGGGAAAATATAGCTACTCAACTAATCTGTTTTGGCAATTTTTATACAGGAAGTGGTATATGTAATGAAAAGTTTTTAAGTTAAATACATCCAAGAGCTTTACATAAAACAGGAGTATAATTATCTTGGGTGTATAGTGCCAAATTTCATGTAAATTTTTATTGAAATTCATATGGTTGACAAACTGTTATATCGTACCCTTACAACCCCTGATTTTCTTAATCCTCTATAATTGATCTGAAGTAAGATTGCACTGAAATTTTCCTACACATATAATCAATTTAAGAGTGCCCTTCCTCACAGGAAAAAAAAAGCATGAAACATAAAAAAAAAACTTAAAAATGTTTTAAAAAACAAATCTATTTTGTGTGTAAATTTGCTAACAAACAATATTTCAGTAAAATTGTTTCATGGGGCGACTAATAAGGTTAGTTGACATAGCTAAGGTCAGATAATAATTTAAATTTAAAAAAAACTGGTCAAAAACTTAATTAAATGGTAGAGTAAAATAATTTTTAAAGTATCCAACTGGGTGGAAATCGGCAATTTCGACTATTTTTTCATAGTCTATATTTAAACTTTAGTTCATTAGCTTTCTCAATTTTTTTTAAATTTTGTGTTATCTGATCATTAGAATCGAAGTTGCAGTTGTTCCTGACAAATGAAACAGAACAGCGATTGTATACTATAAATGTATTTCTAGAAAAACATTGATTTTGAGAAAATCTCTTTACGCTAACACATATTATAATAAAAAGAATTACAGGATAATCATGCAATTGATCTAGAAAAAATTTATTTAGATATTTATGAATCATAATTTGTAGTAGAGCTGTTGGTTCATTAAATAATTTTAGTTTACATTCTCAAATTTGCTTTTATTTTGAAAAAATATTTGATAAAATTCACTTTAAATTTATGTTAGAATCCCTGCTGAAAATTTTAATTAAGGCTATTTTCAATAAGGTATAGTGCCAAACCTAGTCGGATACCTTAATAAATGATTAGTTTATAAATAGATTATAATTGCACGATAAAAAAAAGTTTTTTTTACAATTTTTCTATATCTTTAGAAACAAAACATAGAAAAAATTACACAAAAAGAATAAATTAGAAATTATAATTGCACATTTTTTTTCCTTTTTAAATAAAACACTTTGCAAGTTTCTAAGCACATTAAATAGAATTAAAAACTTACAGAAATTCGACACAACAAACCCAACTGGACATTGTATACTACGACTAAGCATGATTATTATCTCAAAAATAATCGATTTAAAATATATTTATCTCTTGTGAAGGACTATTCCATCAACTTTAGAAAAAGAGTGAGACATTTTGTCTGTTATGTGTTTCGTGTTGTGTCAAAGTAGCATGTTCATGTTGTGTACCTTGTTATCTGTGTAGTGTTGTGTGTGCGTGTATGTGTTATGAAAATAGTTTAACTGCACACAGTAACTCAACCACAGACTACAGGGATGCCACTGGGAACTTGCAGACTTTTCCCATGCAAGAAACCACAGCAAAAATAATCGCAGCAAATTTAGGAAACAAGAACTATGAACTTTGTTACTATTCTGCCACTTTCAAGAAACTGACATGGTAAAAAGAGAGCCTTCTGCCTTGTGAAGAAATGTTGTTAGAGAAATGGTTAACAAATTTTGAAGAAATTGTTATTTTTTTAATATATTTTGAGATTTTGTGTAAATAATTGGTGGTAAATAAAATTTGACACCCTAATATAAAATTTTGGAAAAAAAAGAGAAAAAAAAGACAAAAATAATAATAAAAATAAGCTTTTATGAATAATAATATAAGAATCATGGAATTTAGACAAAATTAAAATGATTTTTTCTTAACTGTGAAAAGGGAAACATAATAAGGCTTGTGAAAAATTCCAAATTGAACAGTCTTCAACAAACAAAAGACGTAACTATTAAAAAAATAAAAAAACTTTGTATTTCCAAATTTTAGATCTTTTTCTGCAAGGAAAAAAAAAAGAACTAAATTTTGATTTGAACTGAAAAATACATTGTTTTTAGAAAAGACACATAGTTAGAAATTGTTACTTTTTTTTAATTGATCTCACCCAGAAATTTTTTTACCAGAATTAAATTATTTTCAAAAAAGATACAAAATTATAAAACCTTAAATGATCCAAAATATTGTGTTATTTTTTGCCTGTTTTATTGCTTGTGGTGGAGGTATAATTCTTATACTAATTCCTAAGAGGCAAACCGCATACTGAATGTTTTTTTTAAATACCAAACCACAAAATTTTAACATCTTTCTTTATTTTCTTTATCGACGCAGAATAGCATACAAAGCGTTTCCTAAATCTCAACTTAGAATGAATCGATGAATGCATCCCTAGTTTTCTGCACAATTTATAAAGATATTCCCATTGATCAAACCGGTTGCTACAATAATTATAGACCGGAATGAAGCAAAAACTTCTGTAATTTACAATACAAATACAATAAATTCCATATATACAACATCACAGAAAAAGTTAAAAAATCTTCTCAAATTGAAACAAAATAAAATACACAGAAACATTTAGAAATAGAACAGAAAAATTATAATGGAGTTTCCAGCAACTATCTACCCAATCATTTCAAAAAATTTAAATATATATGCACAGAGGTTTAAAAATAAAACACAATTTTAGTATAAAAATTAAAATTCAAGCATATCTATTAAAAAAAATCAGGTTATATTATTAGTGATAGTCTTTACTGAGCTTAGGCTTTGAGGCATTGTTATTAAAATTATGTTGCCTTTATAAATGGACAGTATTATGTTCCTAAAGTAGTCTTCAGAGCAAATCTTTAAGGTGAAAACTTTCTTTTTTCAAAATCTTTTAAATTATTAAAGAAGTTTTATTTATATGTGTATCATACACAAGTAGGTGTAATCAAATAATAAGTAGCTAATTCAAAGCGTACTTCCTTTATATACTTGAACTTATATTTGCAAGTAGGTCTAGCCAATTATTCAAAGCTAATTATGTAAATTTGTGAATTAGTACTAACAATTAAAAAGTTACAAATTTATAGCTTACATATTTCATTAATCTGAATTAAAATTGACATTACCAATTTGAAGCTTACTTTATTCGTATAAACTAAAATTGACAAAATCAATTTAAAGCTTATTTTATTATATAATAACTGAACTGGCATAACCAATTTCAAGTTGATTTTATTTAGTAAACTTATATATATTGATACTATCATTTTAAAGTTTATTTTATTTGGTTATCTCAACTTACCACCGAGGGCAAATTGATAAAGTATATACACGTTTTTAGCCATTTAAATTAAACATTTATTTGTTAGACAACAAAAATGTTTTAATATAATATCACATTAAACGCCAAGAAAAAGATTCACTTGAAAAAAAAAAAAGAGAATGTCATCATAGTCATTTTTACAAAGAAAATAAAGTCAATGTGGATTTCATAACTCTCATATTTCCTCAACAATCGGAACTCTATTATTCCTCAACGAAAAGCTTTCCTGGCATTATAAAAACTGATCATCATAAAAGAAGCTGAGTTATTTCTTTTTGGTTTGAGACTGACATGTTCATACTGTAAGTTTCTCAGAGAGTAATAAAACATATGTTTCAGCAAATGATTGAATTAAAGAAATTTCGCTACAGCAGTTTCTTTTTATAATTTAATATGAAATTAATTTAATAATTTTAAAAGCTATAGCCTCCCATGGGCATATTTTGATCTGGAGCATTGAACTGAAACTGTTGATTAGCTGGATCAACTTGAGGAGCTAGATGTGAATCTTCTTCATCCAGGCCGAAATAATGCTCTATCATGTCAAAAGCTTTCTGGTAGATTTCCATGTTTTCATGTGATTGTAGGAATTCTATCTTGTCCAAACCTAAAAAATGAATTGACATAAATAATACTGAATGTGGTAAACTATAATAAATTAAACTAACAAAAGTTGTCTACAGGAAATACCATAAATGTTATGACATATTTAGAGGTAGTTAGATTGATAACTACATAGCAAACCATGACTAGAAATGTCCTTGCACCACTTAGACTTTGTAATGGGTCAAAAAAGAAACAATTTTCAAGGACATTATTTTAGAACAGTATGTATACTCCTAACCACTTTTAAAAAATACAAACTAAAAAAATAAATAAATTATAATTTGTTTTACATATGTGTAATTATAAGCAAATTTCACCACAAAAGAATAATAAAATTTTCCTTTTTTTTTTTGAATTACTTTGTTTAGAACACACAGTTTTAACAATTTCCAGCATAATTTTATCATTACTGAACAACTCATAATAGTTTGAAATCAAAGCACGGAAAATTATTGTAAAACTGCTGCATTAAAAAAAAAAACATCAATTAATTTAGTACAAGACTTCCTTAATCAAATAACAATTTTAAAATAGGGTTTCAATAATCTTAAAAGTAAAACAAAATTTTAATATGCCACTTAACATTTTTATACAAAAACAAATTTTAGTGGATGATTCCTTAATTTAACATTTAAATATTTCATGATTCTAAGTGGTTAAAACACTTATTAGTTTAATTCAAATTATAAAGCAAATAAATTTGAAATAACACAGATTCAATAAGGGTTTTAAAAATAAAATTCACAAACAATATAAAGTAATTCACAAAGAATATATTTTACCATAGCACCCTTCAATCATCACTGCATAAGGGTTGACAGTGCCCTGTGCTTTTGCATCTTGTTCTCCCAACCTCAATATATTTTCAAGGCCATTTAGTGCAACCTGGATAATCTTTGTATCTAACACTGTCAACAATTCACATAAAGGTGGTATACATTGCTGTTCAACTAAGTATCTGAAAAAGTAAAAAAGCATAATTATGATGTTTGTCAATCAGGAACAAAAATACTTATACTAAATTATTGCCCCGCTTATACAAGAAATTCTATCGTTTAAATAGAACACATTCTTAAAAAAAAAAAAAAAAAAAAAAAAAAAAAAAAAANAAAAAAAAAAAAAAAAAAACATATAACCCAGTAAAAACAAATCAATCGGTTCCTGGGGTGTTCAAACTGTGGCCCACTGACTGTAGATGTGTGGCCTGAAGAAGTTTCGAAGCACAATATTTTTTTTAAATAAAAAAAAAAAAATTTCGAAAATTTTGATCTGACTTTTAAGCCATGAATTTTTGATGCACTCAATTTGCACAGATTTTATTGCAAAACTGAATTATTGCCTGATCGCTTTTTCTGGGGTAATTGCTTTGGAATTCAGCATGGTTATTAAAAAAACCAATATTTTTAATATGATGTTACGATCCGCGAATTTGAGTAATCACTTTTTTACTTGCTTTTGACTGCAGATTTCACCATAAATCCATTCATTTTTTAACAATTAACAAAATACTAATTTTCATTTGGTTTTCAAAATCTCGATACTTTAAATAATTACTTATTGACACGGTTTATTTACTTATGTTTTTTTATTGCAATTGTTGCACTGGTTTACCATGTGATTTCATAAGACCATTCTAGATAATAACCTCACTACAATAACAGGATACAATGCTCATATGCAACATTTTCCTCAGAAATCAATCAATTTACAACAACAGTCTTAAAATGAAATTTTTGACGCAATCAGATTTGAAAAAGAATTTTTTCTCAAGTTAATTCACAATTTATATTCTTTTGATTTAAACAATTATGCAATGTGTTTGTATACTTATAAAATGTGGTGAAGATCAAAAGACATTAGCTTAACATTAGAAAAGAAGAGTCAAAATTGGTCATAGCATAATAAATAAAAACAACTTAAAAAATACAATATTACATTACTTAAAATCAATGTTGATAAAAAAAATGTACAAAAAATTAAAGCCAAAATCAGGCAGGCTTTATAATAAAGTCAATTTAAATCAAATCAAAAGTGGTTTATTTTTTTATTATAATTGTTACTAGGTTATAGGCCTTATTTATTGCACCTTAAAATTACTTTTTACTTATGATTTCAATTATCTTTAAAACTGAATTTGACAAAATGAATTGAAAAAATAAGAGTAAATGGAAAAAAATTCAAAAGTAATTTTTAATAGACATTACGCACAAAAAGGCAACATACATGTCAAATTTATATTTATGTTTAATAAAAATAATGATTGACAGATATTTTTATCAGCTTGAACAAAAGTAAACTGTAAAAGAATTAGCAATTTTTTATAATTTCAAATTCATAATGAAAATATTTAATCATTGCTGCATAATTCAATATTACATCATCTTTTTCTCCACATGCCCCAATTACTTTAAAAAAGCTATCAGTCAGTTTCGCGAAAATAAATACTTAAAAAACTATTCAGCCAGCCAGTTAAACAATAATTCAACAGTTTACCTTCATATAGCATGCACACATTTAGGACTTGTAGTTGTTTATTATTTCAAATTCATAATGAGAATATTTAATCATTGCTGCATAATACACTATTATATCTTTTTTTTCCCCTATTACCTTAATAAAGCAATCAGTCAGTTTTGTGGAAAAAAAAACATAACTAAAAAACTATTATGTCAACCAGTTAAGCAGTTTGTGGGGAGTGAGTCGTTATTGACAATGACAACACAAGTAGCAAGTCAACTGTTCAATGTGACCATCCATCGAAGTAGGCGTTCAGGGGTAATTGTGAGCCCAAGTCAAAATTCTAGGAAAATTTCTTGAGTTAAAAAAAAAAGAGTTTAAATTGAAAAGTTAGAAAAAAATTTAAGCAAGGTTTTTTTTCCTTTTTCTCAATATTTCTTAGTTTACTTAAAATATTTTTAAATTTTTACACATACCTATACCATTTACACATACCTATGATGACCTGGAGAAGTAATTAAAATTCACAAATATGTCTTTCTTTCTCGAGTTTGTGATTATAACAACTATTTACTGATAAAAAATGAATATTAATCATGAATATAAGCTTATGCAGCAATGATTAAATATTCGCATTATGAATTTGGAATAATAAACAACAAGCTCTGGCTCTCCCTTACAAACAAATAAAATAAACTGTATTTTTAAGTTCCACCTTTGAAAATTTGATTTCCGGAAACTTCTGTTCTGTTTGATCTCCGGAAACTTGCGAATCACTGTTAGCGAATAGTCCGAAAATCCGGACTTTTTCCAGAGCACAATCTGCCCTGGACTTTACCAGATCGAAGTGGGAGTTACTGCCAAGGTAGGCGCGTTCACATCTCGCCCGGATCACCAATGTGGGTATAGTAGCTTTCGACAATGTCAACCGTCATCTATGAAAAGGTACCCCACCGTAGAATCAAGTTAACACGTCTTATATACCAGTGAATTGTAACTTTGTAGTGGTAGAATGTGCACACGAGCGATACACAATTTGCATGTGCTCTTACCTCACTTGTTCTGGTGATCCTCCAGATGTGGCATTAGCTATTGCCCATGCAGCTTCTTTTCTTGTTTTGAATTCTGCTTTACTTAAGATTTCAATTAAAACTGGGAAGATGTTTGCATCAATAATTGCCTAAAAAAGAGGGGACATACTCAGTATGACATGGTATAACCATGAATAACAAGTAATTTAATCCAAGATAACTAAATTAGTCAGTGCTACTTTTTAGTGAATAAATCTACTAATAAAGGAATCAAAAATGAGCTTTTTGCATATTTCTACTATTTATATGAAATTAATTAGTGCAGTATAAGAGAAATATCTAATGTAACTAAGATAAATACTTTAAATTTTTACAAACATATAGATAATTAACAAAATTTAATGATTACAATCTTAACAGATGTTGTTTGCTATCTTTACATAAGCGTCATACATAAGTGCCAAAAGACTATGACACGTGTTTAGTTATTTAAGGTTAAACCATTTAACAGTTACTTAAAAAAAAAAAATTTCACCTTAATTATTGATACAATTATTAGTAAAAAAATATGAATTAACAGGTGTAAATATACTACTAAAAAAACATAATAAAAAAATAAATAAAAAATTACTACCGTATATTCCGGCGTATAACGCGCACTTTTAATGCAAAAAATAACATTGGAATTTACGGGTGCGCGGTATACGCCGAATATAAAAAATTATAAACTAAAAAAATTTAAATATAGAAAAATACTTTTATTTTAAAGAAATAACAAACCTATATACTTTATTGATTTTCGTTATTATATAAATAGTTCATTATATTCGTCTTCCGTTATTTCTTCAGGCACGTCATCACAATCTGTTTCGTCTTCATCATCTGTGTTACCCTCATCCATGAATAAACAGTCATCTTCTGATCCGTCCAGATTATTTGAAATGCTGCATTTTTTGAATGATTTTCTAACCATCTCAGGCTTAATTTCATCCCATGCTTTTAATATCCATTCGCACACTGTTTCCAAACTTGCATGACGCATATGTCCTCCTTTCGTAAAGGTTTTCTCGCCCTCCAACATCCAAGTGTTCCACTGTTTTTTTAAATTGGCTTTAAGAGCAGAAGTCCAATGGCTGAACTAATGGTGTCAATCTGCCCGTAATAACTGCCACATCGGTGTTACATTCTTTCAAAATTTTTTTTTGCATTATCTGTAAGGTGGGACCTAAACATGTCCCACACTGAAGGTCTTTCTGGTTTTCTATAGATACTAGACGAGATATTGCACATGTACAATCCAAATTTTCATGCGTGTTATACGAAGAGTATATCTTAAAATGTAAAAAAAGGTATTAGAAATTACGGGTGCGCGTTATACGCTGGGGCGCGTTATGCGCCGGAATATACGGTAAGTATTTTATGTGAAGAACAAATATTTAATATTAGAAATTTGTTCTTGGTGTATGCGCTTGTTAAAATGAATTTTAGAAATTTTTTTTATAATTGTTCAGAATTAATTCTTTGAGACAGTAATTCTTTATTTTTGAAATCAGTAATTTTATTTTGAATTATCAGATCCCCTGTAATCCTTTCACTGGACCCCAAAGTTATGAGAAACACTAGAGTCAAAAGCATCGTCAAGTCGATCAACTATTTTCGAAATTAAAAGAAATTTTTTTCCAAAAATAAATAAATAACATACTTGCCAACATTGAAGAAATAAAATAACGAAGATTTTATAAGTGAAATTTTTAGGCTACGAGTAATTTTGGTAAATCATGCATTATCACGCAAATCAATAAGAGAAATTCAAAATTGGAAATAATATAAGCACTTAAATTTTGCGAAGTAAAAAATAAGCATAAAAACCTTAATCTAAAGATTTTTAAACCATTATTTATAATTACTAAAACCATTAACACTCAACATACTGCAGTACTGGCAATAGCATCATCTATTGAGGAATAAGAAGTAGTTTTTGCCATAAGTGGATATTTTATTACCAAATTATTAATATATTTTTCTTACACTTCTTAAATAAATACGGAGAAATTTGAGAATATAGTGGTAAACAGGAAATAGTCGTAAAATACAGGAGTCTTCGTTAAAAACAGGATACTTGGCAGGTATGAAATAATGTACTTAATTATGTAATAATTTTTTAAAGAACTATTTAATTTCTCTCTCCAAATTTAAGAGGATTGTATCATTTTTTAAAATAATAAAGTTCATTAAGTAAAGATTTGTACACCTTACAATTCAAATATTTTTGTTTCATCATTTAACTAAATGATACATAAGAAACTTCCACTTACTTGTAATTAACTTCAGATAAACTACTTTAATAAGTGCCAAAATGGTTTGTTCCCTCAAATAGTTCTAAGACATGGCAAAATAAGTTCAAAGAAGGCTTACGAGAAGTTTATTTTCGTATTTAATTTGTTAACCTTTACTTTCCTTTGCCTTAAATACCTAGTGTTTAACTTATTAAAACCATTAGAATTCATACACAATTTGTAGAAATTTGATCATTAGGTGAAAAGAAAAGGATGTGTAGCACTTTGTACATAACATATCCTGAAATACAAAATTTACCTGTATCTGCTGTCTATTACCAGCAGTGATGTTAGATATCGTCCAACAAGCTTCTTTTCTGATATTTTCTTTAGGAGATGATAAAAGTTGCAGCAAATACGGCAGAGCGTTGCAATTCAGTATGACTTGAGTTTGTATGTCATCTCCTGTTACAATATTTCCAACCGCTCTCAGAGCTGCAGAAACTACACTTTGATTGTTATGCCTAAATTTAAACAAAAATAAATGTGTAAGCAATTTATGAAAAGAATTGGAAATAAAATTAAGTTTGATATCTTCCTTAAATCCAGGAAGAGTTTTAATAACAAAAAAAAACAGTGGAAGTTGAATACAGAAGAGCTGATAAGTATGAAACAGTGGTAAATTTTTTTTAAATAAGCATTGATAGATTTTGTATAAGAAATATAATAATATGAACAAAAAAGAGGGCGAAATCTGAACGTCTTTCTTAAATTAGAAAAGTTTCTGATGCTACGGACAATGAAAAATTAAACTCATTATAAAAAATTTGCTAAATATTAACTATAATAGGTTGCAAAATCAATAAAGGTAACAGTAGAAAAAGAGCATAAACACACCAACATAAAAAAAAAAAAAAAAATTATAGTTTATGGATGATTTTCTCAAATGTTTAGGAAAATTCATCCCAGAATTAACTTTATGTTGGTGATTTCCTTATTAAGACCATACATTTAAAATCAAAAATTTACAAATCAATGACCAGCAACAAAGAAACTTTATAAATAAAAATTTAGGGACAGTTTTAAATTGCAATTGCTAAAAAAAATTTCATAACTGTCCCCACACTTAAATGCTTTAAAAACAAATGTAGAAAAATTTTATTACAAAAAAAAAAATAGTTTTTGCAAAATATATGAAAACTTTTCTATAAAATCTATCCCTATTTTTTTAAAGAGTTATTGTATTTCATACAAAAAAAACTTTTTTTACCTGCTTATAATTTCTAAAAAAAAAAATTAGGGGGCAGAAATTATATTCGATAAAATCACACAGATTTTTGAGGTGAAATTAAGACTCTAAAAGAAATGGTACTGCAACAGAGCTTCACTGTTCTGTATACAAGACTGTTCTTTGTAAGCTTCAAATTATATTTTTTTCACAATCTTTAAACTGAAGAAAATTAATAAAAATTGTTTTAAGACGTTTCATAGTTGTGACAGTAATTTTCAAGAAAGTTGAAGACAAATACAAATTTAAGCATAGAACAAATTATTTTAAGAATATTGATTCTAAATATTCAAGTAGACAATTTATACTATCAGAATATGTATACATGTATCTCTGCAATGCTTTCATAATACAGTAAATTACTTAAAAAGTTCAGAAATGTGTGTTATTCACATTTCTGACATACCATTTAGAAGACATGGGGCCATTTAGGGACAAGGGGTTAATACAAAATATTGTTTTTCCTCCTTGTGAGTATTTTAAGGAAAACATACTATTAAATAGCAAAAGAATATTTTAATGAGAAATATTGTTGAAGGACAAGTTTGAGAAAATAACCCGTAGATATTTTGATTTGCAAGTAGATATCACTAAAAAAATAAAATAAGTAAAGTTCAAGTAAAAGCAACTTACTTTCAAAATATATAGTTACCATTCTCATTGCGACAAAACTTTCAACTGTTCAACACACTTAACAAAAACACAGCTTTTATATATGTTCAATAAACATGAACAATTAATTAATGTTCACTCTATTAAGAATATACTTTTGAATAGAATATTTAATTGAGAGAAAAAACTTATAAATAGCACAACTAGGGAAGAAAGAGATTATAACTGAATTTAAGACTACTGAAAATAGAGACTAAATTAAACTAAGGATCTTACATGAGTAATTCAACTAATCTTCGGCAAACACCAGCATCAATCACAGCTTGAATTTTCTCATTAGGACCGTCAGAGATGTAAGACAGAGCCCAACAAGCATCAGATAAGACATCAGCATCACAGTGGAAGAGTAACCTTGATAGAACTGGCAAGGAAGGTGATATCTGAAATAAAAACACTCATAGGTAAACTACATTTTCAAGCTTCAATTTAGAAATTGTACTGCTTTGATCCTTAATAAAAAATATTGTCTCCATCAACATAATTAGACATTAAAAATATTTCAATTTATATTGTTAATAAATTAAATTTTAAATGACCACTAAAAAACTCCATTTATCAGTAAATATGATTTATATAATTTTCTGCTCCTCTAAATATATTCTTTGGAAACTAGAAAATAATTCAAACGAGTACCTGGTCAAATGGATTAAAGTGATTAATTAAAATGATGTTAGTGAATACTTAGTAGTTATTATGTTATTGACAAAAATGAAGAGAGAAGGAAAGGACAACACAAGTATAGAGACAAATTTCGGTAAAAGCAATATACACAAAACCTGGCTCAACCATATTTTAAATATCCCAAAACAGCTCAGGTTTAAGGCGCTCTCTTTAGACTTGTAACGGGCCATGACTGTCTGGCCAAACACCTTTTTAGTATAAACATTTTTGACTCTCCTAAATGCAAGCTCTGTCGCCTTGGGAAGGACATGGACTTGCTCCATATTTCCGTCTGTCCTGCGCTCATCTCCACTACTGTGTGTGGACGCTACTGGGAAGCTAGGGTCAGTATGGACTAAGCATGTTACTATGCATTCAATTCTATTTATCTCTTTTTGCCTTGTTTTTCTTGTTATTTTATCCTTTTTGTTCTTTTAAATTGGCCTGCCATTGGAAATAAAAAAAAAAAGTATAGACAAAAACATACATAAGATTAGTTCAGGTTAAATTAAACATAAGTCTGACTTTTCTCACTAAAATTCAAGGCCATATATTTTTAAAAAGTCTTCAAATTTAAAGTAAGTTACTTTCTTTCTTCTTTATTGGCATGACAGCTCAGGATGAGTCCTGGCCTTCAAGAAGTTTTTTCCAGACTAGTTTTTTATTAGTAAGTGTACTCCAGTTTAGACCACAGTACCAGTACATTTCTTTCTAAGCCATCTAACACTCTTAAATTAGGTCAGCCTTATAAATTATACAATATAACTCTATTAATGACAATTCACAATAGTAGATGGAACTGTCAATATAGTGAGCTTCTTGTTATACGAAAATATGCATATTTAATGTTTAATTATCAGTAAAAAAAGACGTGAGTGCAATTTTCTACAAAAGAGGAAATGTGAAATGTTTGTGATCACCTTTCGGCATTGATATCCAGAAATTAAAAAAATGTCTTCCATTTAACTTGTTTTGCACTCTTAAATAGGGAGGAGGGAGAGTATTACACTTAAAATTGCAAGAAGGAAAGGTTAGCAAATTTTAGCTTGTCATAAAAATACAATTTTAGTATCTTTGATAAAAGAATACTGATGATGATTTGCAACTTTGTTGCAAAAGTGGATTTCTCAAAAGTGGATTTTAATTTATTACGCCACACTGAAATACATCAAGCTTTTACTGAAAAAATCTTGAATATTTTAAAGATAAATAATGATAAAAACAATGAAATAGCTCTTGTGAGCACTAATTACAAAGATGAGAGCCATAAAATAACTCCTGTAACATATTCTTGAATTTTTATACCTGTTCAAATTTAGGAGGTGGATTTTTTCCTCTACAGAGGTTAGATAGAGTCCATACAGCATTCCTGGTCATAGACATTCTTATTGATTTGCTTAGTAACCTAAAAAGGGCGAAATGAGATATAAATACTTGGATGATTTTAACAATTTGGCAGATTAAAACTTCTGTATTTTCTAGTTAGCCAGGCACAAGGAAATTCAACTATTTTCTCAAAAAAACTTTTTATTTTACTTTATTTCTTGTTAATGTTCATTTAGTTCAGTGTTTTAAAAAAACAAGGGCAAAGGTTTTGGTGACTTTTCACTTGTGCCCGAATAACCAAAAAGTACCCAAACTTATTTTCAGATGAGAATAATAAATAATGAAACTTTTAATATGAACATAAAGAATTAGTCTGAACACCTTCAGTGTTAAATTGTAGCAGCAAAGCAAATGCATGCTGATAAATATAAAGCAAATAATAGAACTAATATTTAAAAAAAATTATATTTGTTGATCATTTTTGACAGTTAATCACTTTTTGAAAATTTTATCTGAGTTATGATAAAACTTGTTCAAACTATTACTAAAGAATTTGCTGGAGTTAACTAATGGATTGAACAGAATATATTCCTAACATTATTTTTCTTTCATTCATTTATTTACTCTAAACAAACAAAATATTACAAAATCTCAGTTGAGAAAAAGTTTAAACATTTTTTTTTTTTTAACACCATTTCAACTTAATAGCAAACTTAACAATCCTGGTTTACAAAAAGATCATAACACTATATAACTACCATTATATGAAAAAACAGGAATTGCATATTATCCAATCGTCTAAAGAATAGCTGTTGCAGCACAAATATTAATATTATTTAAAATTCAAAACAATTCCCTTCATTAAAAAAAAAAAAAGATCTTACTGCAGAAGAGGCATCAAAATCCCTTGTTCAAGCACATAATCTCTACATTCAGGACTGTCACCAGCTATGTTGCCCAGAGCCCATACGGCCTAGAAAAATATTAATGCAATAAATTTTTTGCATTTATTTTTACAACACAACTTTTCAAGCAATTTATTATTAAAATTTTTTTTTCTTATAGCTGTGTTTCTTATAAGGGGAAATTCTATAAAATTTTTTGTTACAGAAGTTGTATCAAGTTCTGTTCATAACAGTTACCACAGAATTACTTTTAATCAAAAGCAAGCTTTTAAGCTTTTCATCCGAAAGTGGTGAGCGAAATTCAGATCGAATTTTTTATCTTGGAGAAAATTCTTTGGAGCAATGCATTGCTAAGCAGAATGCATAAGATACCTAATATAACATCTGCCATATTTTTGAACTGTTTTTATATTTATATATATATATATATATATATATAAACACACACAATTCATTTTCTAATTGTCTAATAGAAACCCACAATAAATGATTCTGAAAACAGAAATACATTTATGTTTTGAAAATCAGTAAAAATACAATGCAGACAAAGTTATTGCCATATTCCCATAGGTAAATAATGAAGTTTTTTATCGGAAAAAGAACAATTCACTGAATAAACAACTCATAGCGGCACTTTCACTACACCTGATTTGAAACTACAGCACTGGCAATAGTGCCATTTGTTGAGGAATAAGAGAAGTATCTTTGCCATTAGCAGATATCCATCACTAAAAAAAAAATTTTCTTGAAATTTCTTCAAAAAATATGGAGAAACAAGAAAATACGGTTAAACAATAGTCGTAAAATATGGGAGTCTTAGTTTAAAAAACAGGAAACTCGACAGGTTTGTACTAGTTTCTTTTCAAATTGCTTTTTTTACCATGTTTTTCCTTTACAATGTTTTTCCTTTCATTTTTATATTTACAAATTTCATTTCCAACTTTTATGTTCATAGGTACATTTCGCTTTTTTACTGACTATCACTAATGTTTCATTAAAGGAGAAGTTTTCTATTGGTGATATTTACTGGACTTTTTCTTGGTTAGTCGAATTGATTATAAGCTTACTTAAAACGATGACAAAAATTTTTCACAAATTCTCAGCTCATACTAGGAAATATATGGTAATAAAATTTATTTTAGGGGCAGAGAACATCAGCAAAAATTATTTCCTTAATTACACACACTTTTCCATCATCCGAAGAAAATTTCAACATAATTATCAGATATACGACAAAATCTGAAAAAATCAATAAAACCAAGTACCAAAATAACAAGGTGTTGCAGGCATAAAGATATTGACTGGTTTGCACTAAATATTTTCACCTCTAAATCACTCACTTAAAAATACTAAAAAAATTATACCTCTTATCAGAAGAGAAGAAACAATAATAAACCACACTACATAATTTTGCAATGAATGTGCTTACAGCTACACTATAATTCATGGTAATGCTACCAAGAACATATGTCAGGCATTAAAAAACAATGGGGAAAACTTTAAAAAAAATATATATATATAAAATAAATAATTACTTGTTCTTGAACATCATCATACTCAGAGTCAAGTAATTGTATAAATACAGGTACAGCTTCTGCTTCTATAACAATTTTGGTTTGTAGAGAAGTACCAGATGCTATATTTGTTAATGCCCAAGCAGCTTCAAACTGAAAAATAAAAAGTTTTTGTTACGAAATTTTCAACAAAATATGAAAGTTAAAAATAAAATTTCCAATCCTTCACTTACTTGAAGAGTAGAATTTTCATTATGTTTCAAGAACTCCACAAAACGGGGAACAATTCCTGTCTGAATGACTTCATCAATTGGAGGATTTGGCTCTGAATAAAATTAATCATTTAAATAATGAATAAATAAATATAAGTCATTTCACAAATACAACATGACACACAAAATTCAAAATATTTAATATAAAAAAAAATAAACTTCATTCATTACTCATTATAATTAGATACAAATTTCGTGTGCAATAATGCTAATAATAAATAATTGATGAACTCAGTAGAAGAAAGTTCCACCCTCTTTGAAAAAAGAAATCTAGTTTACTCAAGGAATGTTCTTATTTTAGCGTTATTTAACAATGCAAATATGATTTCAGTTGATAAAGATACCAAGAGTCAGTTTTTGATCGTATTTAGAATGGAGGAATGTTGTGTACAGTTGCAACACACAATCTATGATTTATTTTGGAAAACTTTCCGTTTAACAAAAATAAAACACCAAGAGTGCAAAGGCTATGGTACCTACAGTTTAAACGATTGCTTGAGAATTATAAGTTTGACTAACTAGAAGATTGCAAAAACTTTAATAAAGGCAAGGCATAATCTTTATTTTCTATGGTCAACAAACAAACTTTAAAGCTTATTTATTTGAACTCAAATACAAAAAATTAGTTTGGAAGGCTAATACCAAACTTGTTGTTAACGAGAACAAAGGGACCACAAAATTTACTTTTTATGACTGAATGCTCATAAAAAACTGGTTCGTGAAAAAAAAACAAGAACATAAAAGCTCATTAACTAACTCCCGTAAAATCTTTACCTTTTCATCAGCTGATAGGATTTTTTGTTTCGGCTTTCAAATTAAAGAATTCAAACCTACCCTGCCATTTTTGAGTAGAGTAAGCTCCCTACCAATCAGAAAACCACCCTCTCTCACCAAGGTCATATTGGAAAGTTTCCATACACGCACAAAGACCACCTTTGTATGTCTGTTTGATTTAGGACATATGAATAGCTTTTAATTGGCTTAGGAAAGTTGAATAAATTTTTCTAAAAAAAAGGATTAGTTGGGCTGGTGCGGTCAAGGAGAGTAAAAATTGAACAGCGGTCTGTCTAGGTTTTTCTGAGAGGTACCTATTTTGTGAAAATTTAGACATAATTTGCGAAAAATTAAAAATTTTATTTAAAAATCAACACAAAAACATGGATTTATCGTTTCTTAAGGGATACAAAAATAAAATTTTAAGAAAAAGTATTTTGTGAAACTACCGTTTTTCCTAAAATTGAATTTGTGAAACTACCGTTTTTCCTAAAGTTGAATTTGTGAAGGTACCGCTAAACGGTATTAAATTCGGCCTGGATAGACTCTTGTTGAATCACAAAAACATTGCTCATTACAACAGTAAATTGCTCGTTAAAAGCCAGTATTGCTCTGACTAAGTATTTCTGATTTCTTCGTTAAAGCCAGGTTTTCGTTATAAGAGTTTAACCATAGTCCAAAATATTGAGGGGGGAAAAAAACAATTAAGTATTAACTAAAAAATTCCAGATTTTTAAAAAAAGACGCAACATAGAATTGCAATTAATTATAGGTGCTTCACATAGTTCATAAAATTTGAAACAAGAGGAATGTTTAATTGCTAACTTGGCTTTATTGACTTAAAACATTGTTTTGTTTCACAAATTTAATCTATTTAATTCATCTTAAACAATTCAATATTTCAATCAATAATTATCATTTAAATAGTTTATTTTAGGTAGTGCAGCTATCAACACAAGTTTAAGTATTTAAAATAGTAATGATAGAATATTTACATATGTTTTACAATACAATGAACATTAAGAAATAATGATAATAAAAAAAAAACTTCAATAGATCCCAAACTCTCGTTAGGTTATCATAAATATGTTTAGTAAAATACTTAGCAATAAATCTTAATAGATTATGTTACCTCTAGAAAGAAGTTTTCTGAATTTCTGTGTTGCAAACAATTGCTGCTGAACATCATCACTATACAAAGCTGATATTATTTCACTTGTGATTCCAGCCTTTAAATAAAATCTCTAATTAGCTCTTTATTTATAACAGTTATGTGTGCATATTTTCAAAAGATTTTTAAATAAGATCAAGCACAAGTTCTACTATGAATGAAGTTTTCAAAAAAAACAAAACAATTACTATAATTAATTTCCTGCAAACTACCCATGGAGGCGTATGACCTGCAGACAGAAGTTACAACCCAAAAGAAAAAATTACAGCAAATAATGTGCATTGCCATTTAATCCACTGATTTTACAGTGGTTCATTTCACCAAGGAAAATTTACAAATTCCAAAGAAATCCAGCAGAATCTACGTCATATGTGAGTTAATTTACATCATATAAGAGTCAATGGGCATCAGCAAAGAAATAGGTCAGCAGACTTGCAATCAGCTTTAAAGGGGGTTTCACACTAGATGCAAAAAAACTTGTGCATAGGTGATATAAATAAGAATCAGATTCTTTTTGAAGGGGGAAAATATATTTTATTATCTCAATTTCTTCAAGCATCATTTGATAAGACATTTATTAAACTCCTTAGCAGTAACAACCCTACCTGCCAACCATTGTTTTTAAAAACGCAGAAGATTCATTTAAAATTGAAGAAGAAATGACTTAAAATCCAACAGTTTTTACACATTTTCAATTCTTATTCTTAATTCAAAGAAAAGTACAGACATAGTATTACGTGTTTTATTCGAATCAGCTCAAATAAATCCGAAGTAGAAGAAAATTTTTATAAATTTCTGTTAATATCAGACACTTAGCATCTTATAATTTACATTAATCCAGGGTTCCCACATAGTTTCAGGACAGAAAAAAATAAACTTTTTCGGGTATTTCAGGAAATTTTTAATGTAAATCCATGCCTCTCAATTTCCCATTCGAAAACATTTTTAATTTTCATTTGGAATGTCAAATATTACGTTTTGTGAGCAAAAAATATCATTAAATGAAGATGGCAAAATGGAAAAGTTTTAGTAAAATGTAGAATTTCACAACACATAATTGTAATAAATGTTAGAATTATTTAAATCGAATCTCAATAACTGATTACTGTTACTGGCAATTCAAAAACTGGTCATTTTCCAGGTTTTCGTAAAAAAAAAAAAAAAAAAAAAAAAAAAAAAAAAAAAATTCAACTTTCCCTACTTTTAATAGTCAAAATAAAATTCCCTGACAATTCCAGGTTTTCCCTGCCCTTTGGGAGCCCTGTTAATGGTCTGAGCAAAACAGAAGGGGCTATCCTCACACATAAATGCATTTAAGTAGTTCTAAGAAAGTACAAAATTTTAATATACACTTCCTAAATGCAGTCTCAGTGCAGAAAAGGTGACAATTATTAGCATCACATAACCCTTGTAGAGAAAAATTTAAATTAAAAAAAAAATTAGATAATAAATAAATAAAAGAAATATACTTGAGGTGCAGATGAAGGACAGTCATCTTGCATCATAGAAGTTGAAATTTCTCCATCTTGTATATTATCGTCCGTACTCGTTAAGTTTCGCCGTTTGTATAACTAAACAGAAATTATTACATAAATCTCTAATAAAAAGACAACATCATATAGAAAACTTAATTATAGAATAAAAATATAAAGTTATTAATTACAACTAAATTTAAAGTACCTCACTCTCTCTCTTTTGCTTCCTTAATTGAACACCCTCTTCTTCCCTGCGTCTTCGAAGCTCTTGGGCATCCAAACCAATATTTTTATAACGATATCTGTGTTGAGACATGATGATCTGGAAAATAAAAAAATGTAAGTTAATTTAAAATTGAAAATGACTTTTACTGAATTGTCAGGAGATTTTAACATTGAGATAAAAATGGCTTTGCTAGCACTAATAAAATGTATTAAAAAATATTTAAATAGAAATGTATCACTTTGCTTTAAATCATTATCATCAATTGATACATAATCATCAAAAACAGTGTTTGAGGCATTTCCCCCTAACTGATACAAATCCGCATTTTTTTTTCATCATTAGCATGAAGAGCTGCAATTTTCCAACTTAAAATTAAATAAATTAATACAGTAGGGAACCGATTATCTGGAACGATCAGGACCATCGCTATTCTGGATAACTGATTCCTCCGGTTTTCTGAATCGCTACAAAAAGCAGTTTTTTTTTTATTGTTAAACCCAACTAAAAAAAAAAATATTTGAAAATAATCTTAAAAAGAAGAAAATACGATGAAGTAATACACTAATGATTATTTCCAAAATGGTAAGGTAAACATCTTTCAAAAAAGAAAGAAAAATCCTAAAATCTTAGGAGGGAAATTTTTTTTTTTTTTTTTTTGAAATGGCGGGAAAATTTATTTGTTTCGGTTTTTTGGTTTTCCGGATAACGGGTTCTGTACTGTAGAATGAAAGACGGATGTGGAAATTTGTAATTTGAAAAAAGCATCTAAACCATTGTTATTAGTATCATAAGAATAAGTGTTTTTGATAGAACTGTTAAAACAAGACTATACATACAGGAAAACAAAAGTTACAAGAATCATGGATGAATCATGGTTCGACTACATTAAACATTTGAGATGCCTATAATTCCACTTAAGATAGAATATTTTTTTCATTTTGAGTTGATCTTTTGAATCTGACATGTTAAAAATGAATATGAATAAAATTTTCATGTCTCCTGTCATAATTATTGATGGTATTTCAATGAAATCTGTGAAAGATTAACAATTATTTGTAAACCAATTTGATACTTCACTAAGATAAAAAAAAATAAACTCGTACTCTATCATAGAGATCAAACTTGGGTGAACTACTTAAAGTTGATAACTTTGCAGGTTTTAGTGAAATAGTAAAATATGAAAAATATAAACACACACTTATATCTATTATTATAAAACAGGGTTGGCATGTTTTTGACATGTGACAATTTTTGACAGTTTAAACCATGGTTTAAACCGTCACGTCAAAAACCTCACTGTCAAAAATGTCGAAAATCTATATTCATATGTGAAATTTAATTAATACATAAAATTTATCTATTTTTTATAAAGGATAGTGTTTCTAAATATGTTCTAGAAAAAATAAATTTAAAATTTTGAAGAAACACTTATATTTTGAATAGTAACCAAAATCTTGTACTTTTGAAAGCTCACATCTTTTGTAATATTATGTATTCATTTTCATGTGTTATTGAAAATCTGCAGTGATATTATTAAGAAATTTATTTATAACCAAATTTAGTGTATAGTATAGATTATACTAAAAATTAGACATTTTTAAAGATAAACATTAGCAGTTTTGTACATTAGACATCTTTTAAAGAAAAATCTTTTTAATATTCTTTTAAATCTTCTTAATAATCTTTTTAACATAAGACAATACAAATTTAAGTGCTTTCTGTTAAATACACAGAGTAGTTAGTGTCGATTTACAGTATATTCAGCCTATTCATTTACTATGCTGAAAATTTAGTTTATCCAAATACTTGTGAATTTCATTTTGCTGAATACTATATAGTTTTGTTGAATATCTAAATATTCAGCTGTTGAATAATTACTTCTTGCTTTCAAGATATGCATTATTTGTATTCTTAATACAAGTGGAGAAAAAAAAATTAAGAGATAAAAATTGTTTTAAAATGATAAGTGTAATAATTATAAATAAATATAATAAACAATATGAATTATATTTATCATTATTCATAAATATAACTACTTTTAAATTCAAATTAACATACTGGATAATAAAGATATTCGGTATAACATTAAAAAAAATTTTTTATACACTTGTATCTTGTATCAAGTTTGTATTTATACAACATAACTTGTAAGTTCCTTATAAATATTAGTTATATGTTCCTTATATGTCAAAAATGCATAGTAATAAACTTTTAATTTTCTTAAGTATCAAAAAGAAAAAAAAAATTTTTTTAAATATAAATATTTAAACAATTTTTGTGCAAAATTTTTCTGCACATGCATTTGAATATAAATTTCTGAGATTTTAAATCTGTTATTTTACCTTAATTTTAATTAAAAAATATTTTAAAACCTGCTGATTACCTATAGTATAATTAAATTTCAATATAATGCATGGCAACTGTTGGTAGCTTTGAAAATTATATATTTTCTTGGCAAACTTCAGTTTTTGACGGTTTAAACCAGTATTATACCCTTGTCATGTCAAAAACCACTTTTTGACGTCAAAAACCCAACCCTGTTATAAAATATAACTGAATGAGCTTCTGCTTTGCTTTTCTCATCAAAATTAAGAGATACTTTGTGGGTAACAAGGTTTCTATAGAAAATTTTGGAAAATATGTATACCAATCTTGAGAGTTTTTCCATTTGGATATAGCCATACATAACAGTTTCACAGGGTGGAAAAAGAATGTTATTCCTCAAAATAAGACTAGTAAATCATGAATTAAATTAACATTATATACGCAAGAAGATTTCTGAAGTTTAATGAATTCTTTTCAATATAAATATGCAAGAACAGATTTTTGTATGTCCTACTAAACAGTCTGACAACATAATTAAGAAAAACATTACAGTAAGATTTAAAAATCAATATGATTTATTTTTTCAGTCACAATAAACAAGAAGACATTGAAATGAAGAAATTGTCATAACAGCTTAATATTAAGATTAAAATTGGATATATGTATAGGTATAAATGTAATGAGCATTTGCTGACTCAATATATGCTGCTAACATTAAAGACCATCAAACACTATTAAAAAAACTTAGCAAAATCTAACAGTAAAATTATTTAAAACAAAATTAATATTTATAGTCGCAGTCAGTATTTTGATGTTATTTACACGTGACAAACACTTGAAAAGAAGTTTCAAAAGCATTAATTCTTAATTACAGAAGTTGTTAAATCAAATATAGTGCTTAAATGGATAAAATAACAAATAACTTTAGTTAATTAATATAAAAACAAAGTATAGAACACTCATTTCAGACTTTCATCCTAAAAAAACTGATTATAGAAACACAAAATAACCAACTGTGTACATACATAGGAATTTTGAGAAATTATATGATCGAAAAGGAAATGCTTTAAATGAAAATATTCAAAATATTTAATGAATAATACATACCAATAGCTCGTGATTTCTAGAAATAACGATGTCTCCGACATATAACTCCGAGACGGCCACCAATATCAATCGGTAATTCTAGGCCTAAAGAGTTAAACACGATATTTGTTTCTTTTTTTACAAAAGCTTCAAAAAAATATTAATATGTTTCAAAAAATTACTATTTAACAAAATAAAATTATTTGAACCCTTAACATATTTTTGAACGCCACATAATAGTTATAACCAAAAACATTTTTTTATTACATAACAGGTCTGCACACAACAAGATGGCTGCGCCCAGCTTCGATATGGCATGCGATGATATTTCAGCATTTCAAGTAAATTTTATATTGCTTTGTATTTTACATTTATCTGAAAACGTGTTATGTACCTATTAATAAAAATTCAAACCTTTTCCCCCTTTTCTGTTTTTATTTCTGATCTTCTTAATTAATGCTGATTGCGCAACACCGGTTTTATTTTTCACATTATTATTTGTTGATTTACATTGGTATTTGATGTCAAAAAGTTCACATGTTTTATTTACTAAATGTTCGAGACAGCTGTTTCAAAACTAAACATTTACCCAAAAATTTGAATCTCAAATTATGATTAATTATGTGACTATATATCTTGCAATAAAAGTTATGAAAATATTCAGCTGATTATTTAGGGATCATATTAATTTATTATAAAAATGAGTTTCATTTCACAAGTTAATGTGCAAATCGCACAATTTCAGCGCAAAAACATACTTATAATGCATTGTAACGTAACGAGCATATTTTAACATAACAGAGCTCTGAGCAGATTTTTGAAGAAAATGTCTGGATGTATAGTTAGATATCTTGCAGGATTTTTGATGTTTTTATATTTTTCTCTTCTGATTTTTTTTTTTAAAGAGATAGTTTGTTTTATTCCTTTTAAGATTTGTGTATTAGGATTTGTAAAAAATTTATAAAACTTTTGTCGTATTTTCTGTTATTTGTGACACTACGTATAAAATGTGTGTGTTATTAATGTAATAAGAATCCTTCTTTCAAACTAATAAAGAAACTTTGATTTCCTTCTATCCATAGTTTCCTTTTGAAAATAGAGACTATAAATTAAATTCGAAAGGGGTTGCAAACAAAATTCTTGTAATAATTTTAATAAAGATAAACTTTACTATTGTTTTCTAAAAAATATTAAATTGTAAATGAATTGTGCTGATTAACTTGTTTGATCTGCTGGCCTTAAAAATACAGATGAAGGAGGGGAGATATTTCTGGTAGGTGGTTGACGAGGCCTCCAATGAATTTTAAATTTGCAATCTTCTTTATAAAAATGGTAAAAGTTTGCCCGGACTTGGTTGACTATGAGTTATATCCTTCGAGTTATCCTCCTTTTGTGATTTTTCTTTAAGTTTCCTGTAAGCCGTTGTCTAGAACGGGTTTCCGACTTGCATGAGGCCGGGGGCCACAATTCAGGGGTCTGTCTAAGTTTTTCTGAGAGGTACCTATTTTGTAAAAATTTAGACATAATTTGTGAAAAATTATATTAAAAAATCAACACCAAAATATGGATTTATTCTTTCTTAAGGGATACAAAAATAAAATTTTTAGAGTAAGTATTTTGCTGAAGTTGAATTTATGAAGGTACCGCTAAACGGTAGTAAATTCGGCTTGGACAGACCCCTGCAATTAAAAATACCAGTCAAATGGCGGGCCGCAAATTTTGTTAAAATTTTATATAGAACTCTTTTATGTTTGAAGGAGCATTAAATATTGCTGTTAGATTTTTATCAAGTTGTTCAAAAGAAAGGTAATGAATTGCAAATAATAATAAGTATTTTCTTGGATGCAAAACTTGAGAAATAAGTTTTTTCGCACCTCTGGTACGTTAAATTTCACAAAAACGAGGAAATTAGGTTTTTTTGAACAAAAGAAAAGTATTTTAAACCCATATATATTTTTTATGAAAATTGTCCACGAAAAAGTTAAAAATAATGTATATTTTAGCTCTCAGGCCACTAAAAAAGACGTTGCGGGGCCCCAGTTGGTAACCACTGGTCTTAAAATTGCCAAGACCTGGCTATTATTCTACTGCAGATTACGATATGAAAATCTCCCCCATGAAAGGCACTTGTAAAATCAGTAAACCCCATGTCTTCATTGGACAATTTACTGGGAGATATCTGTTCTCTAATGGATTATGAAATTCAACTATGATATGATATGCAATTTTTACATTAAGAGACTATCATTCTGTTGAGTTCAACCATTAAAGAACCCACAAATCAAATCTCAAGCAACAATTCTTCAAAATAATTACCTTTTTCCGGTTCGGGAAGATTTCTGTACCGGTACCCGTGCCAAAAAAATTACTAAATTTTGCAACAACTGGATAGTGGCATGTGAGAAAAAGATTAACTCAAAGGGTTATGTTGTAGCAAACTAATAATTATTTTTTTTTAATGTTTTTTAAAGCATCGAAATCTATGGGTATCTTAGTGATTATAGTTTAATTAATTGATAAATTAAAGATATATGCAATAGAAATTACATCATTGTTATTTTAGCTTTGAAATTTACTGATGTTATAAGTGCAATGTTTTCCTATTTTTAAATGCATCTAAACGAGTGTCTTACATTATTGACCAGACAGGAATTTAGATTCACACAATTTTTCCTTAAATAAAATAAAAATGTAAAACATCACAAATTAACTCATGTAAACAAATATGGATATTTAGTTATTTTAATTAAGCATCTTCTTCATTTTGTCAAAACATAGATGCAGAAAGAGTTTGAAACAAGTTATGATAGGGAGGGAAAAACAATTGAACATCATATTAGTTTTTGTGAGATTATTTTTGCTTTTTTTTTAAAGAAAAATTTACTGTTACTAAATTAATTCTTCTTTATTTAGATAATTTACTTTATTAACAATTTTAAATTAGGCTGAAAAATGTGGAATAATTTTTAAATAAATGTTTTTAATATTTTTTTTCTTTTCGAAAATTATTGTTGTTTTTTCTTACTTGTAACATAAAAGTTTAGTGAAGCAACCAATTTTCATTGGCCTGAATGAAGCCTGCTATTTTATTATTGTTTGGAATTTCTATGAACTTTTCTTCTTCAAGAAAGATAGTGTGGACTTGACTCATTACTGGAAAACTATTTCAAAAAGCAGAGTCTTAGTTTTAACAGTCTAAGTGTAATAAATTTATTGTAAAATACCTAATGTGTTTTCAAGAAAACAGTTTAAATGATGTGTTCCAAATCATTTCAACTTTTGTTTGATCCAGCCTTTTATAAATGACTATATTTTTTACGAGCAATTGTAAAAATATATATATTTTGGTGTGCTCCATTTTTTTGAAAACACATCTTATTAATTGTAATGTTTCTAAAAAATAAGTTTAAATAATTCAAATAATGTATTTAAAAATATGTTTTATCAATCATTTCTTCATAACTCTTACTTATATGATTCCTTCTAGGAAACTCTGAGGATTATGCGAAAAATTGATGACAATATTGTTCATTCATTAAATACTACAATACCCACAGCTTCTTTTGCAGAAAAAGATAAGGCGACTGACCAGTGTAAAGATCTTTATAGTCAGGTAACATTAGTAAACGCAAATTTTATTTTATGTGAGTAATGACATTATATTACTATGACTAAAGATTAACATCTTTTATTAAATGTGGAATAATTAGTAAAGTTGAAATTTAAATCTAGCAATTAGTAAAGTTTAGTGTCAAGTCTCATAACTTTTAATTTTTTAAGTGACTTACTAGGTGATCATTTGTTAATTTTATTTGTAAATTTCACAGCAGATTCAGAGCTATTGTATCAGAATGACAATAAGAAAGCACAAAAGAGAAAAAGAAATGTTGAAGATAAAGAAAATATAGAAGTAAAAAGATCACAACGAGATAAACCAAATTATCATTTAATAATTTAAGTGGAGTGGATGAAATGACCGAGTTGCCTGAAGTTAATGATCAGATGAGTCAAAGTATGGGCATTGGTGAAGCAAAAAATAAATTTACTGAAAGTATAGCAACTAAATATTATTTTCCAGTATTTAAAAGTTTTTTAAATACACCAGAAAGCAGCAACATGTTTAATGTTCTGTATAAAAATCAAGTTCATCAATATATGTCCAGTATTTTAAGTGGAACAAGAGCAAAAACTAAAGCTTTTGGGGAGCTTGATAACCTTTGGTTTGATGAGAAAGGAGAGAAAAAAAAATATTTACAAACTTTAGAAGAAAACGAAGTAAACCTATCCGCTATATCTGGTGTTTTAAGTGGAACAGAGGTTAAAGCTAAGCAAACTTTTGAGGAGTTTTATAACCTTTGGTTTGATGAAAAAGGAGAGAAAACAAAATATTTACGAACTTTAGAAGAAAACGAAGTAAATCTATCCACTATATCTAGTATTTTACATGGAGCAGGAGCAAAAGTTAAACAAGCTTTTAAGGAGCTTTAAAAGCTTTGGTTTGATAATAAAAGAAATCCAACAAAATATTTACGAACTCTAAAAGAAAACAAAGTAGTTCTACCTAATGTCTCCAATATTTTAAGTGGAGCAGGAGCAAAAGCTAAACATTTGAAGAGTTTTATAACCTTTGGTTTGATGAGAAAGGAGAGAAAACAAAATATTTAGGAGATTTTACTAACACAGATTTTAAAGTAAGTAATTTATCAGGTATTTTAAGTGGAGTAGGAGCTAATGTCTGTTGTGCTTTAAAAGATTTCCATAAAATTTCCTTTGATGAAGATGGAAACAAAACAAAATATTTAGAAGATTTTACTAACACAGGTTTTAAAATGGGTTATTTATCTTATGCACTCAGTTCATCAAGAACTAACTGTGTATCTGTTTTAAAAAAATTCCATAATCTTCGTTTTGATAATGCAGGGAGTCCGACAAAATATTTAAGTGATTTTATTAAATTCGAGAGAAATTTTGAATCGCATGATTTATGCGGCATTCTGAGTCAAGGAGCTAGTTAAGAAGAATTCCATGATTTCTGTTTTGATAATGAAGGAAACCCTAGAAAGTATTTAAGTGATTTCATTAAGAGAGAGTTTGCACCAAATCTTTTATCTATGTGTTACATGGAGCAAGACGTAATGTTTGCTCCACTTTAATAGTTTCATATCACAAGGAATAGTTTCATCACAGGGAATCGTAAAATTGGCTCATTTTTTAAACTTTTTGTTATCGTCTTTTCTCATCCTTGCGGTTAAATTTGGTGAGTTTTATGAAAAACATGTTAGACATCACCCCTTAATGCAGAATTAACATTTTTTTAATCAAAACTATGGTTAATCAATTTATTTTATTTCAATTTAAATCATGTTACTAAACATTTTTATTAAATTGTACATGCATTTTTATTTATCTATTGCCTTGCTTGTGTTATTGTATTAATGTAATTTTAAAAAGAATTAAAGCATTGTTTTATTGCATTTTCAGTTGCTACAATCATATGAGAAAAGAGAAAAGGCCATCAAGAACTGTGTAGACCTCAAATCAAAACATGTACAATCACTAAAAGATAAAAGAACTCAAGATAATGATAATTTTGAACTCTTAAAAGATCGTAGAAAAGCACAGACTCAAGTAACTTTATTTACCTTTTTATAATTAGAATTTTCTGTTATACAGTACAGAACCCGTTATCCGGAAATCGGAAAACCAAAAAACCGGAACGAAATTCGATAAATTTTTCAACCATTTTTTAAAATAAAAATTTTTTTTCCTCATAAGATTTAGTATTTTTCTTTCTTTTTCGAAAGATGTTTACCTTAGAATCATTTTGGAACTAATCATAAGTGTATTACGTCATCATTTTTTCTTCTTTTTAAGATTATTTCCAAAAAAAAATTTTTTTTACTTGGGTTTAACAACAACAAAAAACGGCTTTTTGTAGCGATTCAGAAAACCGGAAAAATCAGTTATCCGGAATAGCAATGGTCCCGATCGTTCCGGATAATCGGTTCCCTACTGTAGTTAAAAAGTAAAAAAAAAACTTTTTATAAAATCATTGTTTTTGTGTATTCACATTTCCCCCCTCATGTTTTCATTCTATTTTTGTGTGTTGTATTTTAAATTTTGATTATAAAAATGTTTGAAATTGCTCCTTTTGGTTGATTTCAAGCATTAATGGGTTCTTATAAAATCATTTTTTCTTATATTTCATTAAAACATTTATCTGGCGATTGTGTTGTTTATATGAAAGACTTGGGACAGTCTACACAAATTCTTCATTGTGTTTCAAAAAGCTATTTATAGTTTTCATATTGATAATATGATGTACAAATGCACTTTGATATTATCTAGTGGTCATGCATAAAAATTTTAAAGTATCTTATTAGAAATGATACTGAGGAATATTCTGGTCTAAAAATACCCCTTTCGGAGAAAAAATGTGTTCTATCACTAAATTTGCCCAAACCCTTCACATGAAATATGTTTCATTAATATGTCATCTGTATAAATTTATTATTTTAATAGACTATTAAAATTTAAATAAAATGAAGAAAGAAAAATCAAATATTCGTGTAACTGTTCACTGTAAAGCTACCAAATGATCTAACTATTAGGAAATTGAATAAAAATTACTGACATGCTATAGAAAAATTGGCAGAAATAAAACAATTGTTCTTTTAAAAAATAACTACTATTAATGGTTTACAACTTTATTAAAAACAATTATAAATTTCAAAACTTTGAACTATCACTGTAAAGCTGCCAAAGGACCTAAATATTGGAAAGTTAAATTGAAGTAACTGACCTGCAACAGAAAAATTTGCTCATTTTTTATACTTAAAAAGCGTAAAAGCATGACTTACATTATTTTTCAATGAATAACAAAACAGTGGGGAAAAAATTTATATTGAAGCTGCATAAGTTTAATTAAAACATAAATAACTAATCTAAAAAATACTTTGACTACTTCAAAAGTATATTATCACATAATGACATTTATTAAATGACATTTCTATCTGCTTTTATCTTCATGTGTACTCTGCTAGGTGCTAAATGACAAGTTGTCCACTCCAAACTATATACTTAGTAAAGAAAAGGCACTTCTCCAGCTGTTCCAGACAGGCAATTTTACTTTATTTACTGTAACTTAAATATTTTATGACAAACTCTGTCTAAAAAATTTAATGAAAAGATATCAAGGACCTGAGTAGAAATAAAATAAACTGATTTTTTTTCTTTATAGCCAGGTTTATTAAATTAGAAAGGTTTTCTTTTAGAAAGAAAAGAATTGAATAAAAATTATCAAGTCAATTTTTAGTAATTTTTTTCTCACTTTGATCATAAATTAATGCATTGTAATGCTTTTAAAACATATATTCATTATCTTTTCTTTCTTCATTTCCAGTTTCGACTTATGCAGAATGAGCTCAACATTGAAGAGGTTCTCAAAGATCGTAGTTTAAAAGTAAGTTTAACAACTCAGGGTGCGTAGCCAAATCTTTGAATCAAAAATAAGCACTTTTTAAAAACTTTTCAAGCACTTTACAAAAATTTTCAAGCACTCAAAAAATTCATATTCAACCAATGATATTATTGAAAAATAAAGAGTTTTAGCGTTAAAAAAACCCCCAAAAGGAAACGGACGTAAATCAAAACAATCAGTACTTTCCCACATCACCGAGTAAATTCAACTTGACCCTGAACTCAGAACAAAAGTACCCTTACCCCCTACGTCTAAAAAGTGTTAGAAGTAAAATAAAATAAACAAGAATAAAATTAAATTAAATTAAAAAGAAAAACATTTCATAAGGATCTGATATTCTCTATCCGAATTGGAGCACTCGGGTTTCGGTTTTAAGTGTGCGCGCATGCGCAAGTCATAACGTGTGGGTACGACATGAAGTCCGCGTGAATGATTACGTAGCAAACACCCCATTTTACGTGAAATGCATGGGATCCACCAGATATCACTGAAGAAAAAAAAAATATTTGTGGAAAAAAAGCACTTTTTAAAAACACCAGCTGAAAAAAGCACCTTTAAAAGCTTTTAAAAACGAAATCCCCAAAAAAGCACCTTTAAGTACTTTTTACAAACGCTACGCGCCCTGACAACTTGATGTTTTATTATAGCTAAATTTGGCTAGTGCAGTTAGTACATAATTGCAATTTACTTTTTTAAATAATTGAATTAAATGTCAAGAAATATTTTCAAATTAGCTAAAATATGGAATTATTTAACAATTGTATCTCTTTCCTCAAATTTGGTTTCAAATATAGAATCTAATTCTGCTGGACGATTTTTGAATAATTTCATCTAGTGATCAGTTTTTACTTATTAAGATGAAATCATTATCGTTTATGACTTCAACATGAAGTTCTAATTTATAAAGAGGATGTTTAATTCTTTGGTTACTGCAGTGAACTCACTGGATAATGCACTGACCCACAAAGTTTGCATGTGTGTAAACTGACGTTCGAATTTTCGAGATGATATTCTGAGACTTTGCAAGCATTAGAAATAAAATTGCTATTTCAGTTCATTAAAAAATATCTGTAATTTATTTCAGTGGGATAAATTTTAAACAAAGATCGACTCACGAACTCACATTACGTTTTTACACTCATACTTAGACACTTGTCTTTTTAGTCATTTGCACTGCAAACAACACAGTCTTTCTGACTGTGTCAACATATTAAGTGCAACTCAAAATATATTAAGCGCATTTGAAAGACACTCTTAGGTGGTGTTTATCCATTATGAATAGGCAATAGTCAATGAAATATTAGCCAGTGGCAGTTTGGACCAGTTATCAAATGGTATTACAGGGCATGTGATTCTTCCACTTATTCTCGGACTTCCACGAATCAATAATTTATATTCCGACGGTTTTCTTGAAATTTCGCAAATCTAACATTTAAATCTCGTTACCAGAACATTTTTATCGCCCTTATCAGCACCCTCTTTTTTTAAAAGTTCTTGTTTACAGGGATAACTGCCTTTTTTATTGCAGATTTGTTGGAGAACAACGCAACTTCGAATTAACAACAACAACAAAAACGAGACAGTAGAAAATTTTCATAGTTAATTCCTCTAGAATTTATGAACTAAACAACGAAAAGTATAAATTGATAAACTAAAAAGTGATTCTAAATTAGCAAAAACTTTAAATGAGTAGCAAATTTCGATTTGTAAAGGAACAATTTTTTAATCCATGTGATATAATTGTCTCTTTTGTTTGGCTACGATTAGATTGAATTTTTAATATGGTATTTCGACATGTAAATCTTGAATTGCATTTCAACGTACTCGATATCTTAATCCATTTCGATCTAATTCTCTTTTCTTTTACTTTTCATGCAATTTTTTTCACATGATTTTTAAAATTTCGATATTATTACGACCCACAAAATTCAATTAGTTTATTTATTAGTCACTATTGACAATGATACCACTGTTTTTTCGATCAACCTTTTCACAGTTATAGTTACTGATATCCTCGTAGTTTTATAAATCCTGATATATTCATGCAATATTAAAGAACAAGACATTCGAATCTCATATTTATTATGTTTTGCACATTGTTACGTTCTGCCACGCTCAAATTGTGCTAAAACCATGCAGCGTGTAAATTGTTTTTTTTGCTGTATTTGCTGTTGATTTTCAAGATTTTTTAAAACCTCAATATTATTAGGGCACAAGAAATTCAAATAAATTTTCTTTCTCTCTTTAAATTTCTCATATGTTACTTTTCTACACCAAAATAAGTATTTTGTTTATATTCTATGTTAAAAAATATAAAATAAGTTCTGAATAAAACAGCACATAGGAAAAAAAATTTCAGACAATTTCTTCTTCCGATGCTGGCGAATGCGCTTGTTCACACATTATCACAGAAAAGCTAGCTAAATACAGCCCTCTCAATGAAAGGTTTAATAATCAAAAATGTTTTAAGTAAATAACTTTTTACTCCACAAATTTGGATTTTGATAAAAATTTCGCATTTTGATTTTTCTTTTTTATGTATATATTCTGTCATATAAAATTACAGTTAAGAAGTGAGATAAAAGTATACATAGTTTTCAATTCAATCATTTTTTGACCACCATTTAATGAAAGGATAAAAATCAAAAAGTTTTCCAATTGTGTGCAAAAATGTTAAGTCTGTTATTTACTATGCACATTTTATATTTACATTAAGGAATAATTAATTCTTGTCTCATTTATTTTGCAGGTATTCTATGAAAGATGCCGATTTTACTATAAACCATCTGATCTGAAGATTTGACAATAGTGTTGACTAGGTTCATCTTTTGTGTTTTACAAATTGCCTTAGATTAAAAGCCATGAGTTATAAAATCAATTATAGATTTGTACATAATTTAAACTAAAAAGATTTCATTAAGACGGTGTTTAGAACACTAATGTCGCCATAATAATTTGTACATCACAAATCATTTATTAAATATTTTTGTAGTACTAGTGAATTGTTTCATTTTCAAATGCTTAGTGATCATAGATTAGACTTGCTTTTTGAACTTTAGAATTCTTTCAAGCTCTTTCGTGAAGGTAAGAAAAGAAACTTTTTGAATGCCCTAAAGCTTGGGCACAGCTTTAATCTAAGACTTATATCTATTAAAACCACATCATACAAGAATTTAAATATTTTATTCGAGTTAAGACCATTCCTTTGTAAGTTTCATCAATATTTCAACTAATAACACCGAATTACTAAGACCACTCTGAAATTGTGCTGCTAGGAAGCTAACAGGAAGAAAAAAAATTTCTTTCCTTCTTTTTTTTTTTTTTTAAAGCTTAAAAATAATCATTACTTCTTTTGAGTAATTTTACTCACAGTTTAAAGTTAATGTGCTTTTTTTTTCCAGCTTGATGAATCACTGAAATTATATAGCTAAACTAAATTATATGAAGTAAAACTTTAAGCATAAGTAGGTAGATTCTTTCAGTGACAAACAGATGTTTTTCAATTGACCAAATTTTTGAATCATTTTTTGGCAATAGTGAGTGCTGATTTTTTTTCCAATTATTTTAATTTAACTTTAATGCATTAACTTTACTATTTCAGAATTTCTCTTGGCGAGTTGAATTTATTATTTTAAAGAAGTAATCAAGCTGTAATTGAATATTATTTTAACTTAAAACAAGCAGAATAAAAAAAATTATAACCTCTGATTTCAGCCGAAATGTTGATTCGCTATGAAAAGTGGCATAATCAAAATTTCTTTGGCAATTCTAGTTATAAACAGTATGAAATTTTATTCCATCTTGCATACACTCTCAATAGCATAAACTTTATTTACAAAATTTGTAACTATTAATATAAAAAGTATGATCATACGACTTTAGTAATATCAAGGCTAAAAAAGCATTGAAATATCCTTAACTTCTGGCAGAGGTGTTTTCATTCAGCACATGTGACGTCTTGACCAATTGGGGATTGTTTTCAAGTGTATCACCTATGAAGGCTTTTTAGGGCAATTTAAATAAACATTTGTAGAAAAAAAAAAACAAGATTTTTATATTTAGGGTAAAAATTTTCAAAAAGTTGTTAAGACTGAAAATATCAAATTTTAAGGGATACTGTATTGCCCATTTCCTAAAATTAAAAAGAACATCTGATCTTTGCTCAGCACAGTTTATTACTTAATAAGTAATACTGTTGATTTGAAGGTTTTCTTTTTAAAAAAGAAAATGTCAGCATTCTACATAATCCACCTTTATTTCGAGGGCAAGCTGGATGAGCTTTAAATATTCTGCTGAAGTAACTAGGAATACTTTTCAAAAATTTAGGTACAATATATAACATAAACGATTTATTCAGTTGCAAGTACCATTTTTTTACATCTATAAAAAAATGGGCGATGGGTACACTCTTCATTTTCTGAAATATATCACTAAAGTTCTACGAGTGCATCCTTAGCACGGTGCGTAGCCAAATTATTCAACAAAAAATAAGCACCTTAAAAAATATCATAATTAGGCAGGGTTGGAAAGTTTTTGTTAATCGACGGTTTTATCTTGTTTTAACTGTCATGTCAAAGAACAAAAGTAACCTTTTGGCATTGTTTTTGATAATTGTGAAATTTTGAATAATGTAAAACGGGTGGCGTTTACATACGCTACGGACAGATTACACGCCGAAATAGATTGGGGTTGAATTAATTATGAAACCGTTGAATAGAACAATGTGAACTGTGTCTTAACATAGTAAAGGAAAAAACTCATTTTGAAAAAGGGAAAATTAAGAACTTTTTAAAAACTCTATGCACCCTGCTTATGTACCCAGACACATCCTATAGATAAAAGTGTTTTGCTAACATGTTGATGCATCGAGAATGGCATGATTTACAAATTTATGTAGCCATAATGCCAACAAAAACACATCACTGTAGCAGTGACAAACATTCATATATGTATTGAATGTTACGATCGAACAGCTTACCATTGGAATGAGTACACACGTAAAAAGTATTAGTAACCTGAAACCTATTTTTTTTAAACTGGATGAATTATTTAGGCTAATCCTGTATTTCATTGCAGTTTTAACAATAATATTTAAAAACATAGATTATAGATTACAACCAATTTAAATATGTTAGCATGCATAAGTTATTAGTGATGCTGTATTATCAATATCAAAAGTGTCATTGCATGCCTGCCAACATTGGCAGGGTTCCCACTCAATTTTTTAAAAAAATTCAAGGACCAAAAATCAACATTTTTCAAGGACCTATTCGGTATTACAGTTATATGCTAAAGTACATGTCAACCAAATTTTACAATTACATAGAAGCAGAAACTGTATATTTTTAAAGCACAATGCTTGTTTGACAACAAAAAAATTTATTAAATTTATCAGTTAATGATACAAATGGTTGATAGTTACATTGCTGTTTCAATTCCTATTGACAAAAAAAAAAAATCCAATTGACATACGAACGAAACTAGCTTCAGTGAAACTCTTCATGAAGTGAATAAGAATTAATTAAACTTAATTAATGCATATTACATTAAACAAGCATAGTAAATAATTGACAAAGTTTGTGTGATTGTAAGGTTATTTAATATAAATACTATTTTTTAATATGTTAGATCAAATTTTAGGTTACAGGAAATGTATATAATTAGATAAAATATCAAAATATATCCATTTAACATATCTGTTTCAATTTTAATAAATTATCTATTTTGTTACTTCAGAATATGAAAAATGTATTTTCAACATAATAAAATCTATTGTAGCACAATATTTTACAGATAACTAAAACTTACCAAGCTTTATTTTCTTTAAAATATATCCATAAAATATGAAACGTGATTTCAAAAATTTTGTGAATATGCATAATTTTCACCAAGCATAATTTTTAAATGGCATTTATACGAATCTAATTTACATAATGCAAATCAAAATTATAAGAAAGGTGAAGTAAGTTTCAAAGATTGTGTAAATTACGTATCACAATGCGTGATTTGTAAATCAAAATTGAATTGTGGTGTATGTTTCTTAAATCAAAACAATATGAATAGCAAATGATGCAAAAGCACGAACTAACAAGACGTAAATCACGATGTGTGATACATAAATCACTTTAATGTGAACTCTGTTGCGTGATTAGCTAATAGTTTTCACATGAATAGTGATCATTATGATGCAAATTTCAATTTCTGATTCGAAGGGTGCTTAATATAGAACAGCTATGTGTTATTCTTAAATCCTTTTAATGAGAATTGTGAGTGGTAATTTTTAAATATCTCTTTGGTGAATCACAATACGCGATTCTGAAATTACTTAAATACGTATCCTGTTATATGATTCAGAAATAACTATAATTGAAATCACAATGTGTGATTGATAAATCACTTTATTGTGAATCATGATGTGTGATTTATAAAATACCGTAATGCAAATCCCGATGAGTATTTCGCAAATCACTTTAAAGTAATATTCGATATGTGATTCATTAATCACTGTTATCTAAATCACAATTTGTAGAACATTCTATATGAATTCCAGCTTCAAAACATCAGAGATGAACAATAATCTGGTGTGAAAAATCTAGGAGAGAAAAGTTTTGCATCTTCTTTAACTCCTTTTCACTTCAAGCATTATAAGTTGAATCTATCAGAATTTCCATTATCTTCCTTTGAATTTTTTACTGCTCTTTTGTAAGATTAGAATTATTTTAAATCCTAAAAAAATCAAGTACTTTTCAAGTACCCTATGGCAGAATTCAAGGGCCCTGATTTTTTTCAACTAAATTCAAGGTTTTTCTAGTACCGTGGGAACCCTGATTGGGGAAATAAAATAACATATTTTACTAGTGACATTTTTTAAGCTACGAATAAAGTTTAGATACAATCACGTAAGTCAAAATTGGAAATAATATAAGCACTTACATTTTGAATAATAAAAAATATGTATATAAATCTTAAGATTTTTTTAAAACATTATTTATAAGTACTGGCAGAGCCGGATTATACCTTTCGTAGGCCCTAGGCACAGCCGTTTTCGGGACCCTTCCCCCACTCCTCCCCTCTTTTCAAAATATATGCTAAAATTTTCTTGCATATTTTTTTTACATTTTTCTTAATATGGATTTTAATTTACAAATCAGTTTATCGAACTTTATCTGCAATACCGACATACTGCCGATATTGCAGTTGATATCGATAATACCATTATGATTAGTTCGATCGATAACTATGTAAACACTTCACGTCAACAATACAACAACAAACCAGCAAAGAAAACAGTGAAATTGATAGTGAGATTAATTACAAGAAATATTTATACAGTAGAGAACCAATTATCTGGGATGCTCGGGACCATCGCTATCCCGGATGTCTGAATTTCCCAGTTTTCTGGATCGACCAAAAAGTGTCATTAATCGATGTTTTATCGAACCCGAATTACAAGGAAATTACACAAAAATTTGTCAGAATCTGAGATTAAACTAAAAGCGCAAAATTTGGTGAAAATTTACTCATCCGATTTAGAGAAAAACTTTGTAGATGAATTTTTACTATTTTCAAATTTATATGAACATAAATCTGCACAAGAAATGTTGAAGGCTCAAATTAAAGATAAACTTGTGAATACTTTTCCTAACGTTCACATTGCATTAAGAATATATTTGTCGATTCTTGGATCAAATGCAGAAGGAGAAAGATCTTTCTCCAGATTAAAATTGATAAAAAATTATTTGCGTTCAACAATGAATCAAGATCGTTTGGCATCGCTCGCACTTATGTCTATTGAATACGACATTTTGCGTAGTTTGGAATTCGACAGCATAATACAAGATTTCGTTGAATCCAAAAATCGCAAAAAAGTAATATATTAGATCATAAGATTCTGCAAAATAATTTATTACCGAAAAATATTATATTTTTATTTGTATCTTCATAATTTTGTGCAAAATACACTTGTTGTTTTTAAAGCTAAATTATTTTTGTCAACAAATTTTTTTCTCCCAAGTTTTTCGTAGGCCCTAGGCACGTGCCTATAGGTTAATCCGGCCCTGAGTACTGGCAATAGCACCATCTGTTGAGGAATTTTTCACCATTAGTTGATATTTTACCGTCAATTTTTTTAAAAATTTCTTCAACAAATACAGAGTATACAAGAGATAGTCGTAGAATACGGGAATCTTCGTTAAAAAAACAAGAGACTTGGCAGATATGTCATTGTATGTTGTTGCAATTGAAATAAATTAGAGAATTTTAATCAATGGCATAACTTTTTAATCACTTCTATAGCAAAACATAAAAGGAAAAAGAAACTATGTTTCAAATTGAGTCATTAAACTTCTACATGAATACAATGATAAAAATGGGAATATGTTACTTTTTTATCGCAGTTAATAAACAACACATTTTAAAATACAATTGGTGAGTTTTGATGTTTGGACATTAAATGATAATAAATCTGTACATGAATACACCAGCCAACAAACATTAACGAGTGTTTTAAACAATGAGTATTTTACAAGATTAACAACATCATATGCATATTGCAGTAATAGTAATTATCTGCACTATACTGAAACATTAAAATCAAATATAATAAAAATAACCCTTATATACTAATCCAGTTGCTTTACAAACAAAAAATAAAATAAGCATTAACAAGAAAAAAATATCTAGGTAGCATAACTGCTTTTTTTAAATTAAAAGTGTCTATTCAGTTGATGAGGATCAGCTGAAGCCAATGATTCAATCGATGAGAACAGGATCAATAACTGGTTCATTGGCTCCAAGGAGATGATGATCAGCTGAAATTAGAACTCAATCTGATCCAGAATGAAAACCTACAAAATAATGCAAATTCAATAAGACACATTAGACCAACTTAAAACAAGTCATAAAATTATGTTAATGAGATAAGTCAAGGTTTCCACAGACAGGTGGTTTCCCAACCAAGGAAAAGGTTATTATACTTGCTTGGTGAGGAAACAGTTTTTGAATGACTGAAAAATACATGAAATTTTAACAAGTAAAAATTGTATGCAGGAAACATTTAATGAACAAAATGTTATGAACGGTTTAATATAAATTTCGAGACAAAATCTTATTTGTTTAAATTGCGTGAATATGAACCTCAATGTGTGATTTTCAAATTGAGTGAATTATAATCTCAACATTTAATACTAATTGCGTGAATACGAATAATCTATCTAAAACCAAGCAAATATGAATGCAAATATGAATCCCGATCTTTGATTTTAAAATCACGTGACAACAAATTCCTATGTATAATTTTCAACACACTTGAACAAGAATCATAATAGTGACTTCGAAATCATGTAAATACAAAAGGTCATATTTGATTAAAAAAAAGTTAAAATACAAAAAAAGGTGCTCAATCTTAAATCGCATAAATAGAAATTGTGATGTGTGATTTTAAATCTGGTTTGCATTTGTAGGAGAAAGCATGAAAATTAATTTTTTTTCTCAGGAATTAAAAAAAGACAAACTTGTTTTTAAAGAAGCAGACTTATTTTTCTTTTTTAAAAATAGTAAAAAAAATTCCATGAAGCTAACAAATTGTCCGGGAACGTTATTCAGGTAAGTCAATATCCTTATTTTATCACCACCTTTTTTAGAAAAAACATTATTTTTAATGATTCTTTTTCGCTGTTTGTTTTAATTATAGTGCAGCATTTTAACTAAGCTTTTCTGAGAGACTTTATTCTATTTATTTATTATAACTTTTTACCCGTACAGTAATATAGATAACTAGTAAATGTAATTTTCAATGTTAAAGATTTGTTTTATGAACTAAGATTTCTTATCTGTCTCTCCTGCTTATTTTTAACTTATCTTTTTATCAGTTTTTATTATGACAACACAGAATTTTTTAAAGGTTCATATAAACTTTATTCCATGCACAACCTGCGCCCCCCTGAGCCACATGCGGCCAGCTAATCTTCAATGTACTTAAATCTAAAAAATAATTTTTTTTTAAAAAAATTAAAAAAGTTCGGGAAATTGGAATTTAATTAAATAGTTTTTGACCAATGTATAGTTTATCGATTGCTTTTTTTCAAAATCATTTTTAATATTAATCCTTTTTAACCCTATAAACTTTCTTTGAATCAAAGTTTTAACTTGCATTGATTTGAATAACTAGAATATTTTTCTTTTAAATTTAATTCTAAGAACAAATTTTTTAATGGACTTATGTATTATGTAATAAGATAAAAAAAAAACTCATGAACTTTCCCATAGTTTAATTATTTATATTTATCTAATTTTTTTTCTAATAAATTGATTCAGATTCTTCTTTTTTCCCTAAGTAATCAGTTTTGCAGTTTCTAATTTTAAACATTTAAAAGCATTTAATTTTATGCAAATATATTACAATGTTAGCTGGAAAAAAATAGTCTAGTGCCTAGAACAATGATGTCAATATGTCAGTCTAAATACTTTGTCATGTGGCCTTTCATTCAAAAATATAGCGACGTGAAAAGTTAAATTTTCAGCATTGGGATTTTCCTTCTAAAAATTAAGAAGAATGTTTGTTTTTTATCTAGTTTTGAAAAAACCTTTGTGTTACTGATGTTTCCATCTGCAATTTTTAAGAACATTTCCATTAGATTGGTGGCCCACCTTTTTGAGTAAAGGGCCACTTTCGCAGCAGGTTGACTAACAAAGGGCCACATGCATATTTTATCATGTTGGTGGCAATTGGCAAATATGATAATTTTCTTATTAACTTTAGGGTTCTACGCCAATGGTTCCAGATTTTTTTCTGGCAAAGGAACTCTAAATAATTAACCTTTACTTGGTGGAATCCCGACATTATAAATAAAGTTTATTGAATTGTGAATGTCATAACTTATAAAAAACTATTTTTAAAATATTTAATGAGAGGAATGAAAATCTTTTCTCATTAATTATCTTAAATCAGATTTTTTCTCAACAGTTAAATTTACAGTCCCTCTGCTATATAAATTCTAGTTGTGAATTTGTTTTTTGTGAATATGAATAAGCTGAAAATGAACAAAATAAGCCTAATTATATTCTAGTTTTAGATGAAAACTTAAAAGAACTGTTATTAAGAGTTGAAAATGGTCATTAGGATCACTTGTTTCTTTATTAAAGACTTTAATTGTTTTATTTTGATGTGAAAAGCGCGATAAGAAATACTAATGTAATATTTAATAAAACCTTTTTTTTCTTCATCATTTGTTCAACATAGAGCTGTTAGAAAGATATTTTCTTTTAAAAATATAATTTTTATCTCATTGGCATTTATTGAAATTATTTCATATCAAGACAACCAAAAGATTGCATAAATAATGAATTATAGGTTGGAGAGGTAAAATCGAAGGTTTCAAAACTCATTACTGGTTTTAAAAAATACTAACACACGGAACCTCTTCAATACCTTTTTGGAACCCTAGATATCAGCAGAATAATATTTGGGAACAACTGTCCCAATCACAAAATTTTTCAAGTGGATCCCAGAAAAGCCCACCCCATGACAATTTTTTAAAGTTTCGCCAAGCAAGTTTTTGTTATTTTGCCAACCAAGGTTTCCAGAAGATATTTTGGGGAGATTATTTTGAACGTCTGATCACACCACCAAAATTCCTAAATCTGATTAGTTATTTGATATGTATACAACAGTAGGATTTCGTTAGAAAAAAATTCTTTCTTCCACATTTTATGCTTCTGATCTCTTGCAGTTAGAATCATCCTTATTATTTCATTTTTAAACCATTATTTCATTTATTACCACCATTATTTCACTTTTTAAAATCTTTTTGTGTGGTACCGGTTGAAAATGGACGAGTGAACTTCCAACTTTATTGAATGCAAAAGGTAAGAGAGCCGTGATTGAATGGTGCATGAATCAACATTTAATTTCGAAAAGGTACGAATGCTCTAAATGTGGAGAACAAGTGAGTTTCATTACGCGAAATGATGCGGTCGATGGTTTTGAAGAAAGTAAGTTATTTTTTATTCTATTAAAAAAATATTTTAATAAATTTGAAATAATTTAAATTGCTGTTGTTTTTTTAATAATCAAAACGCAACGTTGATTCCAGTAATAATCGCCTTGGAGACATTTCAAAAAGTCACCAAGAGGTGGGCTATTCTAAGATTTTACCAATTTTTCTTATCAAAAAATGTAATACAGTACAGAACCCGTTATCCGGAAATCAGAAAACCAAAAAACCTGAACGAAATTCGATAAATTTTCTCCCAATTTAAAAAAAAAAAATTTTTTTTCCTCATAAGATTTCTCGATTTTTCTTTCTTTTTTTAAAGATGTTTACCTTACCATCATTTTGGAAATAATCATTAGTGTATTACTTCATCGTTTTTTTCTTATTTTTAAGATTATTTCCAATTTTTTNTAACAATAAAAAAACGGCTTTTTGTAGCGATTCAGAAAACCGGAAAAATCAGTTATCCGGAATAGCGATGGTCCCGACCGTTCCGGATAATCGGTTCCCTACTGTAGTATATTTTTTAGAAAATAAAACACTTTTACAAATAAGTAAAAAAAAAAAAATTTAAATAAAAGAAAAAAAATTATAGGATTAGAACAAAATTTAAAATAAAACCATAATAGTACTAAATAAAATTCAATATTGATTTAGTATTAAACTTCAAATACTACATATATTTCTTGCATTATCAGATGTTACATGAATTTTAAATAAAAAACTTTCTTTTTTGCTTTTAACTAAAAAAAAACCCACCTAAGCTACTAAAAAATTAATAAAAATAAATTACAAACAGTGGGCCAGTCTAAAAATTTACGTTTTCTTCCAGTTTTCAAAATCTTTAGATTGCAATAGTATTGTATTAAAATATCTGGATTCGACATACCAAGTAAAAATGCATGGCGCTAAATACCGAAAAAAAAAAAACAGAAAATTAATTTTTATTTACGATGAAATATGCCCAAATAAATAGCAGCAAAAATGGTCATACGAATACGTGATTAAAAATTCATAGGTCATAATAACATCTTAGTTAAGGTTACAGAATCATCAAAATTATGTGTAAAAGCACTGCAATAATTGCGACAAAACAAATGCTCAAATATAGGATAAAATCAACACATTTAAAGCGCGACAATAAGTATTTATTTAAATGCATACTTTAAAATTTGCATGGTGCAAAAAAAAAAAAAAAAAACAGAATTTTAAAAAAGGCAAGAGAATAAATTGCAAAAACCGAGGACAAAAATAATCTAGGTTTACGATGTAATCGGCAAAAACGAACTCATAGTAAAAATGTGGGATTTTCAATATCTTGAGTAAAAGCTTAGCAAAAAATGCTTATAAAAAATGAAGAAAAAAATAATTTAGATCGAGAATGAAATCAGCACACATAAAACACATCAAAAAGTGATAAATTAAATTAGTGATTTAAAACTCGTAATATGAGAAATGCATCAGGATTTTAATAACCACATAGATTTTGGTATAGATATGCAAAAAAAAAAATTTTTTTTTTTAATTAATCGTCGCTTGAACTTATTATGAAAATACCAAAAATAAAGAGAGTCGAAATGTGACAACTCGAGTTCGGCATCATAACTTTTAAAATCATGCAGAATTTTAATAGCAAAACATTGAAAAAGTGATCGAGGCACAACATAGATTTACAATAGAATCAGTGATGATTAAACTGTGCAGTCGATATCAGGAGAAAAAAAATTTCGAACATTTCCGCTGAATTGAAATTTTTACTTATTACATTTACATTATTTTTCAGTCCTCTGAATAAGAGTAGAAAAATAAAGAACATTTCTTCCCCCCCCCCATGTGTGAAAAAAAGCATCTCTTAGATATGGAGAAGAAAAAAAAAATTGAAAATTTCGGCAGAAAAGGAAACTAAAATATTCAAAACTAGAAAATTCTTTGAGAAAGAACTCTAACATTCCGCGACAATGCCGTTTGGATTCAGCCACTGGGATGATAAGAATGTAATATTATGCACCAGAAGAAATAAAAAATAAATTACCTTAAAAAGTTCTATTTCAAGTATTTTCTTCTTCGCCATGAGAAATCCCATCTGTTTCATTCTCGCGTTTCTGTTCCGATGCAGACTGTTCCTGTTTCTTGTTCTCTTTTTCGGATACACTACTTAAGCTTGCACGATCTTTTTCAATACCCGTAAAAGAATTTTTAAATTTGTTATACAAATATTCAGCTTTTTGTCTCACAGTCTCATTGTTCTTAAACTTACGTATTTTTTTCAAAGTATGAAAAATATTAGGGTTTTTTCTAATTGTTCCTACAGGCAAATGCATAGTGTCTAGTTCACTTAACATGTTTAAACATGTTTCAATATCTAAATTATTAAACTTCAAACTGCTTTTGATTTTTTCATCAATTTCATGAAGTTTTGCACTAATTTCCACATCAACCTGTAATTTGCTTATCTTTTCCTTCCTCTTCTTTTCTAATTTTTCTTTCTTTTTTCCTTCTTTCTCTTCTAGTTTCTTCTCTATTTTTTGTTTCAATTTTTCTTCTTCTTGGTCTTTTTTAGTGTCATCCTCTTCTGTTTTTGCTTTTTTTGATGGTTTGTCAATGCCATTTTCCTGCTTTCTTTTTGATGATTTGCTACTATCTTCAATTTTAGACTTTTGTTTTACTTTCTCTTCTTTTGCCTTTTTATCATCTTTCTGTGTAGACTTTTCTTCACTTTTACTCCTTACAGGTTTAACATCTTTCTCCTCAGTTGATTTTTCCTTTGAAGGTTTTTCCAGTCTACTTTTTACTTTATCTTCAATTTTAACTTTAGAGGTCTTTTCCTCTGTCTTCCCTTTTGAAGTCTTCTCTTCAGATTTCACTTTAGACGTCTTTTCTTCAACTTTTACCTTTGATGTTTTTTCTTCAACCTTAGTTTTTGATGATTTTTCTTCAACCTTAGCTTTTGATGATTTTTCTTCTTTTTTAGGAGATTTATCTTCTGGCTCTTTTTTTTCCTTGGATTTTGAAGGGGACATAGCTTCTTTACAGGTTTCGTCACTTAATTTTATTAATGACACTGAAACGTTATTGCATTCAACATTTGAAGATTCGGTATCAGTCCTCTTACGTTTCTGATCAACATCCGACTCCTTTTCTGAATCTTCTGATTCAGATTCATCCTTTTGTGCAACTTTGGAAGAAATCTTTTTAATTTGCGGAGAAACTTCTTTTTTAGGCTTTTTCACTTGCTTTGAAAGAGGTTTATCATCTTCAGAATCCTCATCAGATGATTCTTCTGATTTTTCACTCTCTTTTTTTTCCTCTTCACTTTCTGAAGAGCTCCCCGAAGACGACTCTTTCTTCTTAGATTTAGCAGGCTTTTCTTCTTCATAATCACTCTTTTCTTCATCACTATCTTTTTCATCAGAACCTTCACTATCAGAACTAAACTTTTTCTTTTTAATCATACGACCACTACGACTTCTTTGAGGCTCAACATTCTCTATAGTTTTCTTTCGCTTTTTAACAACTTGACCAACTTTTACAAAAACTTTTTTCTCTTCTTTCTTCTTTCCCTTTTTTTCCACTTTGACAGCAGGTTTGTCTTCTTTTTCCTCCTCACTTTCTTCTTCTTCTACTTCATCATTTTCTTCTTCTTCTTTTTCATCTTCAGAAGCAGATTTATCAGCAGTTGATGAAGCAGAAGGACCTTGGATGGTGGGATCATTTTCGATCTCCTCAAGACCTTCATTGAAAAATCGCCGCTTTTGCGGTTTGCCATATTTCTCTTTAAACTTTTCATATGGAAAGATATCTTTGCTTTGAACAATACCTGTTTCATAAGTTCCAAAAAAGAAGACTGGATATTTGTTTGGCGGTATTTTCTGTCCAGGTTTTGGCGCTTCTATTCGAGCGGGCCAAGGAGGATATCCACGCACCTTTCCAAAAATCAAATCACCAGGTTTATAATAAGACATAATTAAATTAACAAAATTTACAGATTTAATGTGATGTGAAATCAAAGATAATACACTATTTTGTTCACCATTACAATCCCAGAACAAAATACGAAAGATAAATAACACAGGAATTACCGCGATTACAAATATTAGCGTGCTGCCATCATAGTTAAAGTGGTAGTAGCTAGTTCAAAACAAAATAATGCAAGTTTTATTTGAAACAGGTTGGGTGTCAAACATTCTTACGACATTATTTTAGCTAATTAATATGTCACACTTTAATAATCAAAAACATTTACTTAAATTAATAACCAAGGATTTAACGATAATTTTCACTGGATAAAAATGTTTTTGCAAACGAATCAGATTCATGGGAAAATGAATCTGATTGGTGACTATCGCATGCAGAGGGAATGGCAGTAAAAAAGTTGAAAAAAATTTATCTTAGGAATATTTTAAATATGGCTTTCATTATTTAACTAAATTTGAATTTATCAGCATTTTATTTTTTAGCATTCATAAAAATTTTCATTTGTTAGGTATGGCAGCGTGAAAAGTAGGGGGGAAAGAAAACCGTCTGCTATTTATTTTGTTAGCGAAAGAATTTTGTAAGTCTTGAAATTTTATATTTTTTGTATCAAAAAATGGTAAATCTGCAATTAATGCTTTTTAATTTTGTATATTTTTTAAATATAAGATCTTAGAAACAATTACTACCGGGTTTTATTTAGATTCTTGACATTTTTAAAGCCTACTATACGAAGTCCGATTTGAGGTATAAGTAGCTAAATTCTATTTAAAAATTATTTAAGCTACCTATTTATTTAACCTTATATATGAACGATGTGCATCATTTGAAATTAAAAGAGACGATTATTACGAAATTATTCATTTTTCACCTAAGGTTTATATTTCTCGTTTTTAAATTTAGCGTCTTATACTCTCGTAGAAAAGATAACAATTTAAGATAGCTTTAATTATGTGAAATGAAACTCAGTAATTTTACATTTCACTAACACTAAAAAACATATCATACATGAAGAAGTAAATCATATTAGGTACGTAAATACCCTTAAACATGTAGGTTTAATAGTTACCCCACTTTACAGGGCCGGATTAAGACCTCTTGAGGCCCTAAGCACTGAAAATATTTTGGTGCCCCCCTCTAACAATTAAAAATACATCTACTATTAAGTCACGNCTTAGTAATTTATTTAAAATGCATGCATATACTAATAAAATAATAAATGTATGTTTTTAAGTGTCAGTAGTTATTATTTAATAATTAAAATTATTAATAATTATGATTTAATGATAGTGGAAGTAACTGCAAACTTTCAAAGATAAGTGCAATAAGGGGGTGTGATAGCTATTTTTCCTTTCCCATATAAATCTATGTATTGACAGCTACGACAAACTAAATAAAAAGCGTTGAAAAGTTTAAGAAATCCATTGTAGAGTTTGGTGGAAAAATAAAGAAGGGTTGAGGAAAGAAAGAGTATGGACTCTATTACATCAGGGCACTAATTTACTTCAGGGGCAACAGGGTGGATTCTTTTGACTAAAAGGGCAGCAGGGTGCTGCACCCTGTTTACCCTGCCTAGAATGAGCTCTGACTAACTACATATGAAAGTGCATAGTTTTACAGAAATTTACTGAGAAAGTTAAGAGTTTAATTCAGCTATCAATTAGGGAATCTTCATAAAAATAATGTTGGCAAATTTATTTTTACTTCGTAAGCAAAATTTTACAAAAAGATATTGGACTAGTTTATGTATTTGTGTGTTACTTAACTTGTATACATGTTTTAGTAAAAATAAATATATTTTGCTAATAATAATTGTTTTGAATTTTAAAACTCCCAAAAGGGTATTAGATTGGTTTTCATGTATTAGTGACTTTTAATTTATGTGATTTTAGCGGATCCTGTATGTTAAATTTTCTGTTGGACTATCAATAAAGAACTTGAAAAGCAGGAAAATGTGAAATCAAACTTTAGAAAAATCTAAACATATTTTTTTAAAAATGAATACTTACCAAGTGGAAAAAAATTTGTAATCTTGACTTGCTTTTTATTTTTAAATACAATATCTATGAATGCCTGTTCAATTGTCTTTTCGTTTGCATTTCTCAATAAAAATTTTTTAATATTTATTTATTTATTTTTTGTGCTTTGAATTGGTTGATTCGATGTGGGTACATGCTCAGTTATTTTATCTTTTTTACCAATATCATCGAAACTAGGTATTCAATCAGTTATGGAAGAAATTTGTTAAGTGATGATATGAGTCGTTGTGTAAATGTTATCAACTTCCGAAAGATCTTTACCTTGAGCCGTGCAATTTTCTAAAAAAAAATTTGACAATACCTATAGATAGGTACAGATCTGTAAGGCAGCAGGCCCTATGAAGTTGTTATAATCACAATCTTCATTTGTCATAAGTCTGAATAAAAGTTTACTCTATACAAACACCTCAAAGACTAGATTTCTGATTTATTTTTTTCTAATCCAGCTGCATTAAAAACATGTGTCTAATTGATTGGAATGAAAAATGTATTATGAGTATTTAATGTGTCATTTCAACATGTGGGGTGTCATAACCTGAGTTGCCCAGATGAAAAGGTCAAAAGATACCACTGTCCAAAAAATTTCACAGCCCTTGACCTTCAGGGTACACGTGCCGACCAAACCGCAACCTGTAGATTTGTCAGTGGGCATACTAAGAGCTTCACTTTTAGTAGACAAATTAAACTTTTTCCAACTTGTAAAAAGTGCAACTCTAGCAGGACTAGTCCTCACCATCTACTTGATTGCCTGGATTTCACCATGGAAGAGGTTCTAGAGCAGGGTTTCTTAACCTGTGGTTCATGGACCCCTAAGGGGTCCATGAGTCATATTTTGGGGGTCCGCTGACTACTCCTAATTTTTAAAATGTTTGGAAGCCTACCCATTGCTTGTAAAGCGAGCTATGGCAGCTATAATTGCATTTGCTACAGTGAATCTTTGCGAAGCGGGATTTTCCACACTTGTGACAATAAACCCAAAATATCGAAATCGATTGAATGTTGAACATGATATGTGCGTTGCTTTGTCGAATACCACCCCCCAATCCAATTTATTAATTAAGGAAAAGCAGCAGCAACCTTCATATTAAAAATTTAAATTTTAAAAATTTTGTATACTATTAAAATAATAAAATTAAATGTTTTCTAATAATTGATGTTTTTTGCAATAATTTTTTTCACAGGGGGTGATCTGTGACTTCTAAAAAAATTTGAAAAGGGGTCCATTATACCAAAAAGGTTAAGAAACACTGTTCTAGAGAGACCTCTCCTTTTCCTCGATTATTTGAAGACTCACGGCATCATGAATCTGGTATAGTTCCGCTATCTGAGCTGGGGTTGGAAGCAACAACAAAAATTTCACATGAGCAATCCATCATTTTCTCTCCTTTCTTTGCAAAGGTAAGAGAAGGTGACAGGGGAATGATTGATTATTTACTAGTTAAATCTAGAAAAAGTGGTGTCTAGTTTGAAGATTTTAAAAATATTGTTTTGAAGCATAAATGAATATCCTTATCCTAGGGTGTGTGTGCTTTGCTGAGAGTACAGGGTGCAAAATTTTAAAAAAATCATCCCGAATAACTTCTGATGTAATGATCAAATGTTCATGTTCCAGGACTACATTTTAATGATTCAAGGGAGGAACCTCAGATGTGCTAATTAATCAGCGCAAAGAATATTTTAAGTTGCGAAATCGGTCACAAAAATGTACTTTCTCTGAATAAACATGCTTTTTTTTCGAAAGATTCAAATTTCTGACCCCAAAATATAGGAGGTAGCCGTAATATGGGGAATAGGATCTCCATAGTTTCGTCAGGAGAGCAGTTCAAAGTTTGAAACTTTTAGTGCTAATTTTATTTTTGCTTATTTCGCCATATCTTGAGAACCTTTGCTTAGAAGGAAATTTTGTTTGCCTGTAACTATAAAATGCGTTTATCCAAAGATAATTCCAAGAAAAATATCACTTTTAGTAAGTATTTATTATTTTTTTAAATATTTGTCGAAAAAAAATTTGAAATGTAAGGTACACAATTTTTTACATAATTTTAAAGACTGTAATTTTACATTGCAAAATACAAAATCGGTCGTCCAAACTTTTGATTACTCTCATGACCAAACTATGACAATATTTTCCAGATTGCAGCTACTCCATACATTTTGGGAGTCAGAAATCAAATTTTGTCAAAAAAAGGTATGTTTATTCAGTGAAGATATATTTTGCATCTGATTTCATTATTTAAAATATCGTCTGCACTAATTAATTGGCATATTTGAGGTCCCCACCTCAAACCTTTAAAATTGAATCCTAAAACGTGAATATCTGATCATAAGATGAAAAGTTATTCTTGGTACTCCCTTTTTTATTTTGCGAGCTGTACATAATGGTTTATTCATAGAAGATTCAAAAGGAATTGAAAATGTCCGCAATGAGAGGTGTTTGTTTTGAGAAGTGTCTGTAAAATGTGGTTTCACTTTATTAAGTATATCTGACATTCCTGTATATTTTATGATTGATTTTAAAAATAATTTTTACAAGTTAAATTATATTTTCATTTCAGTGATTGTAGTATTCTTACCTTCGCATAAAATTCTATTTGTAGCATAGATGAATACATTAGATTAGAATATGAATGCATTAGATGTTGGAGATCTTCCACCAGAATTAACATCAACACCTTCATCTTATATTGCTATTTGTGGTCTTGATGTGGAAAATAATCCTATTCACAGAACAATATGGGAATCTTTTAACTCTAATCGGCAAGAAAGAGTGCCACTTTTTCTCAAGCTGCTAGTTCCTGGACATGAATTTCCCAAAGCAAAACCTAAGGTAAAAATGCTTTATAACAGGATAGCTGCTGAAATATCACACAGTAATGTTTTCTGTAGTAATTTGGGGCAAGATGAGTGGACAAAATAATGTATCGAGAGTTCCTTACTAGTCACTATTTTATCTCTTTGAAAGAAAAAAAAGCCATTTTCTTTTCATTAGTCATAGTCACAAAAATTCATTTTCAAAAGAAAAGCAATAAATGTTACTTTCTTTAGTTTACAGGACCAAAACTAGTTAACTAAAGCAAAAAACATTTTACTGTCACTTTTCTCAGTACTGTTAAAGGTCTATATAATGTAATTCTATAAACTAAAATCCTTCATAAACCATGTTGACTTTACAATCTCTAAGGCAACCTGAACTTGATAAATTTGTTGTTTTTGGTTCTAATGCTCTTCATAATTTTAATTATGTTCCCTAAATAATAAATAGTTTGTAAGTGTATATATTTTTTGTTTTGAACAATTTTCATTTAAAAATTATTTTAAATCAATATTGATTCGTTCCTTTTGTATATTGCCATGCTTAGTAAGTTTTGTGATATATCATATGATCTGTATCATATAAAATTCTCACATAGCATTACATTTTTAGAGGTTTGTGTTAGAAAGATTTCTACTCTATGAAGTCCTGATAACAATATTCTCATGCTAAAAGAATAAAACAAAAGATATCGCTCTTTTCGTGACTAAAATAATTTTTTCTTGGAAGAAGTATGTATTTAAATAGCTATCGAAGTAGATACTAGATAGGGAAAAGCAGTCTTTAAAAAGTTATTTCGTATTATTAGAAGATCTGATTGTAATAAGGTATATTTCTTTGAAATAAGAATAGAGAATAATACTTACTATCATTGATAAAATGTGTTATTATACTTACTATGGAGTATGGAGAAAAAGTAAAATTCTGTGATTATTTTTTTTTCTTTCCAGAGAGCATCCTATGACCGTTATGTACCTAAAGGTATATTGAAAACAAACTGGCTAAGTAAACATTTAACGGAAGTTCCAGCTGTTGCAGTGCAGTTTGTTGATTTAGATTGGGACAGTCCAGTCTGGTCAGAAAAGCGTTTAGAATGTGCAACTAAGTTAGAGATTTTGAGGTTAGTAACATTGGAAAAAAATTTAATAATTTTTTTCTACATTTTTCTGCTTTTCCTTTAACACCATTTGTAAATATTCAATCCAATGTGTTGTTAAAAAAGATTTTTAAAAAAAAAGTTTCAAAGCTATTTGAAATAACAGTGACAGATTTAGTTGGAATTAAATGATAAACTAAACACCATCCCAGACTGGCTGCACTCTGAGGCTGTGGAAGAGTTCTGATTTTTCACTGGACTTCAATTTCTTTAGATTTATTTTTTTCCTTCAATTGTTATCTTTTAATTTTATACTATTATTTAAAATAGCCTTAAACTAAAAAGCAACTAGCCAAAATTAATATTATTTCATTTACATCACAATTATTAATAATAAAAATGCGTGAATTTTTTTTCTCCCTGTTGTTTGAAGGAAAACTATTTCATTCAGGCATTTCTGTCGCTATGGAAAAAACTTGCCATCCCTGCTAGTGATACATTAATTTAATGATGACTAAATGTAAAGATAACTAAGATTTCATTTGCGTTTTTGCAAATTTCCTTTAGTAAAGTAACTGAAATTCAGATTTACTTTGCTGTTCTCACCACATGAATTGAACTAGCATAATGTTCTGTACCTTAAAATTGTTTCAATGCTCACCTAAGATTTAAAGTATAGCATTAATGAATATCCAATTTTTGTTCATTATATTTCATTTATTACATATTTTAATTCCTTTTAAATTTCTTTTAGAGGGAGTCTTCAAGGTAGATCTACTAGAGTGGCTTTGGTTCTAATTCAGAAACGAGCTGCCCTTCCTGGTGGTTTGTACAATTTTATGATTCTTCTCGTAGAATTGATAATTTTATAATTCTACAATTATATGTTTTTTTTCCATCAAATGTGCTCTAACTACTTTAAAAAATAAATGTCTAGCCAATTTTTTTTCCAGTCAAATACAAATTTTAAATTTTTAAAAGTTGTACGGAAAAAATTTACGGATTGAAATGTGATTCACAATAAATTTCCCATTTTTAAACAAGATTCTGTCCCTGTAGAGTAGATTACTAAATAATTATTATTTATAAACATATAGAGTTGATTGCAAAAATGCAATTTTTTTACAACTGTAATTTCCCAGTAGTAGATTTCTTCCTGTAGGCGAAAAAAAAAAACATATTTGCTATACATTTAATTTCAAGTTGTAGGTTTAATTTTGAAAAGTATATTGCTTAAATACATTTGTATTATAAATATTTTTTCCTGGAGGGCAGATTTTGCAATATATATATTTCTAAAAGGCATGTTTGTGAATATAATGTTTTAACTCTTATTAGTGTTAAAATAAGAAATTTAGATAAATATTTGTAACATGAACACTTAGTTAAAATTTGTTAAGAAATGTGCAAGGCTTTTTTGGAAAGTAAAGATAATTCACCAATAGCAGCAAAGGAAATGCTTCTGTGAATTTTTTAACAACTTATTGTAACCTTGAATGTTTCACTTTTCCCTCAAGGTCATTCATCATTTTTATGGTGCAAATTGTTTAAGCAGCATATCTTAATTATGTCTGCATTAATTCAAGATCGCATCAGATGTGAAGTGCATTCCTTAATACATTTTCTTCATGCAAAAGGTCATAAAAAAAGGTATACAAGAGACATAAAATTCAAAATAAATGCAAGCTCTTGCTGACAAGTGGGGTTTGTTTCTGCCAAGACAACACTCATCCTCACATAACACTTCAAAACACTACTTAAAAGTTACAAATGGGAAATTTTAGATCATCCGCCATACAGTCTAGACCTATCACTCAGTGACTTTCACATTTCCATTACCTGAAAAAGATGCTGCAGAGCCAAACTTTCTTAGCGATGATGTTATCAAAACGGAATTTGAAATTTGGTTCCGATAACAGGTGACAAATTTCTATTACTTGGAAATACAAAAGCTTCTACAAAGACTTAGCAAATGCTTTGGCAATGGTGGCAACTATGTTGAAAAATAAGACTTGTACTAGTAAGTAATTTATAATGTACATTTAATAAATTAAAAAATTTTCAAGTGATTATGCAGCATTGTATCTTTACTTTTCAAAAATTCATTGTAATTACTCTGAAATTGATATTTCTTTATTATTTATTATATGCCAGAGAATGACTATCTCCTCATATTTTTATTTGAAATTCAGAATATATTTCTTGTTGTCTGAACTATCAAGGGTGCTGATCTCATTTTGTTTTTAGCGGATGATCAAATAGCAGCTGAGAGAGCGGCTTCATTATGTAGTGCTTGTGATTTGTCTGGAAAAACTCTTTTTGTTTTGCCACACTCAGATCATCTGTATGGATACACACTACGGTAATATATTTAAGAATGGTATTTTTATCATTTGACTTGCATTTTTACAAACATATATCTAAAAGAATTATTAAAATGTTTAGAAAAGGGTGCATTAAAGTGACAAATATTGGGATTCTAAATTATTGAAATTAATTCAGTTGTTTTAAAATTTGAAGTCTTTTGTAAAGCTACGCAATAATGATCTCAAAAATTTTTTTTATGTGTTTAAATGCAATAGTACCGTAATTTACTGTGTATTATCCATGGTAGAATATAATCTGCATACGTCACATTCTCCCTTCCAAATAAAATTTCGTTGGATAATCCGTACCGCTCTATTATCAATGTATTCGTCTAACACAGCAATCTACTTTTATTAATGATGGAAGTAATGTAAATACACATTATAATTTGAATGTACCTAAAAGGAGATTTCTTGCAGGTAACTATATTTCCAATAACTTATTCGCTTACGCAATTTTTTTTTAATCCTGTGTGAATGGTTCCTTACATTTTTATTGCTGATGAAAGTTGACAGGAAATTTCTTAATATCAGTTTCCAAAAAGTAATTTCGGCAGATAATACACAGCAGCAAATTATTCGCATTGGCAGCTTATATGTTTTTTAACAGGTAATCTGTGGTTTATATGTAGGAAATTATGCTTCTTAAAATTTATAACTTCAAATCAGTTATCTTTTCAAATGTAAAAAAAAAAAATTACATTTTTTATTAATGTTTCCTTCTGTTAGTAATTTTTACAAGATATGTTTGTTTGATTTATCTTCATAGCTTGTTACAAACAAGAACTACTTCATTGATTTTTTTATGTAAAAATTAGCTCACAAAATTAAGATGTGAGAAAATGACAGTACTGTAAATAAAAAAATAACATATTTGAAAACAATTCTTTGCATCATTATTACCAGTAATTTCAAGAACTAAAAATCAAGATTGGTTTTTAGTTCTACAGAGATTGATTTTTAGTTTGTGAAAATCCAATCATTAGAATAAAAGTCATCCAAGTTGATATTTTGATTTGAAGGGGGAAGGAGGTCACTCAACACTGATTGCACCCATTGTTAAAATGTTTTTTGAAAGATTAATGAAGAAAAAAAATTATAAAAACTTATGTTTTAGAAAAATTTAATCAAACTTTTAATTTAGCTGTTTAAAGTATGATGCCTGATTAGTAAAATTTTTTAATAAACTATTGATGCTTTTACTTAATAATTGAAATATCATATGAATAGGTTACAAAATGCCTTTTATGAGCTGGCTCAAACATACTATCATCATGAAAGTAGAAGAATTAAAAACCATAAGGACCACTTAAATAAGACAACTCATCAGGTAATTTGTAATATTTTTTATCAACTTGATTTGTTATTCAATAACTTGTTATTTTTAATATTCTTAAACACATTAAAAAATCAAAATAGTTTATTGTTTGTGTCACTCAATCATAAAATCTGTTATTTTATATTTTAATGCCATATCCACAATTGAGCTCCAGAATTATTATTATTTTTTATCTTTCACTATGTCTATCAGTTTTTATATTATGGTGAACTTAATTTTTTCTTAGCATAATAAGAACAATATTAATTTGTCTTAAAAGTTAAGAAAAAGCAATAATTGAAAATAACACTATAGTAACACTACTGTAGGGCTGAATTTTTTGTAGTTGTACTGTAATACGCTACCTTTTCAACCCTTTTCGGGACAGCAAATTTGAGTGGAAAATTTTTGTCAGGCCGAACATTAGCAAGTGCAACTCTAGACAAGACAATATGTTCTAAGTAGAGTGACACACTTCAGCTCTTTGATGTTTGTAAAATAGTGGTTAGGAAATGTTTAAAAGCAATCAGTTTTACTTTTCTAATGACTTGCAACATTTGTTGAATTAATGTTGCTCGACTTTCTACTCAGCACCAGAAAGGGTTAAAAGAAAAGATAAATAAAAAAGCAGACAGTGAGTGGTGAGATAAATCAAAACACAAGTTTGTAGTGATCTCTCGTAACTACTCTTAACATTTACTAAAGGAACACGACTCAAACACAATTAAATCTAATAGGTGGAAATCTTATTGTAGTTTGTCAGTAGATGCAATGAAAACGTCTCTCTGGCTGATTGTTTTAAAATTAAAATTATATCTAGTGATCCGAATTGCAGTAGCAAAAAATTATTATTTTTATGTTATCTGAACATTAAATAATTTCAAAAACAAGTTTGGTCATAAAGTTAGAATGGTAACCAGAAGAAAAAAAAATTATGAGGATTAAATTTTATACCAATTGAAACTAAATCTGTAGAACCCGAATTTGTGCTAATATGGGATTAAAGGATCATAAATTTGTAAAATATTGGACCTTTTAATTGAATAACTTTTAATACTGATGTAATAATCTGTTTTAAGAAAGTAAAATAATGATTGTGAAGCAATTATGGGGATTGATGAGCAAGTGAAACAATCGAGGGGATTGATGAGCAAGAGAAACAATCAAGGGGATTGATGAGCAAGCAAAACAATTATGGAGACTGATGAACAAGCGAGCTTATAGCATGAATTAGTGATATATTATCTGATATTTAAAGATTCCTATTATTTATTCTTTTATAAAAAGAATTTGTTAAGTGTTTGATTTTTTTAATCTGCTTTTTATAAATAAAAAAAAATAGACTTTAGCACAGAGGCAGAATTTTAACCATTCATGAACTGACACTTTTAAAAAAATTTCAAAAATTTATTATGATAGAAACAAATAATAAAAACATGAAAAAAGTTTCATCTATTAAAGGATTAAAATAACATTTTAACAAAAAATATTTTATTGGTTAAATATTTTTGAGTTATTGATTTCCTTGAATTGGTGCTTGTATTTTAGTTACTGAATCATGTCAGTGATTCAATTAATCATTTTCAACACTTAAAAATATTTTTGATTTTAGCTACTTTTCGTACGACACCAATTTAAGATAGCATTCCTAACTGAATTGAAACAAGACATTGCAATGTCATTAAAGTAAGTTACCTGTTGTTTCTTTATTGTTATTTGTTACCTGTTAATCAATTTTTTTTTTCATTTATTGTTCCACAATTATTTGTATTATATTCTTGTCAGGCTATATCTTAATTGCTTATACTTTCTATACAACTATGAAGCGTTGTAAAAGTTTTAAAAAACTTTGATTCATCTTTCATTAAAGAGTGAACTGATTTTTTTAAAGTTTTAGTTGTTATACAAGTGTTATAAATTCTTCCTATTTATAGCAGCTATTTGTTAACTTTATGTGTTCAGATTATAATTCTGAATTACATCTTTGATCATGCTATAAAAGGTTCTTTTTAATTTGTTAAAGTTTTGACCAAACTTATTATTTTACTTGTGAAATATGTATATAACATACATGCATAAATTTGTGTTCAGGAATTACAAGCAAGCATATGCCAATTTGATGGAAGTCCGAGCATCAGATACCAACATGCTAGAAATTAAAACTGTTGCTGGATTTATCAATTACAAGGTATAAACTAAATAAATATATTTGTATTTTTTTTAAGGTGAAGTTAGCATGAAAATATAATTTAAATTTTGAATCTTTCTCAGTCATAATTTTATACAGTTATATAAAATAAAACTAAATGCCTAATGCCTATTTTGAAAAAATTGAGATTTCTTTGAGAACAATCTTACAATATTATAATCTTACTATACTATATCCTTGCTTGTTAAATTTCAAAGATCTGAGTTCATGAAGGTAAAAAGTGACAGTCTTGAGTTATTTTTGAAGTGGAAGAAAGTTTCAAGTGCATTTAGAAATAAATAATCAATGATTTGCCTTAGAAAACATTTTTTTTAGCAGAAATAAAAGACCATGAATGCAAATGCTATTACCCCAATAATTTAAAGTAGTATAAAGGATTTATAAATTTCACTGAGTAGAAACTTGCAGATATAAAATACATGCAACCTTGAATCTTTATTTCCAATGGTCATCATATAAACATTAAAACTATTTTTGGAAATTCACTAAAATTTTTCTTACAGTTTTAAGTCAATCCATATTTTAAATATCTCATTTCATGAGAAACAAGTTTTTTTTTTTTTTTTTAATTGAAGTGAAAAAGCAGTTGTTGCTTTGTTTGAAAACTATATTTTGCAATAAAATATTTCCAATTTAAGTGTAATTGGAAAAGTTAGTTGCTTGATTTAAAAAGTATTATAATCCCATATAAAGTAAAGGGGAAAAGGCTAAAACCAAATGTGGATTTTGAATGGGTAGTGATTTCCTATCAAACAGTTAACGGAAAACTAAATGGCTAAACGAAGAAATGTTTACTACGAGCAGAAATGTTATGCCTATTTTTCAAACTAATTTTAATAAACTTTGAGGAACACCAAAATTATAACATTAAAAATTCTGTAATACAGTGGCAACGTGTCACCAGATTGGCGTATAACTTTTGGTATTTCAAGTTTTTTTAAAATATTTCTTTTAAGCAAAGCATATTCAAAACAAAATGTTAAGTATTTATTTAAATAATTTATACTCAGTTTCCACAAGAAAAGTTAAAGACATGCCGCTATGTAATTTTATTGAAGTGTACAAAATTTAAAATGTTTTAAAGTAAAAAATATATTTTCACCCATGACTTTTATGATTCTTTGATGTGAAATCTTCATTTATTAGATCTCGATTCTTTGATGTGAAATCTTTATTCATTAGATCTCTAAAGCCAAAGAAAGAAAAAAAAAAAATTTTCGTTCAAAACCTGAGATTTTTGCTGAATATTTTTTCAAATGATAGCAAGCTAAAGCAGATATTTTTAAAATAAATAGAAATTCTATAAAACGTTTGAAGGTACTTCAGGTCGTTAGCAATTTATTATTTGATCTGTTTAAATTATTTATGTAATTTATATAGTTATAATTCTAAATAAATAAAATATTTCAACATTACTTTTGCTACCTCAGTTAAAATTAGTTTTTTCAAACTATGGAAATTCCATTATAAGTTGGAAGATATGTCCTTCTCTGAAAAAAGGTTGTACACCCCTACAATAAATGTTTAATATGTTGTGTTTTAGAACTAGTTTCTTGTCCCTTTTTGTTATTAAAGTTATATATTCTCTAATTGTGTTATATTTTATAATTAGATGTGTCACTTATCATTTCTGAATGGAGCTCCACTTGATGCCATTTCTCAATTTAGAAATCATGTGGATATATTTAAAAATAAAGTTGGCCATCCAGAATTGGCCTTTGAACACAGTGCTTGGATGTCAAAACAGTAAATATTTTATTTGCTTTTTATTTTGTTTTAAGACCTTTCTTACTTTTTTAAAAGCTATTATGTGAATTAGTTATTTAATTTCAATATATATCTTTAAATTCGCTACTATTATGTCTTACATTTTATGTACTGTATACCTTTAATTGTATTTTTTAATGTTATTTTTGATTTTATACTTATAGCTGTAGTTGTTTGTTTAAATTTTCGAAAGTCTTGTGAGTGTTTAGGATTTTTTTTCCTCTCTATGAAATTTACTTGTTAACATACTCAAGAGTTTTTGGTCTTTCTTTTGTCACAAAATAAAAGATAGCTAAGATAACAATTTAAGGTAATTTAGTTTAGGGTGTAATCAGTATAAATTAGGGCTAATATGTTAATTTTATGAGATATGTTTAATATATCTCAATTTACTGACTATCAAGCTTAGAAGACTAATTTTGAGACATGTGTAGGTCTAACGTGAGAGACGTGGTGTTAATTTTAAAGTTTTATTTTTAAGACATTTATTATTTTTTCTTCCCACAAACAAACAGACAAATCAAAATACAGATTAAGGTGATTTTTATTTATTTTATTTTATCCTCAATTCAACACTTAAGACAACAGTGTAAGTGATGTACTGAAAAAACTTGGTGAAAATTTTCTGTGATTTAAAATCAGTCAGTATAATAGGGAAATAATCGTCACAAAAAACTAATAAAACTCATTCAAGACATTGAATTTAACTAAGACCGTAATTGTGCAACAGTAGTCAGTAATTTTAGCAATTATTGTAACTGTTATCGAAGATTAAATTTTTTCCTCTATTCTGCTAATTTACAAGTATTTATTTTTTGATATCAAAATCTTTTTGAGTTGAAATGCTGTACGTGTAATATTTCCCTTTTCAGATTTAGTCATTTTGGAGATTTATTTGAGGAAGCTGTACAGCAAGGCTTGGCTGCAATACAAACACAACATCCAGGATTTTATTACCAACAAGCAGCAAATCATGCTTCAAATCGCAAGTCACTATGCTACAAACTGTGCAAGGTATAGTATGATTATTATATTACTAAATTTTTCTCATAGTGTACCATATGTAACCTATTTACTTGCTTCATATTTTTATTTATTTATTTTTTGTGTCTATACCTCATCTCATAAACCTTTTATATTAAAAATTTTTTCAAGGCAGGCATTATGGATATTAACACAGTAAAGAGTAGCTTTGTTTTGTAGGTTTGGTGCAAAACTCAGTGAACTAAATTAAAATATATGATTTTTCTTAAAAGAAATAAAAGATCTGATATTTTTAAAATTGAAGTAAGAATGCTTGATTTACATTAATTTGCTATTTTTTTTCTAAGTTTAAATATTAAATGGTTATCAAGTATTGAATGCTTAAAAGTTATTAAATCTTTAATAGACTATTTAAGGAAGCATGATTTTTTTAAAAATTAAGTAAAGCCTTTCTGTAATTGCCCATTATAGTCCTGGGGTCATGAAGATTAAAGGACCAGAATTTTTTGACCTACGGCTATGTGATTAATCATTGTGCACATGTCACCTTTATACAGGGGACCCCATCAGGGGAGAAGTTGGGCACACGATGCGCCCACTTAAAGCTTGGGGGGGGGATTTTTACACTAACTAAAACGAATAGTTTGGGGGGGGGGAATTTAGGCAAGAGAATTTTTTTTTTTTAAGTACATAAATAAAAAAAGCTAACATGGAAGGGAGAAGTTAACAAATTTTTTTTGGAGGGGGGATAAATGCGCCCAAGAGCTTGGGGGGGATGAGGGCCACTGCCTTTATATCTAAGACAAATTGGCTAATTAATCAGAAGCTATTGGGTTTCAAATCTCCACTTAGAATAAAAGCCCAATCCTTCACAATCACAGCTCGGCCATGATAGCTCAATTTATATAATTCTAATAAATATTCCTAAATTTATTATGTTTCTTTCTCAAAACTTCAAGACATAGTTATTTAATAATTTAATGCTCTTGAATACATTTTTTTTATTTCTTTCACAAAAATTTAATGCATCAAAATGGTTTTATTCAGTCTTGACTCTGGCATGCTTTTTAAATTATGTAGTTTAGTTGCTGTTCGAAGTTATCCTTAAAATATTGCAATATATATAATATAATTTTTTTTAATTGTGTCTTTTAGAACATGGCTGATCAACCTGACTTCTCAGTGTTAGAGGGATCAGAATCACTGGAATTTTATGGCCAAAGAGCATGGAGAGCTTGTAGTCAAAGTAATTAAGTTATTTTTCTTAAAATAAAACTTGTTAATGTTATGTGTGCATTGTGATGATTGTCTTTTAGTGCAATATTTCCCAACCTTTTCCCTTTACAACTTTTTATCTACTGATTGGATTTTCACTTACTAAAATGATACTTAGCATTTAGTAGTATTAGGGATAGGCATTAAATATGCTAATTAATTAGCAGACTATATTTTGAGTTAAAAAATCAGATGCAAAACAAAATTTTCTTCCAAATAAATTACCTAAAATTTTTAACCTAAATTTTAAGGAGTCAATGCATAATATGGGAAATGTGATCTTGCTAGTTCAGTGAGAAAAGTGATCAAAAAATTTTGTCCCTTTAAGCTGAGCATAAAACATTTAGCACTGAACAGCTTAGTAGAAAGAGTTTTTCAAAAGACATTTTTTTAAAAATTGTGATTCCAAAAAAAAAATTTTATTGTAATTAATTTGCATAATTTTATAGTCTTTAAATAAATTTGGATATTTAAGTTTCACAGATCTCAGTAAATAAAGGTACTAAGAGACTGTCTTTCATTTCTTTAAGATTGGGAAGCAATCAACAGTTAATAACAACCTTAGAAAGCTCTCTTATAAACACAATTTAAAATACTAACATTTTGAATGTTAAGACATGAACACTTGAAATGAGTGTCAGGTCTTATAGATTTTGCCAATCGGTAGCTTTCAGACAAGAAATAAAAGAGCAAGGCATAATCTTTATTTCATCAGTTAAGAGAAAGAGCAACCTATGAGCTTTCATACCAATTTATTCCGTTAAAATGTCACTTTATCCCTTCATCCAATCAGTTGTTTAGTTAAAAAAACTTTTAAATTTTTTTGCCTTTTACATACTACTTGTGATCTTTCTAACAGTTGTAAAACACCAATTTAAATAGTTAGTTCAAATTCAATTTTTTGCTGGGTGTTTTTTTGGTATGAAATTTTTAGCTTTTCTAAATTTTAGTTTTTTAAATTAATATTCTTATTTAGCCTGTTTTTTTTATGTGCATGATTATCCAGGTGAAGTTGGTGAACTTTACAGTAAATTATCGCTCAAAGTGGAGGTAAACAAAAAACAAAAGCAGATTCATTGCAAACAATAAAATAACAGCAAATAAACAAAATCAACTTCATTAAGAACAACAAAAATTAAAAAAGCAAATAAATTTCAGTTGGTCTACTTTTGCTGTAATTTTTTTAGTTGTTTTCAATCAATACTAATATCAAAAGTGCTATCTATTAATAATGATATGATAAATTTATCTAACCATGTCCTTTAAAATGTTATTTATGTATTTATACACTTTGAAAGACCTAAAATAGTGAATATCAACATCTGGTGAACGTTGATACTCTTATAATCTCTTAGATAAATATTCAAAAATATTTATTAAATATCATTATTTCTCTCTTTCTTGGCACTACTTTTCAGAGCAGGTCAGAGCCGACTCAAGGAGTTTTTCCATTTGAGTAATTTCATAATCAATAACAAGAGTAAACAGAGTATCAGTAATTTCTCTCTTAAACTAGCATATTTCACAATTTTTTGCACAATTGAATGTTAAAATATTCTAGTGTAAATAATGAATAATAAATACATGGTATCCACACCCCTGGAAAGTCATAGATTTAGGTCGCCGAAAAATCTAATTTTTAAAATGGAATCCCCCCTCAATCTCATTGTGTTCTAAATATCTGAATTCCTAACAAAATCACTACAGACAGTCATATTTTATTGTCTTTATCATGTTCTTAAAAAATTATGGTGTTCTTTCAAAAAATGAAAGAAAAAACATCATTTCTAGAGCGAATTATATCTTTTAAATTTCTGTGATTTAAGAATTTTTATTATTTATTTATTTTTTTATTAATTTAAATTTCAAGCCGAAGTAAGCCAAACATTGGCGATTTTTTTATTTCGAAATGAGAACAGACAAATAAGGAGTATTTTCTTTCCTTTCTGATGAACAAGAAAAGTGTCTTTAGAATACAATTCTGCAGAAAAAAAAGAAAAAAAAATTGCTTTTGTATTTTTATTTCAGCTATCTTATTGATTCAACTGTTTCTTTACTCTGCTTTTTATATTTAAAATCTATAAATATGAAGATTCAGAGTATAAAATTTTGGTTATAATTATCATTTCTATGAATGTTATTATAATGTTTTTTTAAATCTATTGTTACGTTTTTGTCGGAGAAAATAGTAACTTCTTTAAGTCATGAAAAATTCTTGGAAGTCATGGAAAATCATGAAAACTCATGAATTTGAAAATCTAAAATGTAGCAGATATCCTGCAAATAAAATATTTTTGTTCAATATCATTATTTCTATCTTACTCCATCAAATGGTGATATTCTGCATGGTCTTAACGAAGGATTGTAAGGAAAAAAGCATACTAAGTAATTTTTTTATTCAACACTCACTGCTCTATGTCAGGATTTTCTTATACACATGCAAAATAATGAAATCGATTGCTAAATTTTGGACATTCACAAAAGTGATAATGTGAATAACTTTTGAATATGATAATATCTGATATTCTCGTGCGGAAGGTGATATTTACTAAATTTTAGTATTTTACCTCGGCACTTACCGTTTCCTTGACTTTGTTCTCCCCTTGAACTGACATCTTCATTAACTGACATTCGGAATGAAATCTTAATCTTGGTGAACTTCAGCACCCTCTGTCTTACCTGGTGTCATCTTTGAGTGTTTATCCTTTTTAGAGAAACTTTGGTTGTTTATCCTTTGAGTGTTTATCCTTTTTAGAGAAACTTTTGTTTTTATGGCTACCGAGGCCGGTACCCCCTGAAGACGTCGGCTTCGGTGGTCATATTTTTATTTCCTTTGTTTTCTTTATTTGGTTTACCTTAGAACATTTTTAATCTTGGAGGCACTTAGCCTTGAACGGGGGACATTTGAACTTTTAGTCCACTATTTTAATTATTCTATTCTTATTTTAGTCTTATTTGTATTTAATGTGAATTTTCATAATTTTACCATTTGATGTTTTACCTAACCTTATTTTTATATGTTTTTACCTGTATTTTTAACACTTTTACTGTTGGTTAATTTTATTCACTTTGATGTTTTAAGCACTTTTAATTTTTATTCTGTTTTATTTTTATCATCTTTTCAATTTTGGTATTTTTCCTATCTTTTTAGTTTTGATTTTACTTTTCTGTAGTTTTGTTGTGTTTAGTTCATGTGACAACGGGTGAAACCCTTATCCGCAAACTCCTTCGGGGGTAGGTCGGTTACTATTAGTCTTACTAATTTTTAGATTTTCATGATAATATTTTCCTACCTGTTATTTATTATGATTTTTTTCAGGTCTTGAACCACCAGATCCCCAGAAAGAAATGAAAGGTATTTTAGCTTTGAAATACAAAGAACTTCACGATGTGGATCACTCAGTAAGTACAGTTTTGTTGTTATTTCATTTTTCTTGGTAATATTCTATCTATCCCTATTTTTGTTTGATCTAATTAAATTTTTCATGTGCGTTAATATGTTCACTGCAATCTTTTGAAACGTTTAATTACTTAAATTGCTATGAGTGTTCAACTTTTACTTAATAATTTTGAGTTGATCATTTAAAAAAACTATATGATTATAAAAGTTCATGTATTAAAAAATTATACGTTTCTTCCCTCTCTTATTTTTATAACTTTCTTGTGTATCCCTTCTGAGCTAATTTATTTTATTGATTATCCCTTTTACAGTTTACTTTTAACCTTTACATTTACTTTACATCTCATTTTAAATTGATATTCGATCTTTTATGTTTGAATGATCATAGTTTGGATGCACTTTTGTTCAAATTTATGTACTTATTTTGTTTTAAATTTATGACTAGTAAGTTTTGTTAGATTACTTATATTTTGCTCGTATTTCTTTTTATCTTGTTTAATTTTTTATGATTTGAAGATTAAAATATGAATTTTTTTATAAAGAGGTATTTTTTTCAATCTACATGCATTCATTAAATACTTTTTTTTTCCAATTTTATATATTAGTTAGAGTTTAAATTAAATAAAGAAACAGTTTCTGTCAAGATATCTTAAAATTGAATTAATGATATAATGAGTTTGAGCAAGATATAATATTTTACTATGTATGTTTGTATCTACCTTATTGAATAAGTCATGAAATATTATTTTAAGAGGCAAAAGTACGACACTAAAACTTTGTGTTTACCGTGGTAAATTTAAATTGTAATATTAAAAAAAAAATTTATGTGTTTAGATGCTGATAATACCTCTTTTGAGCAGTGCTATTACACAATTTAAAAAATATAAATGTCCAAGGATGAAGAGGCAGTTAAGTAAGTAGTTATTTTACATTTAAATATCTATAAACATTAATACTGTCTTTAAACAATACACATGTATAGGTATAGGTAGAGTTTATTAGTTGTCCCAATTCTACTGGTATTTTTTTGCTAGTTTCATTTTTTTTCTTTTGCCTATTCTACTTGTGAATTTTATATACAGTGAAACCTTGATTTAGTGGACACTCTTGGGACTAAAAAAATTGTCCGTTTAGGGAAAGGGTACCCTAATTACAAAGTTTAACATCGAAAATTGTTTTTAGAATGTTTTCAATTGTATAGAAATTATTAAATAATCTACAATAACTATCTACAAGGATATTTATTCAAACTTTAAAAAAAAAAATTGAAAATTTCTATACAAATTATATGTGAAAGAGTTTAATATAAATACATGATTCTAGATACAGCTACAGATGGATGAATATAATTTTCCTATTAACACAGATATTTCACGTTAGTCATATGATACCGAATAGGAGCTTTTAGTCCCCAGTCTGTTTCAATTATTAGGTTACACCCTCTAACACCTGCCGATCACTTAAAAGGGAACATGGTTAATACCTCCTTGAAAGTAAACCTCCCACGATTCACAGAGATCAAAAGAAATCAATGCTTACCTGTAAGATACGAGGACCTGTGGAGTTGATATATTCACAATTAATCATCGATGAATTGTCTGAATAAATGTTTCATTTATATGAATACCTCAAAGATTATATTTCTGTTATCTTTTTTTACCCCAACTGTGTTAAATACAGTCTTCAAATTTATGAGAAAATGAAAGAAATTTTCAGTAAAGAATTGGGAGCATTTAAGACGTCATTTCAGCTTGTGAGGTCCCACAACCTGTGTCGTCCAGATGAAAAGATCAAAAGATGCAGCTGTTCGAATGAGCAGTATAATTTTCCCTCCTTGCAAAGATCAGTCGAGGTGATAGTAGAATGATTGATTAAGTAGTGAAATAGCTTAATGATATTTTTAGTTATAGATAGGGCAAAACATTTACATGCTTTAAAAATTTTGAAAAGTTGCAATTTAAACCAGAAAAAGAGGAGTTTTTTTTTTAAAAAAAATTTAGAAAAAAACAGTGTCTGGTTTGAAGCGATAAAAAAAAATAATGTTTCAGGGCAAAGATGACTGTCCCGTTAGGGGTGTGTCCCCTTAGCGGAGAATGTACATAATGGTTTATTAATAGAAAATTTACAGGGAATTAAAAATATGTCCATATTGAGAGGCATCCATTTTGCAGGAGTGTCCATAACAGGAGGTTTCACTATATTTTTATGGTTGCAAACTCTACTAGATTTTCCAATAGTTCACTTGAGAGTTTAAATAGGTGATATATCACTAGATTCGAAAGTGAGCATCATTTTAGCAATAAGTTTGAAACTGTTTTTTAAATGTCACAAGAAAATAATGGAGAAAATTTTGGTGTTGGCAAAATATTTTTTCAAAAATGAGTGACCTTACTGTTTTCCTTTTAGGTTTGGCAAAATTAAAAAAATAATTTTCTCAATTATAGTTTATTTTTATTCTATTTTATTTTATCATTTAAAATTTGGCTCACTAAGACCACTCATAAACGTTTTAGATTTTCTAATCAGTTTTCATTTTTAGAGTTTCTTTATGTTTTGAGATTATGGAGGCCCCACCAATAATTTAAATTTATTCATCAGTTTTTCTTTCATAAAACCTACTATTTTACTGTGACCACATTAATTCAAATATTGAAGTTTTTAAAGGCTATTGCATGCCTCCAAATCATAAAGACAACCATACTGTAGTTATATTAAAATTATATAATTATTATAGTTATATTATTAACTATATCGTTATTATAGTTATATTATTAACTATATAATTATTCTAGTGATATTATTTTATTCTTAAATATTTACTATTTTGTGCCCATTTTCTTGTGCAAATATCAATTTTATTTCTATATATTGATGTACTTCAACATATTTATGTACACTTAATTTTTAGCTGTTGAAATGGGAGAAGAATACTATTCATACAAAGATTACAAGCAAGCTTTGACGTAAGTATACTTACCTATGCATAGAAATATTGCCATGTGTATATCTATAGTAGGTAACTGTTTGCCTACATGTCTTAATTTATATTTACAAATGCTTTTTTACTATGCGTATGTCAAGGTTGGAAAATCTTTGAATATGAAAAGTAATAAAAATTAATGGTAGATAGTGGTGATATTTGGTTATTATAATAATGGTAACATTTTAATCAAATCTTCTTTTTTTTTTTCATTAAATCATTATTTTCTTGCAGGGGGCACAATTGTGTTATCACTTTATGTTTGGTCACCATGCTCAATAAAACTTTCTTTCGACCTTTTAAATAGGATTAAATATACTTTTTTTAAGAGAGAAGCTTTCTTTCCACTTTTAAAATGTGTTATTTATTCAACTTAGTGCGATCCTAGTAAAAAAGAATTTTAATTCTATAACTTAATTTACTAGTATTATAAATGAATTTTTAATCATACTTCCTCTTCTTATATGTATATAATATTGGAATATGTATACATTTTTAAATTTTAACTGGAATGCTAAAAATTGACTATCTTCATTAGAATGTCTTAAAAATGATTAAACATCATTAATCTGTTTATATGTAGTCTTAAAAATACCTCCGTTTTAAGTACTTTGTTTAGTTTTGGTGACTAATCTTTAATTTATGCATCTATTTATCATGTGATTTCAGGCTTTTGAAGCATGTTCTTTGGGACTATAGGCTTGAAAAGTGGAGACCTCTAGTATCCAGTATACTTATTACTGCATTGAGATCAGCATATTTATCGGCCAATGAACATGATTATATATCTTTAGGAATCGAGATGATCAGTAATTGTATCCTTTATTGGTTTAAAGGCTTTTTCTTGATTAATTTTGCTACAATTTTAAAAATTTTAGCTGAAAACTAAACTTTTCAAAACATTTTTAAAGTTATTAAAATATAAATTTTGTAATATCAGCTTTATTGGATTACTTTATAAATTGTTATATCTATATCAATATAGGAGGAAGTGGTGTAAGTTGGCAATAAACTGTTCGACCTAGAAACTGTCAGATTTAATTAAGATATTTATTGTTTAGTTGTATACAGTATATCATTCCTGAAAAATCATTGATGTACTTTTTTTTTTAAACTGATTTTATTTTCTAGAAAAAGTTTAAGTGCCTGATCTTACCCCTCTAGTGGGGTAAAATTGAGTATGCATGTTAACTCAATGGGAAATTAATAAATTCCAAAATTTTAAAGAAAAATTAACAAGCATTTCTATTTTATGTGACAGTTTATGAAAATTATGTATGTAATTTATATGTGATGTGATCGAGGGCTGATTCAAAGGGGTGAGGAGAAAGAAAGCCTGGGACTTCTGAGAGCCTGACCACAATTTCTTACAAAAAATGAAGTACTTATTAATTAATAAAAAAAAAAAAAGAATGCCAACGAATTTCTTTACATTGAAATAAAAACTGCAATTTTGAATAAGGGTTTTCAAAATATGAAAGTAAGGATTTTTATGCTTTGAAGAAGAGGCCCACTATAAATTTAATCCTGCAACTCATAAAACCTTTGTTTAGCCTTGAATGTAGTTATCTTCTTTCTCTGCTGCTGTGCAGCTTTTGTAGGCTCGACATAGACTTGCATCGCTCACTATAAATTTTATTCTGCGACTCATTAAACCTTTGTTTAGCCTTAAATGTAGTTATCCTCTTTCTCTGCTGCAGTGCAGCTTTTGTAGGCTCTACATAGACTTTCATCAAGGGGGTGGGGACAAAATAGGATAGTACTTAGTCTGAAGAGTAGAAGTTATAAAAACGTAGCAGAGCAGTTCTATTATTGGACTAAATCCTTATTATTTTTTAAGATATGAGTCTTTACTAAACGTTTAATAAGCTAGACTAAAAATAACTTGTGTAATTGCAATGACCAATAAATAAAGCTAGTTTAAAAACTAAAGAACATTAAAGTGTTAATATTGTAAAACAAACCTATCTACTCAGATGCATTGAATTAATCAACCACAGCATGCTAATACGGTAGGTCCTTCTGTTCTTGACTTGTAAACTGTAATTCGCAATTTGTTTGCTCGAAAACAGAATTAATTTCTACGCAATTGAGGTACCTGTTCTCTCTCTACTACCCAGCGTTACCCCATTCTCTTTTTATATTATACTATTTTTGAATTCATTTATACATTTTATATTTATTATATTATTTACATAGATTTATTTATATTATTAAAATGAAGTAAAATTTTAAGACACATTGTTTTTAAATCTTTTATATTTCAAAGAAATAATATACTTTGCTGATGCACTTTGTTTCCTTAACTTCAAACTTTTAAGGGATTATATGCAGTATTGATGAAAAAAATATTGTTCAAAATAATATCAGCAATCTACTATCAGTAAGCACAAACATTTACTAGAATTTGTTATATTAATTTTTTAATGCAGATTTTTAGTTTGTTTAAAAATATGTATTTAAAATCTTTTTCTAAAAATTTACACATTTTAACATACACAATAGATGCAGTAACTTTGTTTTGTTTATTATAGACATAAATATAAGACTTGTTGTATGGGGCAGAGGTTTTCAAAAGGTTTATCGCAGAACCCTAGTGTTACCCTAAGGCAGTGTTTCCCAAACTTATGACTTTTGTGTACACTTTCTAAATTTTTTCGTAATGCTGTGTACCACCAATAAAAAATTAATGTACTTTTTACTATAAAAAAATTTCACGAAAGTTAAAAATCACAACTGGCAGTTGAGACCACTAATTATTAACTGTTAACTCTGCAAAAAAATAGCTTATAGAAAAATACGTAATCGTAAATTTTCATGGCTAGCTTTGTTTTGAAATAAAAAATTTTGAAATTTTCGTTTGTTGCAAGATATTTCGCATAGGAATGCGTACCCCCGCTAAACTGTTACCCCTGCGGATAAGCATACCATACTTTGGGAAACACTGCCCTAAGGTAACAAGGGTTTTGAGAGTTATAACTTTAAAAAAAAACAATAGTTGTTTTTTAAAATCTATAATTATATTTGTTTCCATCCATTATTCCATAATTTATTCAATATTTTGATTATTTTTCATGAAATTACTTATGTAAAATGCTAATGAAAGACTATAGCAAAATCAAAAAAGAAAAAAATATTTTGTTTTCAGTTATTGATATATTAAAAAGAAATACAAAAAGGTTATACATTTACTTACGTATATTGCATAAGTATTTTTCAAATTTTTTCATTCAAAATTACTAAATTCAAGAATATAGAATTATATTTAACTCTGATATACATATATTTATATTTCTCCCAGTTTATACATTCATATTTTGAAAACCGTAATTCAGTTAATTTCAAAAAATGCATTTGCCTAAAACAAATTCAAGATTAGAAGCTGTTCCTGACATGTGAATTCAACAGTCTGACATTTTGCTTAATTTTAAGATTCATAAAATGAGTAAAAAATTCATCTTCTCATTATATTTATCCAAAATGATTTGTAGTTGGGGTTTTTTTTTTTTTTTTTTTTTTTTTTTTTCAATNTTTTTTTTTTTTTTTTTTTTGTTAGTATATTTATATCTGCTAATGAACTTTACTTAGGATTTGAACTTTATTATGATTATCAAACAATTGTATATTTTGTACCTCAATTATTTAGGGTTCCATAAATGGAAAAAATTGGGAGAACTGATTTTTATTTAGAAGAACTTTTTAAATCATCATCCTCATTATAACATACTGCCTTAACCAGCTATAAAAATATGTTTAAAAGTTCTATTGCTTATGTTATTTAAAAATATTATTATATTCCTTTCTTTTATATCTCATTTCAAAATGAATAATTAAAACTAAGCTGTATTTAAAAAGAAGTACACTTTTTTCCCAGTTTAACATTTAGTTATTACAAATGCAATTAATAAGCATTATTACTTTTTGAAAAGGACTAAAATCAGAAAAATTTTTATTACTTTCATAAAATTAAGTAATTTTTATTAATTAGTTTTAAAAATTAATAAATAGTCTTACATATTTAGCACAGTTTTGTAAAGGCTTTTACGTTAACCTTTAAATAATGTACTTCAATGTAGATATTTTTTTCTTCATAATAACATAGTGGATCTACATTATAATTTTTTTTCCAGCCACTCTATTGATATTACGCAGATTAGCACTACCTCCTTGGGTCTCATTTTATGATTGGTTTGAATTTTAATAAATTTCTTTCAGTTTCTTGATTGAATTATTTTGGAATATGGTAAATAAAGCTGTAAAAGCCTAAAAAATAATAGGCATACCAATTAATTATGTGTATGCTTAATTTTTCTTAAATCTTTTGACATTGCTGTTTTTTCTTTTATTATTCTATTTAAGGTTTTTAACCTTAAAATACATTTGCTGTATCCCAATTTAAGAAGTTTTTTTTTGGAGGGAGCATAATGGTTAATCCTTATAAGCCCCTTCCATTTCATTTCATTCATTTATTATTTGATGTTTTTTTTTTAGCTTTTGGTTATTACTATAATCTTAAAATTTTTTATTTGTTGGTTAGATATTGATTATATTTAAACAAATAATGCAGGTATGTTGGAAGAATAATTTTCTTATGAATAAATAATTAAAAAATTTTGAATAAATAATTTCTTGATATTTTTTTTAAAAAAAACATAACACTTAAAATATTTTTATAACCTAACGATTTTTATGAAACTGTTGTACATTTTGTAGAAAAAACCTCTCCAGCCAATGCCTGGAATACCTGAACAAGACTGCAAAGAAGCTGAGAAGTTATGGATGGAGAAGTTATCTAACCCAGTTGAACCAATATTCACGATTCAAATGGCATCAGTTGTTCCTTTCAGTGAGTATACAAACAAAAATTACTTACTACATTCACACTTATTTTAAGACATGGTTTTGTGCTAAGCTCAGAAGCTATATCTACTACTGTAGTTGAAACGAGGAATTAAAACTTTAAATTTAACTACTTCATGGCAGTTAATTCTAACGAAAAGACTTTTTGAAGCATTACAGCAAACTCTAAATTAACTCTATCCACATAACAGGGGAAGGCCATATTTTCAAAGAATAAGTTTTGAAAAAAAAGAAAGAAAACAGATTTCCTCATATGTATCAAACAATATAGGGCAAAATTGATGGTAGTCATTGCCACTAGGGGGCTAAATATAACAAATGATGATTAAAAAATTGTCTGCAAGTTGGCACCCTTTTGCCACTTTTTTCATCGAAAATGCCTACCTTGTGTACTTTATTACTGCACCCCATGTGCACATATTTTATTTTATTTGAGTTATGATTATTTTATACTATTCTAAAAATTACGTTATTTTACTCTTTTTTTTTGCTTTAATTTTTTTCATTTTAGAAATAAACCTTGTAATGTTTACCATGTTTTGAATAATACTTTACAATATTAACATCAACAGTTTTTTAATCTGATCGCTTTAAATTTTTCAAAAATCTCCATTGCTAAAATTTACTACTGGATAGGTCAATTACTAAATTTCCTAATTTTGTCTTATATCAAATAAAAATTAAAGTTAAGCTAAATTTCAGTAAAATTCCTTGAGTATAGGATTTAAAGCAATTTTGAATTTATGTGTCAAAAAAGGTGTGTTTTAAGACCCTTTTAAAAACTTTACAAAAAACATATGGAAGAAAAGAAAACTTGAGTTAAGGCCTTTTAATTCATTACAAGAGAACTGCAAGTAGGTTATTATCTTTGAAGTGTATCTGTGGTCTTTCTCTACATCAAAATCTTTGTGTAGGTTATTATATTCACTATTTTTTTTAATATTATTTTCATATTAATTTTTTTAAAGAAACTATGTAAACAATTTTTCTATATATTCAATTAAACTATGTATTCAATTATAAAACTTAAATTAAATTAAAATTAAAATAATGTCTTATTAAATAAATAACCCCAAAAAACTGGAGCTGTAACATATCATTCGATTAAAAACTTTAAACTACAGGCGGTAAAGAAAAATCACATGTGATGATCTTGTTTTGTTTCCCCCCTTTATTTCTCTGTTTTTTTGTTGGTAATTTTAGGTTTTATTTTTCAAATCACTATTGTTTCTTCTCATTCATGTCTGTCTGGCAAGTCGTGAAAATGGGCACCTGTTTTTGAGTGCTTAAAACATGTTGACTGTTATTTCCAGTTTGTACATTTTTGAAATGAATGAAATTTTTAGTCAAGTAATATGTCTTGTGTCAAGTAATAAAAATTTATTCATTTTTTTTCTCCATAGCAATTCACAATCATGTGAATTACAAATTTCACATTTGATTGTTTCTTCTAAATAACTTAAATCCATTTGTTTGGTTCAAATTAACTGTGTTTGGTTGTTAATAGGGTTTGAATTAGTCTGCTTGTACTGATAACTAGCGTACTGTATAATTTTCTAATAAAACCTGGAGTAGAAAAGTAAAGCATTCCCGCAACTATCTATTGTGATTCAGGAGTTTGCAGAAGTTAAGGCTCCACAATTTCTTGACCAATGGCATGGCTGTAGCAATGTGGTCAGCATTGCATACAAGTTGCCATTACTTCCCATCTAAGCTTTACCTATCAATATTGTGGTCTTCAAGAAGGATTGAACCCCAGTTCTTCACTACGGCAACTAAGAAGCTTTAACTACCATAACTCATCTACCTACACTACCTCTCATTAATTTTAATATATTAATCGTTTTTCAGGAAACACACTAAGTTACAATATTCTTGCACAAATACAATCTTTTATTATTGCAAAGACACATATTTCATTACATAATTTAGCATATATTTCAAAATTTTGTAGTAAATCTTGCTATCAATCCCCCACATGCATTGCAGTCATTATATTGGTTAGTTTGTCCAAAATTTTTAATCTAGTATTATTCCAATTGCATTGAAACACCATTCTTAGATTAATTAGGCACGTAATATTTATATCTCTGTTGTATTTGCCCAAAAGATTCCTTTAACAGTATGTGTATTTTGCATAATATGATGCAGTATTCATAACTGTGCTCTGTAACTTTGAATTTTGAACAAAGTTATTGAACGATATTTTTATCCTTTATCAAGATTAATGTTTGTCACAGTTCCATATTTTTTATACTTTTGATGAAATATTTAAATAATAGTGATAATAAAAAAATTTATGAATTGAAATTAATTAGAAGTAGATTCTTCTGTTAAGACTACTGATTTTAAAATTTATAATATTTTTTATATAGATATCTTTTTCTTTTTAACCTTTATTATTTTGTTAATATCAACTTTTTTTTTAATTTCAGTTGAATGTAAGGCTGGTTTTGGCTCAGAAACCTACATGGCAGATCAACGAATAACTGTGACCATCTACCTCAGGTACAATAAAAAAAACTTATTTGTGTTACTAAAAATTTTTCTATAATATTCTAAATCTCCGTATTGTTAAAATGTTTTTCCATTAATAAGTGAATTTGATTTTTTAAATACAAATTATAACAAAATTATTTATATAAAAATATATTTATAATAAAAAATATTTACATTAAATATTTCTGTTTGTTTCTTGAATTTTTTTTTACCTATTATATATATATATATAGGTTTTGTGCAAGAAAATAGTGTGCTCTAAGTATTCATATATGTGTTTTTATAACTGTGCTAATTAAAGATAGTACATCTTTAAAATTCACTGAACTGTGGGGTCTAGTATGCCTGTCCTTACTCTGGCTATTAATTTTATCATGTATCAAAAAAAATGGTGTTCAAATCTTTAAAATTTGTTGTTAAAAAAAGTCTAGTTTTGTGTTCATTTTATCCCTTTATAAGTGTAGAGAAATAATCTTTATTTTAAACTTCTTTTTGTACTTCTGTAAATTTACTAAATCTTGATTTTTCTGACTTTATAATTCCTAGCGGTTTTTGTGTTGCTATATTTAACATATATCCTTATACATATTTTTTATAGAATGAATTGTCCTCAGCCTATGTCATTTTCTAAGTTGACTGTCCTCTTCAATAATGAGGTATTTTTGTATTAATAATTTTTTCAAAGTTTTGTATTTTTCATTTTCTTCATTTACTATTTCACTTTTTAGAATCTTCATTGCTCTGATTTCAATTTTCTGAAGACTGCAAATAACAGTTCTGTGTTATTTCACAAAATCTGTATCTATTTGGAGAAATTTTTTTCTCCACGATTTAAACTGTTTGAAAGTTAGATTTATTTCAAAAATTAGGAGAAAATTTTAAGGGGGTTGAAGTGAAATTTTAAAACTATATACTTACCTAAATTTACAGTCTTCATATGCTAAAGACGTAATATGTTTTTATAAAATATTTAAGTAATACTAATAATTGTCTTTCTTCAAAAAGCTATTTCAAAGGCTTATTTGTTTACAAAACACATTAAATAAAGTATTTATATTTAATAAATGATTTTTCAAGTCTTTATCTTCATTGTATCATTTATTTATATGAAGAAGATGCAACTGGGCAAATTTTAGTGTTATGCCTATCTAACAAAATTTACATTTCATCTTTTAAATCAAATTATATAAGTTTTTCTGAGAGTGAGTTGCCCTTCTTATGTTTGAAACTAAAATAATGTTTTTAACTCAATTTACTACTTACACAACTTATTCCTTCTATTATATTTTCAAGCTTTCAAAGCATTTAAATAAACTTAATTTTTTCGTTTAAGAAATTAATCATTTTAGGTTTATCAATTGTTTTTCAGCCTATATTCTAGTAAAACTTGTTGCTTTTTTTATTTTTGACACATAAAAAATTTATATATAGTTATATAGTAATATTATAATACTATTTTTTNATATATCACGATATATAATTTCTAATATCGCCCAGTCCTAATTATAATACTATTTTTTTTTAAATTCTAACGTTCATTTCTAATTTTTTAATTTTCACTGTTTGTTATGAGGTTGCATTAATTACTTTATTTTATTTTATTTGCTATTTAATAGAATTAATTTATGTTATTTTCATTTTTGTTTTCTTTGGTGTTTGATTATATTTTCTAAAATATAAATGCCTGTTTCAATGTATTCTTATTCAATGCTTGTAATTAATTAAAAGACAGTATTTAGCTTATTTGCTGCTGCATACAATGATTTTGGAAGCGATTCTCTTAGTTCTATACTAAATAAAAATTATTAAAATTCTGGTTTTTATCATCTTATAATCCATGATATTTTAATTGCTAATTTTCTTTTTTCTATAAATGAGCTTTTAATTCAATAAGTATTCTCTTTTTATCTTGCAAACTTCTTAATTTTCAAATTAAAAGTATTACCATTAAAATATGAGAAACTAAATATTTAATGATGTGTTAACATATACATTTGTTAACAAGTGTCAACATAGCTCTGTCAACTTACTAATAAAAGGAAGGCCTTTAACTTACCTCATAATCTCATACCAATATACGAATTTATTTTATTGACTTGTTAAGACACCACAGAGTTGTTTTCAAAAGAAAAATCAAAAATGTAATCTATTTTTTGATCAATATAATCATAATGATAAAAAATTTAATTAAGTAACAAACTTCTTTAAAAAAAATTTCAGTTATAGCACTTAAGAAGAACAAAAATCTTTGTTTTTTAAATTTTTGATGGTGTAAAATAATTTCTCTTCTATTAATGAGTTTGTAACAATGACAATTCTAGAGGAATTTTTTTATATTCTAAACCGTTTTAAATTGTCAATAAATGTCATTAAAAAAAAAAACTAACATTTTAGTTTCCTTGACTTTTAATGTTTTAATATAAATTTTTCATTAAGAAAAATGGGCCCGTAATCTCAAGAAAGTATAGGTTATGTTACAAATTTTAAAAGCTTTTGCAAATATATTTTTGAATGTAAACAAAAAATCAATGTGATATTTTTTACTTGTGGAATCAAATCTCAGAAATGTGTCAAGTTAAACGTTTTATGAAAAAAATAAGCTAAGTAAGTTCTGTGATGAAGTAACATTGCTTTGTTTTTGCATTTCTAGCATTATAATAAATTTTGTGAAGTTCCTTGTACTAATGAAAACACTGCTCTTTCGGATGACAAGAAGTTGCATAAACTGTACTTGGTGCCTCGTAACACTTATACCTATACCTTCAATTTCATCCCTCATTCTAATGACATAGGAAAAGTTATCCAGGTTAGTTTTCAACTTATTTTATCAAATATTAATCAGCTTATCATCTATTAACTGCTGTCATTATAGCCTAACTTTGATGTAATGAACTTGAAAGAAGACACTAAAAGATTTTGAGATACTAAAAACTATAGTATTTTTGTAACATTTTAGTCAAAACTATTCTTAATAAGAACAAAGCAAAAAAAATTTTACTTTAAATAATGCAAATCCCTTTCTTATTTGACATTACATTTTGCATGTTTGATCATGTTCTTCTAAAATATCTCATAATGCTGTAGCCTCTTTTAAAATTTTTGTTTTTTTTTCCTATTAGTACATACTGCAACATTATTGTTAACAGTACTAGTAATTCCTCATAAGTATCAGTTTCTTATGAATTTATTAAACTAGCAAGCCCTTTAAAATCTTATAGGCAAATCTTCTTATCTATGTATGCATATTTTAGTGTCCACTTATTTAGGAATAGATTAAGTGACTTCTTTTCAAACATGGCAATATCTTTTCTATTGCGGCTTCAAGAATAGTCTTTAAGAATTAGGGAAAAAAATATTTTTTCAATCAAACAGTTTTGTAAAATTTAGGGAAACCGAAAAATGTATTGATCTAAATGATTTTTTTTTTTCTATTACCAAAGTAAAAAATGCCTGGGGAATTAAATTTTTTTTAATGGTGAAAAATTTATTTTATCAAGATATGTGATACCAAGGTTAAAATATATTTAATTATTGTAGCAGAAATATCCTTAACAGATTCCCTGATTATCCCAAGGTAACTTGGGTATGTATATATTGCAAATATTTATTATCCTGAGTAGTATTCGGCCGAAAGCAAAACAAAAAATAATAATAATCTGCTATGATTGGAAGTTTGCCAATATTTATTTGGGAGGTTTGCTATTTGTGGGACTGCAGACGTGTTTTGTTCAATTGTATACACTATGGTTGATGATTTTATATAGAAAAAAGAGTATTAAAAATGGCTTTCTCTAGCGAAAGTAATGCAGATGATTTTTCAGATTATGAAAATGAGAAAATATACAAAGATTAATATTTAACTTTTTTCATTTGCCCGAAATAATTTGGGATAGTAAACTGATGGTAAATTAAATATTTTTTATGCATAAAAGAATTAAAATTTTAACTTAAAACTTGTGTATTATGTTTTGTTTTAGTTCTTTGTATTTATTATTGAAATAAAAAGAAAATATGTTGATTTTTTGCATTTTTTTTCAAAAAAATTAGTAAGGAAGTGGTTAAGGAGAGAAATACATAGTTAAAAATTAAATACATTTCACCTAATCAAATGATTGTTAATTATTCTTTATTTGTGATAAAATAATTAAGTAATGCCTAATATCAGATACAAGCATTGATTGTTTATAATGAGTTAAGAATTACTATCCTTCTAATGTTACAATAAAATATTTTATTTTTAGGAAATAATGTTTTTCTGCTGTTTAAGTGAATAATATTATATGAAAAAGGTTTAAATGGAAGACATTTTTATTTATCTTTGGTGTCGTTACATGAAAAAGAAAAAGAAACTCGTTTCCTACCAGCAATTTTACCCTTTGTTTTTATAAAACAATATGTGTTCAACCACCCCCACCCCCTTTGTTACCTTCTTCCTAACAAAAAAAAAGAAATTTCTGCTAAAATAATGCCATTTTTGGTGACCACATATCTATTATGCCTTCTTATTTCCCTTTTTGACAACTATTAGCAATCATTCTCGTCAATGAGGTCAAAAGGTATTAAACTTTATTTCATTTATTTCTTTCATTGTTATGATGTGAAAACTTGTTATTCAAACATTTTTGCCATAGCCATTTCTGCTTTGTAATTCATTGTACAATCTGTGGACAAAAGCACTGTACTCTGGGCATGTATTTTAAATGAAAAAAGTTGTTGAAAATGAAAGATAAATATGTCTATTTACTTTTCTAGTCTTTTTTTTTATTGCTATTTTAACATATGTCTCTTGCTTATAACGAGAAACTCACTCTAACAGCAATTTCATCTGCTATTATGAATTATCATTTTATTTGTCTTTTGTTATATACGTCGTGAGTCTGATATAGTATAACATAGTTTTTTTAATGCAGATAACATCTGTTGCACTTCAAATGGGTTCTCCAGATTATATATGCGCTGTGCTACACTGGACTACACCGCATGAGATATATCCTGCTGAAATATCATATCCTATAACCCCTAAAGCTAGCTCATTTAGTGATGATCCTACATTTCAACATATTATTCCTCTGTTCCATGCTAGGTGATTTTACATTCTCTAATATTTCTTTATAACTGTATCATAGTTTTGTTAAATGCAGTGTATTCTCTTTAAAACAACCTTCCATTACTGTGACCCTTTTATTGTGATGAATAATTTATAAAGTACGATTTGTTGTTCCGTGAATGCAATATTATATTATAACCCATTAAAATCTCTGTACTGAATTCTTCACTTGTTTTTTTTTTTTTAATTTTCTTATAAATCTCTTAAAAAATGTTTGTCAAACATTTTCATATTTTCTGAAACAATTTTTAAAAGCAATGTTTGCTTTTGCAGGATTTTAAAGAAATAATTTAAATTAATATTTCTTCTTTTTAAGATAAAGCTTTTGTAGGCTTAGGCACGCATCAGATATTCATATTAGATCTAAACCAAAATTTTAAGAACATTTTGTCGTGGAGTTTTTAATCTGAACACAGATTGAAATGTGTGGTTACATGAATGGACGTGTGCAAAGTGTGTGTTTACAAAAGTGAACAGAGCTGGAAATAATTGGTTACAAAAGTGGACACTGCTACAAATTTGCTTTTTCAGCTTTAAACCAAATTTATCTACTAAATGATGAACTGTGTACTTACTTTAACTTTCTTATTTAAACATTAAGGTTAATTGACTTATCTAAACACCTCAGGCATCCATCTACTAAATAATTTTTTTTTTTTTTGCATTAGGCTAAAGGAAAGTAATTCTGAAAAATAAAAAATATTATTTTTCAAGAAAATTAATGGTAAAACTAGGTTTTGACATTTAGATCTTTTTATTTATTAAAAAATCATATTTTGCTTAAAATAGTTTTTTGCCATACAATAATTTTTGCATTGCACTTACATTAAAAAAATAATAATAATAGAATTGAAGGAACATAAATATGTATTTTTTCTTTTGCTTATTTATATCCTTTCCAGTGAAAACAGTCTTCTTTTCAGGGGTACCTAATCTATACTCTGTTTCAAGTTAAGAAAAAACCAAAAACCATTATCCCTATGGAAAGAGCCTGTTTGTATTTAAATGTATGTCAAATCATCCTCCAAGAGCGAACAAAAATATCAACAAAAACCCAAACTCTTGAAACAATGTTGCACAGCCTTTTTTTTTTTTTTTTTTTTTTTTTTTTTTTGCTTTCTTAAGTCATGTGAAATGAGGAAAATAAAACTTATTGAATAATCAATTCGCGATTAATAATAAATAATAAATATTGTTTCTTGCAGACTCTTCTACAATTAAACAAAAGTAACAATTCCTTATCTCTCGCATTTGATTTGTTAAGGGCATGTGAGCGTAAGATGCACCAGGTTTAGTGGTCCAATCAAACTCAATGCTCTTGCAACATCATATAGTTGTTTCTTTTTCATGTACAAATTCTCTCCTTTTTATTCGAAATATGCCCTTAAATCTAGGATTCCAATGAGACTTTGATACTATAACCTTTTTTTAATAGTTCTGTGATTTATATTATATGAGATAGCATTAATTAATTGTCAGTTTGACGTGTTTAACTTTCAAAAGCTTTAAAGGTTTTTGAAACCATATTTGTATAATTTGATAACTAAATAAAGGCAGATGATTACTTAAATCACGAGACTGCAATAGTCTTTTCTTAACTTACAGCAGAGTATAGTGATAATTTTCAGAAGAAATCTGCCATAATTATTTTTTAAATCTGAGGGGGAAAATAAGCTGCAGATAATCTGATAATCCTGTGATGATGAAATACACACAAAAAAATTTATTAGTACTAAAGGATCTAACTTTTGCCCCCTTTCCATATTTTTATCATCCTTGTCATTATTGGTGGCATAACAGCCCAGGTTGGGCATTGCCTTTTTTTTAGAAGATTTTTCCAGTCCACTCTTTTGTAGACTACTGTCCTTCAATTCTTTACTTCAATTATAGAAAAATTTTGTTCTGAACAATCTTTTTTTTCTGCCTCTGTCTTTTATTATAAGGATTAACATTGATATCTTTCAGGGAAATTCTGCTTCAGTACATTCATAGCAGGTGGCCTGTCCATCTCATTCTGTTTAATCTGATTGATTTTATGATGTCATCTATTTTATATAATTTATATAGTTCAAAGTTGTATCTTTTCCTCTCTACACCATTGTTAGAAATTCCACCACTACTCTTCTTTCAAATATTGAGATATTGAGAGAGCATTGTCATCTTTTGTTATGAAGGTCTATGTTTCCTAAGTATATGTTATAACTCATTTATAAGTGTTTTGTAAAACAATACTTAAGTTTTTCTTTTGATTAAGTTGAACTTTAAGAGGCTACTCAAAACCAAAAACATAAATCCCTAAAAAAAAATATGTTTATTCTATGAAAATATGTTTTTGTGTCTGATTTTGTAACATAATTCTTGGTTTGTACTAATTAATTAACGTTATAATTTTCCTTTTAATCATTAAGATTAAAATTAACTTGGTGAAAATCTGATTTATTACAACATCGGTCATTCAACACAATATTTTTTTTCTCATTGTTATTCCTGCCTCTTATAAATTCCTTGAATCTTTAGAATTCAATAGCTTTATATTACCATATTTACACTTAGATCCTCATTACTATTGTTTGCAATATAATATAATTTTCTACAATATTTTTTTTAAAATTTCTATTAAAATATTACCTTTTGTTTTAAAAACATAATTTAGAGTCTTTTATTGTTCTGTTTTTAGTGTCCTTCCCAGAAATGCTCATATTACTATTGATGTTGATCACACTCCACCTGTTCTAATTAATGAGTTTTATGCTTTCAATCTTTCCATCACAAATGATGAAATCTCCCAAATAGAAAATGTAGTCATCAATGTCGGCTTGAAGGAAGGACAAGAGCAGTTTGTCCATGAAAACAGTGAGTATTCTTTAAAGTAGGAACGTGTAATTATTATTTTACTTTTTGAATCTTTTCTTTGTTGGAATAAATAAGTTTATCTTAAATGACAAAAATAATGGAACTGTTATGTAAAACTAGTATGCAATTGTGACCCCTTTTCAAAACACAAAAATCCTATTTTCATAAACATACTGAAATATTCATTTTTGCTTGTTTTATTGCACTTCTCTGCTCTTTGCGGGAAATTTTTGCAGAGGTTTAACAGGATGTTTCCACATAATTTGAAATAGTCATTGGAAATAGCCAAGATGTTCATTCTGGATTTTTATCTTTTTTTTTAAGTTCTAATTGTAATTTCTTTCTTTTTAAGCTCATATCTCAGACAAAATGGAAAAACCACAGCAATTTATGCAATATTTAAGTGATTTACCTCTGGGAGAAATAGCACCTGGAGAAAAGGTACTTTCTTATTTTCATCAGATTAATTATACAATGTGACATTTTAGTAAAGAAAAACTAGCTTTAAATTTTTACAAATAACATGAATAAAAAGCCATTTATAACATTACAGTAAATCTTCTCTGTAGAATAAATTAAGTTTCTATGCTTAAAACAAACCATAGCATGTTCTTAAACCTAAAAATACCATGTTTTCAATTCTCAATTTGAAGTCAATGGGAAATGTAGTAAATTTTAATCAAACAAGTATATGCATTTTTTTTCTTCAAAATAATGACATCTTTATTATATTATGCTACAATTATTTACATTACTAGTGAAAACATCTACAATTGATAATTCACATTATAAGTTTTAAATAATAGTTTTAATTACTGTTCATTTGTATTTTTAACTTTTCACTATATTGCCATTGTAAAGTTATGTCCCATAACTGTGAGTTATTCACAGTAAAAATCATTTTATAAACAAATGATAAGCCATGAAGGCATATTGGTTAAGGCACTGAACTGCCATTGTTAAGATCCTGAGTTTTATGCTCGATAACAACATTGCAAAGCCTTTACTTCCCTTGACCACCTTGGCTAACAACTTGCTTCTGCAGATGTCATTGACCTTTTTTAATAAAAACTATAGAAGGTTGTGAATATTTTTTTTCGAAAAATCTCAATTGTTTTGAAGCAAATATGGGAGTATATTTTCAAGAAGAATCATCTTAATTCAAGAATCTCTTTCACCTTACTTAATACGAGGTAGAGTAAATAAATTCTCAGAAAGGTTGCCTACATTCACACAGGTGTTCATTTGAGGTGAAATATTTTTTTAGAGTTAGACAGCAATAATAACGAAAATATACAGTTATCTGGAATTTATTTCTGGTACTGTCGACGTTAGCTGCAGGTCATTTCTGACGAAAAGAATTTTTGATTCATCGGATTCATTGAATCTCGTCTTTAGAGCAGCGTTCAAATATTAAAATCTGAATTTTTCTCAGGAAATTCCTTCTAAGACTCTCAAAATGCTAAATAAAGCATATAGAAATGATGTGCATAGGGAAACGAAACGCATAAAAAACAGCTGTGTACAAATGGCATAAGCATTTTTGTGAAGGTCGCACAAGCAACGAAGATAATCCTCCGACTGGGCGCCCTCCCCTTCTACCGCAAACAACACTGTTGGGCGCTTTCAAGATATCATGGGTGCGGATAAGCGATTGTTGATTAATGCTATTGCCTCTGAACTTGGAGATCCTTAAATGAATCTGAGATACAATTAAGCATAAACGACCTGTAAAATGGGCTACAAATGATTGGTTTCTTTGGCACAATATTACCATACTGGAACACCCTCTTTGTTCTCACAACCTAGCACCAGCTGATTTTTACCTATTTCCACGGCTGAAAATGAAATTAAGTGGACTTGAATTTTGTGTATTCAAATGAGGTGATTGAAAATGCGGACCTCTCAAAAAATGGATTTCCGGAATTTTTCGAACAGTTATACGAACATTGGAAGAAGTGTGTAGATGCAGGAGGAAAGTACTTTAAAGTCTAATAAATGTAAATTATTGTTTTTCTTTTAATAATTTGTAATTGACCTATTCCGGGAACTTTTTGACTTTGCTACGTATTTCTCAGGGATCATATACAGTTCCAATATGTCCGTATAGCCTCTTGAGTAGTAAATAAGTAGAGAAAGCAGCATACTTGAGATTATAAAAGACAATTTTGGAGAAAGGGAGATATGGGCCAAACTTATTGTCTGTTTGATGAAATATCTCCATTTGCTAGTTGTCTTGAGCACTAGCAGTCTCCTTGGTTTCTACATTGAACCAATCTGAGTTACAGGGTTCGTACAGACTCCGTATACTTCCTTAGAAACTCCTTGGAAATAAAAAAGTCTCCAAGGAGTACTTGGAATTACTTAGATTTCCAAATTAGTCCTTAGAAACTCCTTAGATTATTGCGTTATATAGATGAACTTACTAAGTCCGCTGATGAATTTGCTGTCCAAGCAGGTAAACGAAACGATATGACTTAGCTGTCAAAATCTAATAGTTAAAGAAAAACTTTAAAAGAAAAAAAATTCCAATTGCAAAGAGTTAGGAGAAAAAAATAACAGCAAATAATTTTAATTTTACATGTTGCAAGCAAACTTAATTAAGGATTTACTGGGATTTTTGTTTTTGTATAAAGTGCCTTAGATTTTCTTATGTATTCAAATTTAAAAATATAAGATTGGTAGGTTTTTATGTTAATTTTTAAAATATTTGAAATTGGAAAATGTTTTTATGTGTGAAAGTTATAACCTTATTTTTCTTGATGAAGTTTGACAAAGTCAAAGTTTATTTCAAAGGAGCTAGAAAAAAATATCTTATGCAAAATATACATTTTTGCAAGTTCTTTCTATTTAATTTTTTAAAAAAACTGTCTAGTTATCTTTTACACAAAGTTTTTACATTTTGGACTCAATGGATACTCCTTGGATTTCTTATTCTGATCTCTGTATGAACCTTGTGAGAAGGAGAAAGTAATTTAATAGATTTATTGTCAACTATCATTGCTTATTTATTCTTTATTCTCATCTTTTATGACTTTAATTTGTATGATAATATGCATTTTGTGTTTTTTCATGGTTTTTATCTTTTAACTATGTACTTGTTATCTCTAAAGCTCCCTACTTTAAACTTTTTATTGATACTCAATAATTATTTAATAACTTATTACCATCCTTTTCACAAATTGATGATCAAATTTGTTTTGAAGACACTATATTCCAATGTGTTAGAATTCAGTTAATTTTTGAAGGTTGTAATTTTGTTCCTTTGTAGGAGATTGTTCCTGCAAAATCAAAGAATCAGATACTTAAATGAAAATTATTCATGGCAGTTTTTTTTCTTCTAATTTTTTTAAATTTATTTTTCAGGTTCAGAAGTGCATTTATATGAAAGCCTTGGACATATCTGTGCGAAGATTAGTGTTTGACGTAATTAGATTATTTTATTCATTATTGATAGGCTGGTTCAAACACATAATTTATGCTTTAACAAATGAAATCGCCTCACTAAAATAAATAAATCAAATAAATACAGTATTTCATTAATTTATTTTTGTTTATGGTTTTTTAATCATTTTTATTACTTTGTTAGTTAGCTGTGTGATAAGTAGTTATACTTAATTTTAATTTTGTGTGACTGTTCAGTTTATTAGTATCAAAAGTTACAATAAAATTGTGATTCCCTAATTATGCTTATTTTGTATTCAAAATTTTATTTAATTGTTTAATTTTTATCTTTTTTTAATTCCTATTTAGCACAATAAATTTTAATTGCCATTTTTTGCATGCAGCGTATTGATTCACTTTCTATATCAGATGATACCATCATGAGTTACATAGTTAATTATTGTTAGAAAAGATTTACATTCATGTTTTTATCTTAATTGCATAAAAAATCTCCATTAAAAATAATTTTGTAAAAAAATTACTTGTCCTAAGTTTTCTGAACTATTATTATTTATTAATGAAACTATTGAAATTCTTTACAGTCAAAATCCTACTAGAATGACAGAATCACTGTCAAATTGTTTACCTATTACCTTACAAGACATTTATTATGATTTGATTTTTTTTACTTGACTGAAAAACCTGTCTTCATATTTAGATTATTTATTCATAACCATTTTTTTTTAATGTTCAGTTTTTATTTTTATTTATTCTTTACCCTTTTTTAAAAAATTCAGCTAATTGAAATATTTCTATTTATGTTTGGATTATTTCAGTTTATTCATGTATGAATAACTTATATTTTGTTCTTTAAAACTAAACTATAACCTATCCTTGAAATACTATGAAAATAAACCATAAATACCATTAAACTACTTAATATTGGTAACGAAACTGTTATAAAGTAACAGAATAACTGAAATGTTAAAAAAAAAAAATATTTTTTTTACTTTGTCATAACCTTTTCATTTATTTAACTTTTTTTATGTGCTTTTTATTTACTTTTTAGTTTAAATCTCCTTTTTTTATTTCCACTGTTTTTAAATCCTACCATAATAATTAAATAAAAAATGAAACTTCACTGAAAATCTTTTTTTTTTTAGGAAATTTTAGTTCAGTTATATTTATTCCAAACCTATTTAATATTTTTTGAAAATATTGCTTTTTTAAAGGTAGTTTTAACAAGATACTGTGCAGAAGAGCTTACTAGTAATTTATAAGCTTTAAAGTTAATTTGTATAATATGCCTAATTGAAAACTTTTAAGTATTTCATTGTAGTAAAAAAAAAAAAAAAAGCATTGGATGAAGTCAGATCAGAAAGATTAGAAGAGCTACGAATTTATAAAGGCTACAAAGTTACTAACTTTTTTTCACGCTTCTAAAAATTTTATATACATTTAAAACCCTTTAAAAACAAGAACCCAACAGAAAAAAAAGAAGAAAAAACATTTCAATAATATGATTTATTTGTTGTGACATTTTCTATCATTTTTCTGTTTTTCAAGAGCATTTAAGTATTTTTGTTTCTTTTTTAGGTTACCTACAACATTAAGATTGAAATTGATGATCAACTGCTATGTTGCAGTTGCCGTAAAACTCAAGATTTAGAAGTTTTCACAGTTGAGCCATTTGAGTTTGTAGTTAGGATATTGAATAGAAAAGTAATTCATACTTTTAAAAGAATTATTTTGTTTAAATTTTGATTTTATTCCTAAACTTAGATTTTTTAAATTTACTGTTGAGCCATTTGAGTTTGTAATTGCAATATTGAATATGAAAGTAATTATTTTATTTAATTTTTAATGCAGAGTCTTAAAATTTGATATTACTTATAATCATTTCCATAAAACAAATATGAGTATGAAAGATGAATAATAGATAGCAGTTATTAAAAGACGAACTGAACTTAGTATTTAATTCTTAATCAGTTCAACCTATTTTGTTAGTTTTTACGAAGATCGAAACTGATAGAATTTTTTGTCTTATGCCGAATACAAATTTTTGCTCTTAATTCTCTTCTGTAAAAGTTATCAAGAAATGTATGGTATTTTTTGCAATGCATTTGTTTGCTTTTTCTTCTTGCTAAACTGTAGGTAACTATATTTTATTGTAAAGAAGTTACTAACATTTAAAATTTCTTATAATCCATGGTAGCCCAGTGGTTAGAGAATCAGACTCTGGTTCAGAGGGGCCACGGTTCGACCTTCGACTCTATATATGTTCTCGTAAAATTTGTGAAATCAAGAGTCCTGTGGTCGGTTGCTAATCGGTACTGTGAGTGCTGGGATCCGGGGGAAACAAAAATTCTTGCCCTTCAGATTTACATCTTAATTGAGAAATAGCCTCATGAATTAGAAGTGCTGCCATCTATATGTAGTCTTATGGTGCTCTTTCACTCTTATGGTGCTCTCTTGTCAAAGGAAAGGCACACATTCCTAACTTAATTTGCAAGGCTTGGTAAGACCAAGTGTCCTTAGAAACAACAACAATATAATTTCTTATTTTCAGGGTATCCACGCACCTGGAAAGTCGTGAATTTCAGTATTGAACAAAATTTGTCGTGATTTTTACTATTTTTTTAAAAAAATCATGGAAAGCCATGGATTTTGGTCTCCGAAAAATCTAATTTTTAAAATGGAATCCCCCCCCCCAATTTCATCCTGTTCCAACTATCTGAATTCCTAACAAATCACCACTCAGTCATATTTTATTAGAATATTAAATGATTTTATCATGTTCCTTAAAAATTATGGTGTTCTTTCAAACAATAAAAGAAAAAACATCATTTCTAGAGCGAATTATATTTTTAACTTCTGTGATTTAAGAATTTTTATTGCTTATTTTTTTTTAATTTTATCAATTTAAAATTCTAGTTGAAGCAAACCAGTCATTGGCAAATTTTTTTAATTCCGAAATGAGAACAGAAAAAACAGGAGTATTTCTTTCCTTTCTGATGAACAAGAAAAGTATCTTTGGAATATAATTCTGTAGGAAAAAAAATATTTGCTTTTGTATTTTTTTTTCAAGCTATTTTATTGTTTCAACTCTTTCTTTACTCAGTTTTTTTAAAATCTATAAATATGAAGATGCAGAGTATAAAAGTTTTGGTTATACCTATCATTTCAATTAATGTTATTATAATGCTTTTTTAAATTTATCGTCGCGTTTTTGTTGGAGAAACTAGTAACTTCGTTAAGTCATGAAAAATTCTTGGAATTAGTCATGGAAAATCATGAAAAGTCATGAATTTGAAAATCTAAAATATAGCAAATACCCTGTAATTTAAAAATTCTTACAAATATATTTGAAGAAGAATCTGAAATGTGCAGCTTTCTCGTACTGAGTATTAAAGTGTGGTTATTTTATTTTTAGTTTGAAGAAATGCAATCAATTCGCTCAGAAGAACCATTTATCCTTAAGGTTGATGTGCATTCCTATTCTCCTTTACCACTTCATATTGAAGATTCAAAAGTTGAATTGGTGAGAATTGCTTTCTTCAAACTATATGAAATGTTTGTACTAATATTGAAGAAGATTAAGATCGTTATAATGCAAAATGAGGCTTTTGCATTACATAAAATTATGTTTCAAAATGATTATTTCACATTTAACTTACTTATTAATATCTATCTCGAGCTGATCAATATTAATGCTTTGAAATAATTTTTAAATGCAAATAATTTAAAACACAAAATATGAGCTCAGGTATTTATTAATTTCAGAATTAAATTAAATAAACCTCAGATATAAAATCTAACAAGTTTATGAATTACGATTGTTTTGCGTTAGAGATTTTGAAGTTAATCTGGCTCATAAAATGATAATGTACTGTAATTAAATGTGATATGATTCAAATATATTGTTTTTTACTTCTTGTATTTTTTTATTAGTACATACTTCAATTATCACATATATTTTAATTATGTATATTTTAATTATAATCTATTGAACCTCGCAGATTTTGATTCGTTATATTGTGTAATTATTTTATTTCATTGGAATTGAAATTTTAAACTAAACCTTTACTTAAATGTTTTTATTGCATACAAATATTGAATTAAAAAAGTATATTTTTTCTTTCTAACTCAAAAAATTTGTTTAAGCAATTACCAAAAATTAAAAAAACTAAAGATTCTGATTTATATCTGAGGCTTGTAAAAATTTTATCCTTCTTCCAATAATATCTATATGCATAATAAAAATAACATGAAGTTAATATATTTTTTGCATGAATTTTGTAATTAATTTCATATAATAATAATGTTTCATGATCTTATGAAATTTTTGACAGAATTCCAAAAGAAAAATTGAAAGATATTTTGCTTTAAGGGAATTTTAAATGGAATAAAAGTCTTTCATAATATGTGTTAATTATTTAAATAATTTTTTTAAAAATATTTTGGAATTAAGTAGTTTGCTTTATATAAGTACTGAATAAAAAATATGTATTTCTTTAGCCTGATCGCCTAAGCTTTATTAATCAGAATATAAACAAGTTTTGAATTCTTTTTAATATTATTCTATTTAATAATTTAGAATTATGTATCATAAAATCACTTTCTTTTATATAAGTACTGAACTTTCCTTTTTATTTACGCATAATATCTATAGTTAGTTACTGATTATTTTACTAAAAACATTTTTTTAGTGCAATTACATAAGCCTCGCTAATAAGAATATAATGAAAAAAATTTAATTTATTTTTATAACAAGTTTTTTTATTTAAACAATTTTTAAATTCTTTTAAATTTTTTTTGACTTAAATCTTAATTTTATTAAAGTACTAATCTGAAAATATTTCTTTTCTTTTCCATTTACTCAATCCTTTATATTATTTCGCACTGATTATGCATTCAATTAACTAAAAATATGCATTTTTTTTTCAGCCCCATCACCTAAGCTTTGCTGATAAGAATGTCAAGTCTATGGTGAAAAATTGTAAGTATAAATTCTAAAATTACTTTAAATGCATTTCAAAATTAAAAAGTTGATAAGTATTGCTTGTTTAGTTCAGAAAAATTGTAATCACCAGACTGATGTTAATTTGATAACGGTTAATAAATAATATTATTTTTTTATTTATTTTAATAATAATTTATAATTGTTTTGTATTACTTTATATGTAAATCTGTTTTTTCTTTTTTTTAGTGGATTTAAATAACAATGAGGCAGGGACAGATTGTTTCATTTTGGTTGCAGCTCTTGATACACCAACCAAAGTCAATTTTGGAATGTATTCCGTGAAATGGCAAAGGTAAATTTAAATTCAGAAGTAATAACAATCAGTCAACTCATTCTCTATTTTTCATATAATTTTCATTGATTTTTCAAAAAATAAAATTAATCTGTAATGTAGCATTTCTTTTGCATGCATTGCTGAAATTTAATTTTAGGAATTTTCCAAAGCAATTTGTCTGTTACATTGTGTATTCATATTATGTCTGTTGTTTGTTAGTGCTAATTATACAGGGCAATGGGGTCTAACATAATGTTGGGGAGTTGAAAAGATCTGTTAAACTCTACCTTTAATTTTTTCTATTTGTTTAAAGTTAAAAAGAAGTTTTTGATCTTATGTTATTTAAAGTCTTTTATCTTAATTTAGACTAATGTTTATAACTGTGTAAAGTACAGTTGAAAATCTTTTACAACGTAAATCTTGAATTAGAAAGCTTTACATTTTGTAGAATTCTTGGTAATATATATTATTTCACATATCTTTAAACTTACTTAATAAGCGCAGCAGAAATATTAGTCAGGAACAAATCAATCATAAAATTTTTTTGATAATGAGTTTGAGAATAATTGAGATTGACGATATAATGAGATTTCTTTTCGGCTACAAAATTACTTTATAGCATTGTTTAACAAAATATAATTAATTACAGTAATACCACTTGTAAATTCGACAGTGGAGAACTTTTCTAAATTTCTATCCCTAAAAGATAATTTTAACTCATTACTTATTGCTGTTGCAAAAGAAGCATTTGCACATACATTAACATTAATGTGCAACATTCTTCAAATGCCTCATAAATTGCATATAACAACAATTTGATACAGCTTAATTATTTTTGTTTTAAATAATATTCAATATATTTTAAAATCCTATAAAATCTATATATTTTTTAATAATGAGGAACATATTTAATTGTTTTGGCAGGAAATCGCCTAATGGTACATCACCCACTGTGGTAACTGAAATCTTGCTTCCATCAGTTGATGTCACAAAACCACCAATATACTTAGAAATGAAAATGCCGGCATCTGGCTTGGCACGCAAACCTTTGCCTGTTACATATTTTGTCCACAACCGTACAACTGCTGTCCAGGACATGGAACTGTTACTTGAGAGTAGTGATGCATTTATGTTTGCAGGAAACAAACAAGTAAACAATAATTTATATCACAATTACTGTGAAAATCTTATAATGATAATACTGTCTTAGAAATCGGTAAATAATGGTTTTTTACTTTTTGTACACATATATATTTATTCTACTCTGTACACATTGTTTTGCACTGATGGAAGAGGATGAATTTGACACCTTGTTTTGCACTGATGGAAGAGGATGAATTTGGTGTGAACTCTTATGAAGCTATGAACCCATCTTACCTTGTTTTTTTTATCTATATATATATTATAACCATTGTTGAACAGCTGACCCAATTATTTGGGTTTACTACTTCTAATGTTCAACTCCGTAACCTTGTGATTTTGAATCTAATCCAGAAGACAAGGGAACTCCTGGATCAAATATTGGGCAAAATTTGCTTTCATAGACGTGTGGAGGTTGATATATTTGGTAACTCTGGGAAGAATCTGACTCCAACTCTAGTATAAATTTCCACGTGAAAGTTTTCATGAAAAAGCACTACAGGTTTATGTCGTGTCACTCCATAAACAACACTCCCAGTTCAAATAAACAACTATCTTTATTAACACTGAAAAACTTGGTAAATTTAACTAAACATTTTAACATAAAATATAACAATTGTAACATTCAAGCAGCATAGAAAAAGCTGCAAATGAGTAACTGACAAGAACATGCCTAACTGCTAGCTAGTTACTCACGAACCGACTGAGAGAGAAAGTGTGCGAACTGTCGAGAGGCGGCCAAGATATATCAGAATGCATCCTGTTCGCGTTTCGCCGATTTCGTACTTCACGCGTATACTCCGAGGAAATCTGCATTCAGTTGTGAGGTTTATGTCATACAACAATTATCAGCTGCAAGCGACGTAATACAACGTCAGGGATTAGTAGATTCGGAATATTGCAAATCAGACCGCAACGCCACAGACATCTTTTTGATGGAACTACCCGCATTTACTTTACATAGACCACGAGAACCTCCCATGGTTAACCTGATGGCAAGGAGGCGCTAACCCATAATCCGTCTGCCACTGAGGATATTTAAGTCAGCACTGTGGTCTGTGCAAGCCAGGTGAGGAATTCCGTCCAGCCGTCTAAGATTCTAACCTAGTTCATCTCATTGGAAGGTGAACGCTCTATACCCTGAGCCACCATGGCTCATCTTACCTTGTTTGTACTTTGCAAGAGTCTAGTTTATGTAGAGCATTTTCCCCTGGTATAGAAAGGACGCAGTGGTGTTTGTCAAGAATAAACAAAAAAAAACACATACATTACCTGGACATCGCAGATCAAGTGCATCTTGCAATGTTTCATTTTTATTCCAAAGCTGATGCTATTTAATGGAAGATAATACAACTGTATATCATGCCAAAGACATTTAAAATTGCTTTAATGAGCATCAATCTAACTTCTAACATCTTCCCTGGCTACCCCAAAGCCAGATCTTAACTCAATAGAAAATATTCAAGACATGTTGGTTGGATTGGCACATCTGACATCAATCTCTTAATTTCCCCTTCCAGTTAATTTTACTAAATCTTAAAGTCTGTGTTTCAAATGTATAATATTCTCTGACATAATTGCACTCCAGAAGCTGTTAGAATCGATGCCCTCATAAATAAGGGCATTTATCTTTGCAAAAAAAAGTTCCTATAAAATATTAATCTAAGATTTCTAATATATTGGCCAGTGTGTGAAATCAATTTGTCAATACCCACGCATGAAATATCTAAATTGAAATAGTTCATAAGTAAAAGACGTATTCTTTTTATCATTCTTATGACTGCTCACTGACTTGATAAAAAAATTCATGAAAATTGCTCAATTTAGTCTTTAAATTTAAATCTTTTTGCTTTTTAACTTTTCGTTCGGGCTCTGCTTTATACCTCAGTTTGTTTCAGCTCTGTTGCCCATGCCAAAAATGCTTAAATAAAAATAGTTTGCGGCTAATTTAAAAAGCATATTGTTTTCTTTTCATGCTTATTACTCTCACTGACTTAGTAAAAAAAAATTCCACAAAAATTCTTTTTTCGTCAAGTTATGAAAAAAAGGAAGAGAATTTTAATCATTTTATTTATATCTTGTTTTATATGAATTAAATTTCCCAAAGAAATTTTTATACCTATTTCTTGAAAATTTTAACATACGATATGTTTGTAACATAATTTAAAGCAGAAGCTTTATTCGTATCATTCTAAAAACAGTTTTATTTTTCAGATGCACTTTCGAATTCTTCCTCGGGATGTTTACCAATTAAACTACATACTATACCCTCTATTACCTGGTTTTGTCCTTCTACCTCACTTGCGGCTAACGCTAAGCCCTGGAAGAGGAGGTAGTGAGATGTCACTGGATTCTTTAGTTAAAGATATGACACCCTCACATATATTTATAATGGTAAGTCAGTAGCTATCTGATTAACAAAGTTTTGTAAAAATAAAATGAAATGCAATGCATTTTGATGTTATTGATTTTAGTGAATGTTGATAGTATGTTGTCACGAAGGGAATATGTGATCAACGTGCCATAGGAATTTTAAAAATGGCTGAAAAACTTTTATTTTGTTGGGAAAATAACTCAGACTGTGTTTACTTACACATTGCTAAAATAAGAAGCTATTTTTTCTACCAGAAATAAATAAAAAAAAGTTTTTTTAAACCTTTTCCCTATAATAATGCCCACTTAAACAGCAGAAAAATGTATTTTCCTAAAAACAATTGTCGTACTTCTAAAAGACTAGTAATTTTTAGCATATAGAGATAACTTTTTTTTATCTTTAATATTAGCATTTTGATCGTGACTCAGAAATTTATCATAATGACATACTTCTTGTAAGTATTTAGCGTAAAGCATTCAATCGACAACTTATTTAGAGCCAGGTCAGGTTCAGGCTCCTAAACTATCGCACTCCAAAGGATTATGTCATGATCATTATCGGCAACAATGAACATTGAATATCATAATTAATATCATGAGCTCAGTCAATATTTCAGTCATTGAATATCGTGAATTTAGTGAATAATTGCTTAATATGGTAATGTCACTCTCAGAATTGTCTACTGTAACTATTAAATTCTGTAACATCATGAGTAGTATTGATATAAATAATTATAGAATATGATATATTATCATTAATAGTGATTAGCATTGAATTTGTTAATATTCTCACTAAATATAATCATTAAATGGGATATTTTTTAAATTTTTATTTGGGTACCATTGTATTGAAGAGCAATAAAAAAATGTTCGTTAACACTAGAAAGACTGAAACTTAGTATGTACCTATATTGCCCAAAAGCAGTCAAAATGGCTAGATTGTGTAAGGAAATTTGTTTAAAATTAATTTTTAATATTTTTTACATTATTTATAGTTATATAAATAACTATTAGAAAATTTATTAACAATAAAAATAATTATATGTTATGCAAAAAGTCACAAAATTCTAAGAAATTGTGTCATTATATACATCATTGTTTTTTCTAATTGAAATTAAAAAGCAGTCAAAATGACTTCCTTGGGCAATCTAGTATCAAATTAGGAATCTATTGATAAAGTAATAAAATTCTGATATTGCCCAGCACTAGGGGGCTTCTGTAATATAATATAAAATACTCTAAATGTTAATGCAAAACATATTCTGATTTGTAAATATCTTTTTTTTAGCCTCAAGGTATAGTAAGAAGTACTGAAGATGCGTCTGAGAGACAAGACAGTGTGTTTTGTAAATGAAACTTTAGTAATTTATTCCAATGTGTGTTAAAAGAAAAGCAGTCAAAAATTTTAATGAAAATATGTAAATTATTTTACTATTTTTTGTGCACTTTAAAACTTTCTTTGTACATATATAAAATTATTTTGTATGAAATGTTTGTGTTTGACTCTCAAGTCGTTAATAAAAGAAAATTATTATTGCCTTTTAAATCATATTTCCACTTATAAATCGATACGTTTTTACAGCAAAGGAAGTCTAACCAATAAAAAAAAAAGCTTTTTTTCCCCCAGAATAATAAAGCAAATTTATAGAAAACAAAGAAATTTTTTCCATGGAATAAAAAGCTATTGATAGTAAAATATAAAATAAATAATATTACGAAATATGTTGTCATAGTATCGTGGAAGAGTGATGTCACGTCAAAAATGGCGTTTTAGCTTGCGTCACATTAGCAATTGCATCATAACAAGGAGGATTTTAGCTAAAGATGCAAAACGTTGCAAAAAAAAATATCTTATATTGTGGATCTCTATCGTGGAAGAGTGATGTCACGCCAAGACTGGCGTTTTAGCTGGCGACGCTTTAACAAATGGATCAACTTGCATGGTCAATGGAAATCTCATAATGAGGAGGGTTTTAGCTGAAGATGCAGAACGTTGCAACAAAAAAAAAAATATTCTTATAATGTGGAAGAGTGATGTCACGTCAAGACTGGCGTTTTAGCTGGCGACGCTTTAACAAATGGATCATCTTGCATGGTCAATGGAAATCTCATAATGAGGAGGGTTTTAGCTGAAGGTGCAGAACGTTGCAACAAAAAAAAAATATTCTTATAATGTGGAAGAGTGTTGTCACGTCAAGACTGACGTTTTAGCTGGCGACGCTTTAACAAATGGATTATCTTGCATGGTCAATGGAAATCTCATAATGAGGAGGGTTTTAGCTGAAGATGCAGAACGTTGCAACAAAAAAAATATATTCTTATAATGTGGAAGAGTGTGTCACGTCAAGACTGGCGTTTTAGCTGGCGACGCTTTAACAAATGGATCATCTTGCACGGTCAATGGAAATCTCATAATGAGGAGGGTTTTAGCTGAAGATCTAAACTTTGATTGCATGCAGAACATTGCAAAATATATATATATTCTTACAATGTGGAAGAGTGATGTCACGTCAAGACTGGCGTTTTAGCTGGCGACACATAAGCAAATGGATCATGTTGCATGGTCAATGGAAATGTCATAACAAGGAGGATTTTAGCTGAAGATTCAAACCGATGCAAAAAAAATCTTATGATTATCTAGATGTAAAATGATTTTCACATTAAGGCTAGCTTTAATCAAGGTTTTGTTTCATATGTTAGGGAGGCTAACATATCTTATTAATAAAAAGTGGTTGTATATCTTCATTAGCTTTTAAGAAATTAGCTAAGTATTAATCTTATTATTAATTATAGATGGTGGGCACATTTACTTTTTTTTTCTTCGTATTCGTGAACATGGGTGCCACTCTTCAGTCCTGGGGACTGAAATCAGTCTTGAGAAAAATCTATGGACTTATAAATTCTACCAATTAAATTAAATTTTCTTTTTCTTCATTAGAAATGTAAAAAAATTTTTGGTCAAAATAAAAAAATATTATATTATCTTAATGAAAACATATGATATGGTAATGATGTCAGGACTTTAATTTATCTTCTTTTTGTCAGCTTCACTAAATCTTATTCTTAAAGTCTTGACAAATGGAATTGATTGAACTTCATCTACTTGTGTAATTAAATTTGTACTATTGCTGAATCTAATTCTGCCATCTATTGTGATGCTGGCCAAAGTTAAATCAAGATTATTTTTTAAAAAAAGAAAAATTATAGTGCTAGACCAAAAAATAAAGATATGAATGGTTTAGGTTGTTCAGTAAAAGTTGTAAAAAGATATACAATGTTAGCACTTATTTTTGTTTCGTTTGCTAAAAAAACATAAAATAAAGAAAAATTTGAAAATAATCAAATGATGGTTTAATATGTTGGATATTATCGAGGAAAGGTAAATTTTCGTGTCAGTTAGCTATGAATTTCTAAAAGTTTGGTAACCAACGCTAGACAGTATTATTCGATCAAAAAATAACTTCAGTCTTGAAATTTTTTTAGAGTGACACCCCTGTTCGTGAAGTAAATCGTACGAAATGTTGTAACTTTTAGCTCAGCTCGGAATAAGCTATTAATTGTTATCTGCCAGACTCTTTAGAACATAGCTCAAATCTCAATGCCATACCATGTTGCAGCATTAACTGAGTCGTCGGATTTTTGAGACATATAATAGGGGAATATGTGAAGTGTTAGTAAAATTGGTGGGAGAGGGGATGTCAAGCATGAAGTAGTAAAGTTATGAGTGGGAAATCAATCAGTTGAACTGATGATGAAATCAATAGAAAATTGAACATAAATTTGATTAGAATGTAATAATGTTTACAGGGGTCAGAATAATATTGGGTACAGCACTATCCTTCCCTAACGGTTCCAGCCAGAATCTAACCCCATAATTAAGCATTCCGCACACCTGCCTTTGATTAACTCCCCCTTATTAGTTCAAGATAGACTGCAAGATAGAAATATTTTATGTGTGTGCACCAGAATAGCGAGATAAAGTCAAATATACATATATATATATAGATGGAATGATATTTCATGGGTAATGTTGTCTTTAATGAGTTGCTGTTACAAGAATGTTTCTTATTAATGATTTGCTGTTACAACTAAGAACGTCTGAAGGAAAAAAAATACCAGTTAAAATATCTGAACATTAGAAAAATTTCTTAATGGTTTTATATATATATATATATATATACATATATATAACTTAGAACTGCAATGTATAAATTATCTTGAAAATTAAAAATTTTCTAATATGATTAATTTTTAATCTTGTTCAAATATTTCTTAATATAAAAAGTAAACAATCTCACTTTTTTAACGCAACTTTATTTATCTTTCCTGAAATTTAAAATTACATCAATATTATTTTATAATGAAATATTCTACAACGATTATGTTTATTAATTAATTGTAACTTATATATTTTTTCTATGTAATTCTGTACACTGATAATGTTTTTAAAACATGATACTTTACTTTCAAATCCAAACAAAGTCAAATTCTGAAAAATCGAGTAGTTTAGAAAATCAAGTAAATTTAAAAGTTTAGTAAATTAATTCCATTTCCAAAGATTTGATTTAACTTGTATTTTTGAGAAGATTAATTATTAACTATGTTTTATCTTAAAAATCGATTTTAAAGAAAGATGATTTTGTTTTTAAACTACTCGTTTAAACACATTTTGTTAAGATTTAATTTTAATTGTTAAAAATTTATAAATATAACTTTCTATAATTTTTTTATTTTTATTTTCAATGACTAACCAATTTAAAAGAACAAAAAGGATAAAATAACAGGAAAAACAAGGCAAAAAGAGATAAATAGAATAGAATGCATAGTGACATACTTAGCCCATGCGGGCCCTAGCCTCCCAGTAGCGTCCACACACAGTAGTGGAGATGAGCGCAGGACAGGCGGAAATATGGGGCAAAGTCCATGTCCTCCCCAAGGACATGGTAAACTGTTAAAACTAGAAATAATTTAAATTTTTTTTTTTTGAGTCGTGTATATTTTAAAAAATTTCAATAAAAAAATTAACTTAATATCTAGCAGCATTAAATCTCAGACTCTTACAGTGTTTTATTATTATTTTTTTTTTTTGTAACTTTTGACATGAAGTTAAGTGCGAGCATGCAAAATGAAGATTCCCAGAGGAAAAAAAAAAGAAGAAAAATAATAAATAGGAATTATTCAACGCAAAAGAAATGGTGAAAAAGTGCATAAAGTGGTCATAATTCTCGAACAAATTTAAATGAGAATGAAGAAAAAGAAGAAAAAAAACTTTTAAAAGTTATAAATGAGAATGGTCCTATCAGCCACTCTGTAATTTCCAGCTGCGCGAACTGCTAAGTGGATCACGCAGTATTTTTTAATACGAGTTTAACAATTGAAAATTCTCGAACTAATTAACAAAAGTTAAGTTTTTTTTTTATTTATTATTCCGTCGTATTCCTTACATTTTTCTATATCCCTCAAAATTTCTCGTTACAAAGTCAATTTGTTTTTGCCCAGCAAAACAAAATACAAATTTAAAAAAAATAAAAAACTTAAAGTTGCCGAAATAAACAATTTAAATTTCGTTTTTGACCAACAAAACAAAATGCAAATTTAAAAAAAAAGATTAACAGTTGCTGAAATAAACAATTTAAATTTCACTAACTTTAAAACAAATTGGAACTTCGCGAAATAATAAAAAAAAAATATTCAGTTCATAAGTAGACTAATCTTTTTTGGTAACAAAGTATAGGGATATCATGATTATTAAAAACTTCGAAATGTGGGATAATATTTTTCTTTTCAAAACTATTTAATTTATATCAAGAAGTCTTGGAACACAATTACTTAAAATAGAGCACTGAACAATTCCTAATAGCTTAATCAATATATAGAAATTTTTATAGTAATGTTGCATAAAAAGAATAAACATCATCAGTTAGTCAATATTCTTTCATAATAGCAATCATATGTAATAAAGATTTTTAATATTTAAATAATTTTAAAGTAATTATTTTAATTGTCTTATAGAAAAGAAAAAAAAAATAATTTGCTAAATGATTCCCTAATTCACCATTTAAAAATTCTGTGACAAGATTATTGTGGTGGGTTTGTTGCTGCATTGACTGAAAATAATAAATAAATGCATTCGTCATCATAAAAATTTGATTATGTAAAATTTTTAATTAAGCTTTCAAATTTTGATTAGACTACCCCACAATCAAATAATATTAACATCTTCGCAAGTGTTATAAAATAGAGAAAAGATAGGAAACTTTTCCCGTATTTGCATGAAATTGACAAATATTTGTCATCGACAAAGAAAAGGTTATGTAAGCGATAGATAGTTGGACCACTACCATGTCTGTGACTCTGCAGTACCACTCGTTTCTGAGTTTTTCATCACACTACAGTTTTTAATTAATCATCCCCGCGGTTGAGGGTTGCTCGTATACAGTGGAGCCGATGAATTATCACTATGAGTAGAGTGCCTATATAAAAAATGCGATAGTACGTTCTCACTTCCCGACTGATTGGAGCAGAGCGAGGGAAGGGAAACTGTATGGTGTATATCTTTACCGATCAGTTGCTCTAGTTGATCATGAGCGACGATCATTAATGTATTTTGCTTTCCTCTCAATAAGTTTAACTGACCAACGCTCTTTTATTATTTAATATAACTTAAATATTGTTAATAAAGTGGTATTTTATTTTCTACAAATCGGAAAAAATATTGTTAAAAGGTAACGCCTACTTTATACTACTGATAAGGTATATTATACTAAAGCAGTTGTTCCCAACCTGGGGGCGATGAGTCAACACCTACTAGTACTAATATTAATAACAAAAGCTATTTGAGATCGAAATTGAAAACACATATGGAACTTATGGTTCTGGTGTAGACAAGGAATTATGATAGTTAAAAATTAAAAAATTTCAAGTACCTCATCGTTTTCGTCATACGTTTTGGCATCGCAGGCGGAAATCTGACTTTTAAAAATTATCTCTTGTTGAAAGACAAGGTTTTTTTATAAACTTCTTCTCAAATGTTCCTCTCTCGTCTCGTTCCCTGCCCCCTGATTTTAAAAGGCATGTAATAGGAGAAACGGATTGATAGACGAAATATTTATAGCTAGATAACTCTGCTGCTTGGCAGTTATAATACGGCTTTCAGGAAAACTCCAGACAACAGTGTCGCGTCGTTGCTAGTGCTATGGTTACGAGGAAAATTCACTTTGTATAGGTGAGCGTGAGAAAAATAGTTTTGTCTTAATCTTGGCATAGGTCACCGCAGGTAAACCAATCGTCACATTCAATTCCTTCATTGCACCTCCGTTAGAAATGTGCTGTTGCTTGTAACCATAGAAGCAGACATCCGGGAAATGTAACACTAAACTTTTGAAAAGTAGTTCCGCATTTCCTTGAAATTAATTACAGTTTTAGTATGAGTACAATTATAAAGATGTATTGCATAGTAAGACGATTTTATCTTGAAACATGTATTTGAAGTTTTTTCGTCTTTAAATGTATTCTTCCCATAAATAAGCTTTCAGAAACGCAAATGTATAAAGGTGTTTTAATTTGGCGATGAATTAGTTTCCAAGGCTAAATAATTGGCGCTTTGGCTATGTTTTTGTACTGGTCAGCCAACTCTATGATTCTCCTCGCCATTGCTATAGTGTCCTTACTCTTGTGCAGTTCTTAAATCGATTTATTTCCCTCGCTTCGCTTAATTGTCTTTTTCCTTTTTAAATTTTGTTATTAGTTTTTGACTGTCAATTGTTAGGATGTTTTATATCGTTATTAATTGTTTTTATCGTTATTAATTGATACTTGTTTTTCACCGTCAATTATTGTTAGCTTGTTTTGCACAGCCATAAATTGCTTGCTTATTTTTTATAGTTATAGCTTCCATCCATTTTTATTGAAGCGTCAATGGATTCGAAAAGAAAGTGTCGTCAGTATTCGGTTTTCATCATAAATTCCGTTTTATCGCGTCATTAAATGAACAGTTTCCATATTGTCTTTTGTGTGCTAAAACATTTACTAGAAATAAGGTGATGAAACCCTCGCGAATGAGAGACCATTTATCGAGATTACATAGTGACAAAGTAAGCAAACCCCTAAGTTATTTTCAAGATCTGAAATCTAAATTTGAAAAACAGCCTAATTTAAATGAACTATTTAAAAAACAAACAACCGATCTTGACAAAGGTCTTCTTGCTTCCTACGAAGTTTCCTTATTGTTTGCTAAATGTGATAAACCTCACACAATTGGCGAAACTCTTAATTTACTTGCTACTAAAAAAATTGTTGAAATCATGTTGGGTGAGGGATCGAACAATAAGATAAGTCAATCTGTTCCTCTGAGCAATAATACTGTTTCCAGGCGTATTGATGAGATGGCCGAAGACGTTGAATCAAAACTCATCAAAATTTTGAAGGAAGATAAATTTGCGTTGCAGATTGATGAATCAACTGTGATAGATAACAAAGCTATTGTATTAGCTTACCTGAGATTCATAAATGAGAGTAAGGAGATTAACGAGGAAATGTTGTTTACAAGAACTTTGAACACAGATACAAAAGGATCGTCGATTTTTAAATTGGTCAAAGATTATTTTGAGGTAAAAGAAATTCCCCTCACAAATGTAAGTGCTTGTGCAACAGATGGTGCTCCAACCATGTCTGGTTGTCATACTGGGTTTCTGGGTCACCTTAAAAAAGAAGTACCGGAAGTTATCTCACCATTCATTATGTCATTCATCGTCAACTTTTGGCTGCGAAAAATTGGTTATTTCTGGCATCAATAAAATAAAAGCTAATTCTCCTAATAACCGTTTGTTCCGAGAACTTTGCCATGAAAATGATGAAGATTTCGAATTCCTGCTCCTACATACAGCTGTGAGATGGCTTTCAAAAGGAAACTGAGCCGTTTCTTCGAATTGCTGGATTCGGTTACTGAGTTTCTCGACACCACTGATCCTGTTTTAAGTGAGAGTTTGAAGCAACGCAAGTTGGAAACTGCGTACCTCACGGATATTTTTGAAAAAATGAACGAAATCAACGTAAAACTTCAAGGAAATAAAATGAACATTATCAAGGCTAAGGGAATCATATCTTCACTCATCGCCAAGTTTGATACAAGTCAAACATTGGTCGCAAAGAGCTATACAATTTTCAACTCTTAAGAAGTGTTCAGTGGCAGATATCGAGATTCTTGAAAATAAAATCTTAATTTTTACTGATCACCTTGATCAGTTAAAAACTGATATGGAATGAAGATTTAAAGATTTGATGAAATTAGAAATTCCGGATTGGATTTTCGATCCTTTCTCTTTTGAAGTTGTGGATAAGTGGACAAGCTCACTTCCTCTTTGCAAACTGAGTTTTCAGATTTGAAGTATGACTGTGAGGCTAAAGACGTCTTTAAAAAATATGGCTACGAGTTGGCTCGGGCAAAGCTTTTGAACACTTATCCACATTTGAGGAAACAACCGCTCTTCATCTCTTTCCCGTCAACATAATTAGTGGAGAGAGGATTTAGTTCTGTCTTCCAGCTGCTCACACACAAAGCAAAGAAATAGGTTGGACATTTGCTTCAAAGGAGACCTGCGTTTAAATCTGACAAACATAAAACCTGACATTCAAGCCTTAACTGAAATACACCAAGCACAGGGCAGTCATTGAAGTGATAAAAATGTGTAGATACTTTCTCACTCTTCATTTTTTTTCTCAAATTTTAGTTGCTAATGTTTTTATTTTTTTTTGATTACATTAAAATATGAATTTAAAAAAATGTACTTTTGTTTTGATTATTCCGTTTTAAATATAATTTCCTTTTGGAAAAAACAGATGCACAATTTTTTTTTAGTAAAAAAAATGGCAGGATAAATTGCCTCCTTATTTGCATTACAATTTAAATTAAAATCAAATATAATTCAGCATATTTTCATTGTTTGGTTGCTCACAAGCGACAATGAACGGTTTTTGAGCAAAAGGAGAAAGGGGCGATGTGTGTCAGCCGACCCCAAGAGGGGGGCGATGGTCCACAAATGGTTGGGAGCCACTGTACTAAAGGATTTTACACCTAAGTAGATGTATATTCTACACCTACTTTTTTAATGAAAGTTTTTTCTTGGAAGCGAGACTAACTTATGTATTGATAGTCACATAGTACTATGTAATGCTGCACTTAGAATAGAGCCGGGATAGCCTTGTTGATAAGGCACTGGACTCACGTTTTTGAGAAAGCGAGTTCGAATCCAGCCGGCCGAAGACTCCTGTGTAGTGGATGGTGACTGGTGCTCATTAAATCTGTCGGGTCACAAAGTTCTCAATATGCCCATAGCAAATTATACCTTTGGAGATTGATCGTTTTCTGGTTCAGGTCAAAATATTGTGAAAGAGTGAGAGTTTTAAATCATCATTTATTATTAATGCTTAATTCCAAATGTAGTACATGGCATTTGTAATTGATCGTAATAGTTTATTCCGTACAATGTTAAGTTTATTTAGTAAGTGATGTAGTGCTGTGACCCAAGTTGGTGAAGCATACGTGGCCATCGATTTTATGTCTTGTTCATATATTAGAGTTTCTTTAGATGAAGTGGCATATCTGAGTTCTTTCCTATGAGGAGTCTCAGAGCTTTGATCACGCCCCAGGTTTTTGAGATGATGTGTAGGGTAGGTAGGGTACTTGTAGAATAAGGATAGTAACGCCTACTCTTTAAAATATTAACCACAAGGTACACGTAAGATTAAATAACTTAGCTCAAATCTGCAGCGAAGGGGCATTAACTGAATCGTCTGATTTTTAAAACATATAATGGAGGAATGAAGGAATGAACTATGAATTGGGAGTAGAATTTGGGAAAGGGTGTGCCAAGCACTAAATAATAAAGTCATGAGTGGGAAACCAGTCTGTTGAACATATGATGAAATCGATAGGAAATTAAACGTAATTGAGATTAAACTAGTTTAGAATCTAATAATATTTACAGGGATCAGAATAATAGTAACAATTACATAGGTGTAATAAAATAGAAAATAATAAAGAAAAGATATGAAACTTTTTTACGTATTTACACGAAATTGACAAATATTTGTCAACGACAAAGAAAAGGTTATACTATTAGCCATAGATAGTCCGGCAACTACCTTGTATGTGACTCTGTTATAGTGATTACCCAAGAGTCCTGGTAATACCACTCGTTTCTGAATTGCTCATCACACTAAAGTTATCAATTCATCATCTCCTCGGCTGTTACCCATTTGGGTTGCCCGTATACTGTGGTGCCGATGAATTGTCGTGTTTTAAACTCTGAGTGTTTTTTTTTTTTTTTTTTGAGATTAAATTAATGGAGTGATAATTTAGGGGAAAAGGCAGCGTCTGTATTACTCCAGGAAGTTTGGGGCTATATTTTGTGTTGTCATCAATAAAATCATTGTCTAGCAATAAGTTGAAGTCATTTGTAGTGCAATTGTATGCTTTTTCATAAAATCTGGAAACGTCAGAACGTCAGAAAACGTCAGATCAGAAAACGTCAGTCAAAAGTAGCGTTTCTTAAACTTTTCGGTGTGGCCACTCCATAATATACGAAAATCTTGAGGGACCCCAAACGCATTGTCCGAATCCGACACACACGTGAGTGAAATTGTCAGTTTCTTCACTTGTACTGTAATATACTATTGCTATTGTACTTGTACTGTAACTGTACTGTACACTTGTACTGTAATATACTATTGTAATATACATATATTAATATACTTAAGTAAATAACTTTAATTTTAAGGCACAGAACTCTGTGATAGTTTTGAATAAGCAAAAAACTTAATAAAGTTAAATTATAATAAAGTAAATTTAAGTTCTTGGGTGAAATGAAACATTAACTATAATCTGTCCATCAAATGTAGTTAGCCACTTGAAAGGTAACTTATTGAGTTAAGCCACTTAACTTCTTTCAGCGCGTATGCGATAATTAAGTATCAATGGGAAGGTTGCGCATGTTCATTTTTAATTAAATTATCAAATCTTAGTAAAATAGTCTATACTGACGATCATTAGATTTCACCGACACTTTGATTCTCTGGTGGTTAAAAACGAAAACATCGTCTCACACAAATGTGTCGTAAAAAAAAAAGAAGATAAAAGCAAGTTCATGGCAGTTTCAGAAATTATTGAACATTTTTTGCGACACGTGGAAATCAAGTAAAATGAACGATATTATAAAATAATGCTTCGAAGCGTTTTTTTTTCTTTGTCTGTAATTTTTTTTATTTTTTTAACACTATTTTCAGATGCGTTTTGTAAAAATATTTGGTTATTATCGTAAGTTAAAAATTTATCAAAATTATAAACATTTTTGGAGACCGCTGATTTATCCGACCCCAATTGGGCTCGTAATTCGCAGTTTAAGAAACTCTGTTGTTGTTGTTAATTTACGTGGCACTAGAGCTGCACAATGAGCTATGGGCGACGATCTGAGAAACATCCCGGAGGATGATCCGAAGACATGCCATCACAATTTTGATCCTCTGCGGAGGGGATGGCATCCCCGCTTCGGTAGCCCGACGACCTGCGCGCGAAGTCAAGCTTTTTACGGTAGCACAGTTTAACGAGGACCAATACCACACACCCTCGGTCCCTACCGCAGACTGATCCAAGTGGTCACCCACCCGCACACTGACCGCAGCCAGTGATGCTTGACTTCGGTGATCTGCTGGGTACCGTGTCTTAACGATCAGTCCACTGCGGGACTTAAGAAACTCTGATCCAGGGTGTACCGGGCAATGTCACTTAACCTTAAGAAAAACATTAGTGCAGGGTGAACTCGGCAGTGGCATTTAACCTTAAGAAAAACATTAGTGTAGGGTGAACTCGGCAGTGGCACTTAACCTTAAGAAAAACATTAGTGTAGGGTAAACTCGACAGTGGCACTTAATGTTAAAAAATATATCAGCTAAGAGTATACCGGGGCAAATTTATACAGTATTTTACAGGGAAGTGGTACTTTCTCATATTATTAATCAAAGAATCGACAGTATTTCAAACAGGGAATTTTATTGTTAGAATTACCCCTTTTTTAGAATTGCATTTTTTCATTATAAAAAGAAAAAAATACAATGAAAAGTAGAGTAGAGGTTATAGTCAGAAAATTTGTGAAATTAAGTAGTTTAGAATTGCTTCAGAAAAATATACTCGTGTGAGTGTAGACAATGAGGGAGATAAATTTCTGAAATTATGAGGAGTTCCCATTGACGACTGCGTCTTTGATCAGCTGCGCAAAATACTTCTCTCTAACCTCTTGCGGTATTTTTCGAAAATATCGAATCGATTTTTAAGATTGTTCCACGAACACTTTCAGCGTTTGTTTGTTTTGACAAGCAGAACATCTGTCTTCCAAACCTTTTCATATTCGTAATTTTTTTAAAAGTGGACATAAAGTTACTTTTTTTCTCTTTGTATCTATCGATTTCTGCGCAATCTGTAATCACAACTTCAAATGGTGGATGAATATCTTTAGAATCTTTTGTTGTTCTCGAAATATGTTTTGCATCAAGTGATATGGAAATTGTTTTTTTAATCTTGAAACGAGAATCCATGTGCTTTGGAAACCTCGTGTTGGGAAGATAATTACCAATCATGTAAGCTTCAAGCTCATTTTCCCTCGAACTCATACTATCATTTGAAGAATGAACAAAGTTTTTATTATATGTGGATAAACCAGCTTCGAATTTTTGATGAACTGTGCCGTTTAGATCTTTAGTACTCTTTATATATTTTTTATGTTGATGGGACTTCACGCTGTTTTTACTTAAATTTTTAATTATGCAATTCTTGGAGTCGAAACCATTGCTACATGAATCTACAATTTCAGATTCACTGATAAAAGTTTTTTCCGATTCTTTTGATAACTTATTTTCGCGATTTTGATTTCGTTCCAGTTTCGTTTGAATGAAGTGTTCCATCTTTCTATATGATTTTGCAGAATTTTCTGTAAATTTTAACTCAGTTTCGAGTTCTTCAACAGATATAGTACTCAAGCCAACATTTCCAAATTGTTTAGATTCCATATTCTTAATACTCGAATTCTTAATTTTCAATTTATTGAAGTCTAAACAACTATATGTTTCGTCAGCATTAAACTCAGTGACCGAATTTTTTTCTGTCTCCGCTAATAAGCCATTTTCTCTAGAACATTGTATTACCTTACCTGATTCTGAGAGGTTTCGTGTAGATTTCTTTTTATCTTCAAAAGCTTCATAAATTGTAGATTTTGTTTCAGCTTTGCTAGGTACACAAGCTCTATATCGCTTAGAAATCGTGTTTTCTCTACCCGGGGCATTTATTTTTGATTTTATAATGTTTAAATTCCCCCATTCTGAATTCTCAGTTTCACATCCATTTTCTTTAATTTCCTCTCTTAACTTTATTATGTCTTTTTGAGTTTTTTTAAACTCTTTTGGATTAGAATAGTTTATTTTCGCAGTTGATTTATCGTGGTTTTGTACAGTTTTCCTTAACTTAGTATCGAACTCTCCATGAGATGTGGAACCCTTACAATTTTTACTAGATACAGAAGTTCTAGATGGTTTGAAATTTGAATTTATACTTGGACTATTAGCATTTGATTGATTGAAGTTTAGACTTGCATCATGTGTTTGACATCCTGTGTTCTTATTTTCATCATTCTCCTTCAGTAGCTTTAATGTACCATTTTGATTTTCTCTTAACTCCTTTTGGCTAGAACATTCGAACTTTCTCGGGGATTCATTTGAATTTCGAATAGATTTCTTTAACATTCTCTCTTTACTTAATACATAAGTCTGAGATAGATTTAAATTTGAACTCTTATTACTTCGAGTTCCAGCTTTAGAAATTTTGATGTTCAAATTAGCGTTTCTCAAACTAATTGTATCCTGTTCAATAATAAACTTTTCTCTCGTTTTTGTTGATGACTTAAATTTATCTCTTTTTATCTCTTCATTTCTACCAGAACATGTTCTTTTTTCTGTTAGTTCAGCTGAATTTTCGACAGATTTATTTAACCTAGATTCGAAGGCTTCATAAGACACAGAACTCACTCCCTTTTTACACGAAAAATTAGTTTTAGACTGTTCGGAATTTGAACTTTCAGAACTCAATTTCTTAATTTTAAATTTCTTCAAGTTCAAATCCACTTTACGTGAACCTGTGGTCTTACACTCACTGACAAAGTTTTCTTCTGGCTCCTTTGATAAAGAGATTGTATGATTTTGATTCGGTTTTAACGCCATTATATCAAGATTCAAACCATTTTTCTCACCAAAGATATTTTTTCCGGAGGAAGTAGAAGAAATATTTTCGTCGGAATCATCAACCTCTTTAATTATTCTGCTATCATAGGTTGGGGACGAAAAAGACAGACTTGATAATTTGCCACTAGAACTTGAGTAATGGCTCTTTTTAGATTCATAAAAATTTGGATGAGAAGTTGTTTTTTTGACTGGTGATTCTTGGTAGCATTGATTAGACTGTCTGCATTTGTACATCTCAAAGCTTGACAACTGTCGTCTAGTTTTGTTTTTCTTCGAGTTGACTAAGCTACTTCTGAGTTCTTCAACTAAACTAGTTTTTAGTTCATTAACTACACTAGTCTGGTGGCTTTGAACGGATTTATTAGTTGATGCAGTAGATTTTTTCAGATTACTCCTTTTTCGTTGTTTAGGTCTTTTAAGATGTGTTTTTGATTTAATTTTCAAAGCATTTTGCTTTTCAATATTTGATTTCTCGGAGTCAAATTTCCGCCAATAATTTCTGGCACGTTTATCAATTCTTTCGCATCTCATGTTTAGAAAACTGAAAGAAAGCGCTCCACTTGCAGATATCCTATTATGTGGATTTTCTGCAAGGAGTGCTCCGAGAAAGGTTTTTAAATTTAAGACGCTTTCATCAAAGTTCGAACCAAAGTTAACCTGGTTAAGCAGATCGATTGTCAAACCTTTTAAGATGTTGTTTCCATGATTGTACGATGGTAAAATGTATCTTGTAAACATTTGTAAGCATATTATTCCACACGACCAAATATCAATAGCAGGACCATCAATTTTTCCACAAGCAATCAATTCCGGTGGTTTTGAAACTCCAGGATGGGAAATGTTTGAAATCTTAATATCATCAATTGACGACAGAGTGCTGAAGTTGCAAATAATAGCATTCTCAGTTTGTTTACATATAGCTATATTTTCATCACAAACATTAAGCAGACAAAGGGATTTTTGGTGGAGGTATTCCAAACCTTTGAGTATACCTTTGACAAAGAATAACTTGCGTTGAAAGCACTTTGGATGTTGTAGGAAGACACTAGAGTTTAAAACGTCCCGCAATGTTTCTCTTTCAAAAGGCGAAATGAAAATGTACATATCCTGGCCAGCAGTTACTACATGCAGGAGAGGATTTAGATTGATTTGGCGCAATTCTGACCAATAATGCAATTCTCCAACTGCTGGCTTAACGACAAGTTTGGCGATGATCTCCTTTTTTGAATATTTATTCTTAAAAAGAATGCACCGAGTAAAGTTACCTTTATTTAGAAATTGATTAAATTCGTAACTTTTACTCTCTAGAAATTTTAATACCTCCTTCAAGCGGGATGGCTTAATTAGTGATTCATTCATCTTAATTTGATCTGAAGAAATTTAAGAATCAATTATATGGTAAAAAACTAAGTAAACTTCTGATATTTTGAAATCCATTACTTAAAACAAATGTTTATTTATTTTATGTTTGTTGCCAATTTGATTGACAGAAATAAATTCGGAAATTAATTTATAAGCTTCATTTTTATAAGCATGTGTTTAATGCAGATAATTTTCGTAATGGTGGGTCAAAAGCCGAGGTTGAACTAGATCAACGATTAAAGATGTTCAGCTTTTTTGGGGTAGGAGTTTTTTCTTTCTGATCGAATGTGGTTGCCACCCCTATGATGACCGTCGAAAAAATATGAAAACCTGATTAAGTGAAAAAATTTTTATTTTATTTTTCCTATGAGCTGCACAATCTGTCTTCCCGATGAGCAGACCCAGTGCGTTCTCCAGAAGTGGTATCTACTCTTTCAGGACCACCACAATGGGTGAGATACAGTTGGCCATGTTAATTTGGACGTCTAGTTTCTGACACACTAGATGGCAGCACCAAGACTCTATTTGGATGCTAAAGTGCACCAGGAATTTAAATTTGGTGGAAATGCCAACAGCCAATAAGGCACTCCAGGGATCTTTTACATGCCGCATAATCATACGACATGGCCGCTGAGGATTTTCTGCAACCTGAAAATCCGGTGTCTGGGCCGGGGATCGAACCCGTAGACTTGGGCTCAGAAGGCCGACGACAAACCAACTGGGCCACCCAGCCACGAGTGAAACATAGTTTCCTGCGAAAAGCTCATCAATTAGGTTCTCTATTTTCCTCGAAGGTGCGGTGACCGAATGAGAATGCTAAACTAGTTCACAGTGAAGAGTGATATATCCGTGCAACACATGTTCAATTCCTTTTCTGAGAGCTAGAAGTGAATTTTTTGCCATTTTTGCCAATGTCAATTGAAATTCCAATCACAATTTGCCTAGCTAAAGTGAACAAATATCAATTTTTTAAATGTATCTTTATCTTATCTTATTTAAATTGTAATTTTAAATTAATAAATCGAAATTCATCTCCATTATATGGCTAATAGAAATTTTTACCTTTTTTTGACAAAAACCATGCAACATACAAATTTTTTTTTTCTTTTTAAGAAAGAGAATAAAATAATTTAAAAATAAGAAAATAAAATAAATTTTAAAAATTCAGTTTTTCAAGCGAACTTAAAAGTAGAAAACTATTCTGTTTCTCTTACACACACGGTTGGCCTGACAGCAAGGGGAATCTAACCCATGATCCGTTTACCACTGAGGATATATAGCGTTAGCACTGTGGGTGCTGTGTGCTGATTGAGGAATTCATTTTGGCCATCATTAGGATTCGAAACCGGGCCACGTCATTTGGAGACGACTTCATCTCATTGAGCCATTACGTTACCTCACTGAGCCACCACCGCTCTAGTTTTCAGAATTTAAAAAAAAATAATAATAAATCTGAAGGGTGTGTTTTTCTTTTTGGTAGTAAAAAAAATAATGAACAAATAAATAAAAAGTAACTAAAATAAATCAATATTTTTTGCAGCATTATTTTTTTTAATCGTTTTTACCGCCCAACCTCCGTTGTTTTTTGTCAGCCATTATTGTTTTGTTCCTTAAAAGTCGATAAAAAATCATTTTGCTTATAAAATATTCAGTTATTATAATTTCATTTAAATACATTTTAGAAATAAGTGAATCAAAAAAGCATGAAAGGATATCTGGATTTGAAAAATAATCAACTGTACCTGAAAAAAAAAATTTAAACCTAGAGGTTTTTTCATTCTAATTTTTTTTATTAAATTAATCAGTTTTTTTTATTTTCATTTCTTTTTTCGTCATATGTATTCATTTTTTTAAAATTACTTTTGACATCAAGTCAAAGGCAAGCTTATAAAATGTAGATTGCGAGAGAGTTTAATTTTTCTACAACAATGGAAAAATAATTATTATTTAAAGCGAAAAATATTTTTAAAAAATCATGAGAATATAGCACTTAATACTAACTTACAGTAATTATCGGACAAATTTGATTTTCGAAAAAAACTCGTTATTTTATAAAAAGGCCTTTCGGCTGGTCAAATTTCACTTTTTTAATTGCATTACCATAGACTTAATAACGGTTCGCTTATTTCTTTTTCTTACTTTAAAAATAACAGTTAATATTTTTCGAATTAACGGTTTTATAAAGGAATCCGGTTTACCGAAAAACGGAATGTCAATTTTTTTTATTCACTTTCTACACACTTTTGAAATTTTAAGTCTCTATACTTATAGTTTTTGCACAACAAAACAATGTAACGTAAAGCATAAGAAGTGTGAATTTTTTTGTGACATTAGTTGTCATGACTACTGAACAAATTGTAATTTCTATTTAGTTCATAAACAAATATGGTTCTATCAGTCTAATTTCAACCAAAGAATATAGAAAGGGGAAGCATAAGAAGCTCATCGAATACGCGAGAATCTTTATGGTGAGGTATGCTATACCAGAAGAATAACTTATCGGATGAGCAACATACTCAGGTATAGCAAAACATCATATGTACTAAAAGATACAGTGCATGCTAAAAAGAAGCAAAATGACAGGAAGAACGTGCCCTGAGAATTGATTGTTAGATAACTCTACGTGTATGGTTGCATACGCTGTTACCCACCAACCTCCATTTTATTCTCTCTTTCTATCTCAAAATATGTTAGCAGATTTACTCAACATCGATGATATAAAAAATGTAAATGGATGATATGTAAAATATATATAGCTTAACCCTTTAATGGGTCCTTTATTTCTAGTAAAGGTAAATTAAAGTATTTTTGGAATTGAAATTGTTTTAAGAACAGTAATTGATATAAAAAAACTCATTTAGTTTATAAAAATGCCATTTTTTTGGTGGTAAATATATTTAACATGACCTATTAGGAACTTACTGACTTTTATTTTTCTTTATTAAAAAAAAAAAATTCCTTAAATGCTACAAACTTCAAAAGAAATTATGTATTTTATAACTTTTATACGTTTTTTAAAAGTTGCAAATGGTTACCAATTTTATTCAAACTCACTTCAAGAAAGCTGAAGTTATTGAAAAAGTGAAACCTAAATTAAAAGTGGTAAAACGTGGTGGTAAGTATACTTACCACGGCCTTCAAAAGGGTTAAGTAAAAATAAAGTTCTGTTTATAAGTAGTGCAAAAATGCAGAATAAACCAACACTTTTAATTTTTTATTTATTTTTTTATTTTTATTTTAACTATATGATTTTTCTTTTTTAATGTCAAGACAGTTCTTTTCAGCTAGACAATATTTTTCACTTTTTTAACTTTCTTATTTTTACTGTTTAATCTATTATTTCCGTTAAGTCAAGACAGTTTTTTTTTCAGCAAAAGAATTTTATTATTATTATTATTATTATTATTTTAACAATTTAATCTATTATTCCGTTTTAATGTCAAGACAGTTGCTCTCTGCAAGATATTTTTTTTTCTTTTTTTTTCATTTTCTTATTTTAACTACTGGATCTATTTATCTGTCTTAAAATCAAGAGAGTTTTTTTCAGCAAGATAATTTTTTTTTTTTACGTTTTATTTTTGCTATTTGATCTATTTTGCCGTTTTAAAGCCATGACAGTCCTTTTCAGCAAGATAATAAGGTTTAAAATTAAAGCTTCGCTTAGAGACTAAGGTGTGATTTTCATTTTCCTAGAAAAACAACTCCTTTAAATCTTCCCTCGAAATCATGAGATTCGTAAATATAGAATCAGCTTTATATAAATAAACAATCAAATCTTGAATGAAGCGTAGCCATATCGCCAACTTTGTTTATGTTTTTCTAAACACTATTATTTCCTCATCGATAATACATAAAGAAGCGGCTTATTTGTCCAACCGTTCAAAACATGGAATATAACTTCACACTACCAACTGAATCAATAATGTTTATGTTTTTCGTTTTCTTTTGAATAAATTTCTACCAAGTAACAAATGTATCCTAAATTAGCACATGTCTGTCCGCGTGACGAAAATTCGTCATTTCGCTTTCAACCATCCGTTGCCAAATGACAAAAATTCGTAATTTGTATATTGCAGTAATTAACTATCCAAAAAAGGTATAAAGTATTCGAGTTCGTCTCCAAATCCTTAAATTACTATAAAATATCAGTTTCTGGGCCTCTTTGAATGAAAATTTTAACACTAACATTTCATTTTTTAAAAATTATAATCGGTGTTGACCAGACAACCCAATTCTTAATTTACGACTATCAATGTTCAATCCTGCAGCATTATAATTATGAATCCAACCCAAAAGACAAGAGAAATCCTAGATCAAGTATTTGGACAAACTAGTCTTGTAGAAGGACTTTTTTGATAGAACTAGCCCAATTTTGCGTTGCTTGGAGAGAAAAAACCACGAAAACATCCTACGGTTAGCCAGATGGCAAGAGGGCTATAACGATGGTTTATCTACCACTGATGATATTTTACCTCAGCACTGTGGTCGGTGCAACTCGTGAGTAGAATTCATATCAACTAGACACCACTGGAATTCGAACCTAGGTCACCTCATTGGGAGAACACTCTATTCCCTGAGCCACCGAGGCTTCTTTTCACACTAATAACTTATAAAACGTAAAACTAATATAGGATCTAGATAATTTAATTACATAATATTTCATCTTCGTATGTTCAAATGCGCATGAATAGCCAGCTTATAACGGGAATCGTACCTCGCACCGTAAGATGATTGTTCCAGATATGGGTTGCTATGGAAATCTCTAAGGTGGAAACCTCTGTACTGAATCACTCTGTTCTTTAATCTTAATCGGAAAGCGAACTAGATCTTGAAGGCGATTCTATGTATTCATGTAGGACGCCCTACTGAAGAAACGGTTGGTCAAGGAAGGGATTTTATAAATACTGAATAAAATCTTTTTAACCCTTTCGAAGGACGTGGGAAGTATGCTTCCCACGGCCTTCGTGGTGGGAAGTATACTTCCCACCACTTTTTTA